TGATCCTCCCATAGGACCTGGAAAAATCTTGATGCTGATTTGTCACCACAACTTTCTTTGGAAGAGTAGTCTTGTGCTTCAGTGACACTGTCCCAGATCCGATGGTTGAACTGTGGTTTATTGTTGTTGTTTTGTTTGGTTCTATTGTTTACTCTCTCTCTTTTCTTCCCTTCTGTTTTTTTTCCCTCAGTGGGGAGCTACTAGCGGCTTCCCCTCTGTGATAACACACAGGTCAGAGATCATAGCAGCCATCTTAAGTCTGTCAGAGTGTGAAGTAGAAATGCTGCAGAGGATGTTTACTCCTGTATTCCTGTCAGTAATGATGAACTAATTATACAGTAAGAGTGCAGCAATAAAGAGGTTTGTATGTGTCTAGTAAGCCTCATATCTGAAGCTGAGGAGGAGTATAACAGATACAGGGCCATTAGGTGGAACAGAAATCTGTATTGATTGTTCAATTGTTTTACAACCATGTCCTAACTATTGAATCAGCCATTTCTCATCTGTAAAGACTGTATTTATATCATAAGCAAATAACTGATCTAGTTTATTTTCATATGCACCCTTATACAGTTTGCAAACTGTCCAGGTGATGAGGCAGGATGTATTTTATAAGTTTTGGAATGACAAAATGTATGGTTCATGGTATTTTTAGTTTGTACCAGCTATACTACAGACTAAGGCAATCTCCGTCTTATCATCATGTCCAATTGCTTTTCCTACCCTTTGTGCCTTATCCTTCTGTGGAAACAGATAGTTAGGCTGTTAATTGGAAAGCTTAAAAAAAAACACAAGAAAGGAAAAGCACTGTCCCGTCTAGCAGGAGTTTAATTAAAACGTAACGTTTAATAGATAGTAGCTTCAAAATATACAGTAGAGTATATATGGAAATATGTGTTTAGAATCAAAGTGTTTCGGTACTAGCATCTATTAAGTAGCTGAAATAGAGAATTGCTACAAGGTAATATTAGTGTAACAAATATCTTGCAACTGTTTGCTTCGGGTACCAAGAGGAAAGAATGTATACACATACAAATCTAGTATCTATTAGTTTAAAGGACCACTATAGTGTCAGGAAAACATACTTGTTTTCCTGGCACTATAGTGCCCTGAGGGTGCCACCACCCTCAGGGACCCCCTCCCGCCGGGCTCTGGGGAGAGGAAGGGGTTAAACTTACCTCTTTCTCCAGCGCTGGGCGGGGAGCTCTCCTCCTCCTCTCCTCCTATTCTCCTCCTCTTCAGCTGAATGCACATGCGCGGCAGGAGCCGCGCGCGCATTCAGCCAGTCCATAGGAAAGCATTCTTTTTTTCACAGTGAGAAGCACGCAGAAGCACGCAAGCGCCTCTAGCGGCTGTCAAGAGACAGCCACTGGAAGCTGGATTAACCCATTTATAAACATAGCAGTTTCTCCTATGCAAAAAAACCCCAAACTACTCAATAGCCTCATAACCACGCTCTCCCATGAACCTAAACGCCCCTTTCACATTTCTAACTCTCTTCTGAGCCCTGTGCTCCTCCTACGAATTTGACAGCCACAAACTTCGAGACTCACATCACTAAAAAGATTTGTACAATCAGGGTAGAGATTGCTCTCCTTCCTCTACCAATACTTCTCCCTAACCCCACAACCTCCGCTGTTCTATGCTCTTTCGCACCTGCTAAAGCTCTCTGTTCCCCTCCAGTCTTAACCTCACCTTTGGCTCCCTACCCCTTCCCAGCCCTAACTGTCTCACCGGGAAGTTTCCCAGTGGGCCATTGTAGCCTGTGGCTGGTCAGCTGATGATACCAAAACATTTTCTACAGGGTCACAAGAGATGGGGACTTGGGAAGGTGAGAGGATCAGCCATAGGCAAGTCTGCTCCTCTCAATAAACAAAACTCTTCAATTTGAATTGAATTGTGTCAGCTTTTTGCCTGAAATTACTATTTGCCCACCACATATATTTACTAAAAAAAAAAAATATATATATATATATATATATATATATATATACTAAAATTACTTTAATCAACATTCATTAAAACACAAAAACATAATATTTCTCTCAACAGGTGGCCAATGATAAACATCAACTTATGCTCTGCACCCATCCCTGACCGTATACTCCTATTGTGCAGAGACAAGGCACCAAAGTGTTGGATGCTGGTGTGACAGACCATCCAGGAATTGTACTTGACCACCAATCACCACCTCCCTCTAAACAAGCTATTTTCACGATATTGGCCCCTCCAGGTTGTGCCTCCCAGTTTAGCGCCCTTCCAGGCAGCCCCAGGAGAATGAGAGACCCGCAGGAAGGCCACAAAGCGCATCTGACCAGGTAAAACTTTGCCACAAGTGCGCTCGGATACAGAGACACCTAAAAGAGTGCTTTTTGGAGGGGAGATAGAGGAGGCGGTAAGTAGTGAGGCATCCAACAGTACCAAGGACTTGAGGGAGCTCCATGTATCCGCTGAAAGGGCCGCTGTTTTAGGTGACCAGGGTTTTTTACCCATTGTTTTGGAATTCAGCGCCAGATCACAGGATGATTGCGATCCTGACAATACTTTACTTCTAGCTAACTCAGCCAAGCCATCTCCGATCCGAGCACTTTTTGGACAGAATGGGGACACCATTTGTTTGGGGACGTGGGCACAGGAACCACATGTTTTCTGTAAAAATTTTAACTGGAGCCGAAGTGTCTGGCATCTAACTAAATTACCTGCTAAGGTACAGACACCAAGGCGCCAAGTATGTTGCAATCCAATTGTTCTCCTGTGGACCTCCTGTTGAGGACCAGATACAAAATTGTGTTGATTTCCCAATAAAACCAGTTCTACTTCACCCTACACTAAGTCTCGACTAGTGCTTGGGGTAAATCTGCTACAACAGCTATAAAAACTATGCTTTTTGAGCTATAATCACTGAGAGAAAGGGAATTATTGGTGGCGACACTCTGGTCCCTTGCGAGTAGGCCCCCACAGTTGGATCCCCAATGCTGGAGTTAAATAATTGCACAACAGTTTAACCCCTGTAGATAAGACATTGTCTTGACACTTCAGTCCTAATATCAATCTTAAAGGATCACTATAGTGTCAGGAAAACAAAATTGTTTTCCTGACACTATACAATCGTAAGAGTCCCCCCACCCTCAGGGTCACCCTCCCGCTGGGCTGAAGGGGTTAAAACCCCTTCAGCCACTTACCTTAATCCTCTCCTGCCAACGTCAGCTCCGAGTAGAGCCGAATGCGCATGTTTACATCTGAAGGGTTAAAACCTGGGGGACCTGGCACCCAGACCACTTCATTGAGCTGAAGTGGTCTGGGTGACTATAGTGACCATTTAACAAATCAAAGTTGGTATTAAGGTGGGCTGGAAATGTTGGGCGATGTGTTGCCAGCCTGCTCAAAATAAATAAATCCTTTTTTCTGTATTTTAAAATCCTATGGGTGTACCTGTAAATTTGAGCATTTTGTTGGGGCACTGCATGATAGGGTTGGTAAATACATTTTTCCAATCCGACTCTATCTGTCCATCATGGCCTGCAGACTTTCTGGAGAGAGCGCTCTAGCAAGTAGACGGGCAGCCTAAAATAAAAAGGAGTAAAAGGGAGATGTCGTACAGGGCATTAGAGGTTCTTTCCCATTTCCTGACACCACCATTCTCACAACACATGGCCCAGTGAGAGTGCTCTTGCCAGGACGAACATGTTGGTCTTTATGCCCCTTTGCTCATACTCTATAGCCCCTCTTCCATTTTAGGTTCAAATACACCAGCGATCCCCACATCTTTCCTAGTCTGGTTGGGTGCCTGTTCCCTGCCTGCTGTCTGCTTTCCAGCCTGCCACCTCTTTCTTGTTAATTTTATTCCTGTGCCAGCGGCTGCAGCATGACTGGACCAGGTACAGACCTGATCACAGCCTGCCTGAGAGCCTTCCTGGGAGACTTCAGAGAGGCACAGAATTGTATGTAGCTTGATTTTATTTTCTTATTTTGCACTGCCTAGACTTACTTACTTATTTACATTTATTTCAACATATTTAATGCTCCATTGGTAAATTCAATTAACTTTACAGTTAAAGGAACACTCCAAAAATGTCTACCATATGCTGTAGTGATTATCATGCAAAGAATGCCTTGGTTCCACCCCACCCTATTTTTGAATGTTTGACATCTAACAGGGGGTCCGCTGAGTGCTGCTTACTGTTTCAGGTGATATAAATAAAGACACTGCAAGCTATTAGTGTATAGCAGCCATGTTTCAGGAGATACAGGAAGGAAGCACACACCCCAACAGGAAACACATGCAATAGAAAATAAGCCATCGAGTTAGTTGCATGTAAACCAAACATAACATCCATGACACTTACCACCTCCACTACTTCAAAAAACAATTTTGATGATCTCAGCAAAGGTGGTGGAGCATCGGCGGAACCAGCACCTGCAGACCCAAGTGGCACTGGAATGAAAGTGCGTTTTTACTCTATTTAACCCCTTAAGGACACATGACATGTGTGACATGTCACGATTCCCTTTTATTCCAGAAGTTTGGTCCTTAAGGGGTTAAGGAAGCCGGAGACCTAAATAGTGGTTTTAACACTCTAGGGTGAGGAATACACAGTTATATGTGTTACCCTATAGTGTTCCTTTAACCCCTTAAGGACACATGACATGTGTGACATTTCATGATTCCCTTTTATTCCAGAAGTTTGGTCCCTAAGGGGTTAAACTCTGTTACGGTCCAGGAAGCACCTCTAGTGTTAGTCTGGAAGACAGTCATTAGAGGCTGTCTTAACCCTGCAATGTCAACATTCTCTGAAAATGCAATGTTTACAGATCACTTCAATGAGATGAATTGCTCTGTTTCCCTATAGTGTCCATTTAAAACTGAGTAACTCTACTTTTTGAACACTAGATGGCGATATAAATACACAACTCAGTATTACTTGCTAAATCCTTGACCATAGAGCCGAAAGAGAGTGCTAGAAAGTCTCAGTTTCAAGCCCTTCTGTCTTTTTCTTTCTCTCTGTAGTTTGTTTTCTTCCTCTTCCTGGTTTCAGTGCTGGATGGCTGTGCTGCGCCCTGTCTCAGTCCCTGTCCTAGCTGTGCCAGGCGCTGGGCAGACTGTGCTGATGTGGATGTCAGTGTGCTCCATGTGGTGGTGAGAGCCACCCTAGTCAGTATAATGGGTGACATTGTGTTACTGCTGTAGGAGTCAGGCTGCACCCTCATTGCCATTCCCCTTCCCCTGAGCAGCACTGCATGTGTCCACTGACTGCCACCTACCTCCCTCCCTGATCTGCTCCCACATGGCGTGCAAGTCCAAGGTAGCTCCCAGTGTAGACTTTGACCACAGCTGCTCTGACAGTGTTGAGTACCTGACTCTGAATTTTGGGCCCTTTGAGAGTGTGCACCGCTGGAGGAGACTTCTGCCCTGCGATGAGTTTGTGGGAGCCAGGTAAATGGTGCTAGAGTCCCACGCCAGTACCCAATGGTTTGGGTTTTCTTTTAGGAGAGGGGGGAGGGAGCGCTTCTTTCTTGGGCACTTCTGTTGTTAACTGTGAAATATCCGTGTTTTATTGATATTCATATTTTATTCACCAAATAGGTTTACATTATTTTATTGCTATTGTTTCTCTCCTTTGCAATCATGACTGCAGTCACTCTCTAGAAAAATTGGCCACAGGGCCACAGGAGTGCTTGTCAGCTTCAACTAATATAATTGGTTAGGGAGGGAATGATATTGATCAAGTTAACATATATTTAATCCATAGAGAAACATATGATTGTGTTCTTAATTAACACTTACAAAATATTTTAATTTGTATGTATGTCATGCTAATAGAGTTGTGATAAGTTCTACCAGGAGGGATCGCTAAATTGTAACTGTTTTTAGATGGCTTCAACTAACTTAAAGTGGCACTCTGGGCATCATAACTGTTCAAGTGGTTATGGTGCCATGAGATCTCTGGTGCTGTTTTAATTGAAGGGGTTAAACCGTTCATGAACAGTTAATCCCAAAGTGGTCAAAACAGCACCCCTTCCTTCAGCCCCTCTTTCTCCACCTCACTCCTTGGGTTTGGATGCAGAAGTGTGGAACTGGGCACCAGTGATCGGAAGAGCAGTGTTTATAAATAGTTTAACCCCGTAAGGAAAGACTGTGACCAGGACCTCCAGGCACCATAACTTCATCCCAATAATGTTATGGTGCACATAGTATTTCTTTTAAGTGACTTGTCAAATTTTAATTGGCTACAGATTTGTTTGCATCATTTATTAATCTCAAAAACAGTTTCTCTATCCAAAGCCGGTACAACGATTTTTTTACCTCCTTAGGCAAAAATCAAGCTTGGTTCCCTCTCATGTACCCTTATCTAATTTCTGTCTCTTCCCACCTTTCCTGCATTTCTAGTTTCTCCCTCTGTCAATTTCTTACTTTATTTACTTTAGTACCTTTCTATTAAAACTTACACTACACATGTATTTGTTCTCCAACATTTTGTATCTTTCCTACTCTTTATCTGCCGTTTTCTCTTTTTTCTTTCCTTATAATTTTCATCCTAACTAGCATTTCCCACTGTCTCTTCACCTGTCTGTGTTGAAGGTTGCGCATGGACTTTCTGTATGTCTGTGAGGATGTTTTGTGGGCGGGGGTGGATAATCCTTTTTTATTTTTTTTAAGCCTTCACTGAAAAAAATATCACATGCTCTCCTCATGGATTCATGGTGAGATTAATTTGTTTCAGTAACAAAATGTTTTGTATAATGTGATCAATTTTGTTTTTTTACAGGCGCAGCAAGCATACCGTTGTAGCTTATAAAGATGCTATTTATGTCTTTGGAGGGGATAATGGGTATGTAGTTCAAGCTTGTCGTTTGCCAGAATTTTAATCATAAAAGCCTTGTTTATCACACTATGGTTGTTGCAGAATGTTTGACACATAATGCTTTGAATAGCACTATTTTGCTTGAGGCGTTGGCAAACAGTAATAACTTAAAGTGTGCCCTTTAGTCTAAATATCATCTGCACATTCTCATAGGTATAACTTTTACTTTTGTATTTGTAAACCCTGTTTGCTAATGTATACTGCGTGTTTGTTGCCTGAGCATCCCACCGACTGCTACAAGGGCAACTGTTGCCCCTCTTCAAGCACAATTATTAACGCTAACCTTATTGTAATTATCTTTGCATTTTCTTTTTTTTTTTTCTCTCAGTAATTTAAAAATAAAATGGCTTATGGACCTTTTCTCTACTAAGGACCAATGAAGGCATATGATGTAATAAAAGTCTGGTCCTTAATGACCATTGCTGGGTTCTCAGCTAATGAATTGCGCCCAGAGTGTCACAGATTGACACCTCTTCTTAAAATATTGAAATATTGCCAGTGTACCCAGCTCAGCATATTATTGTGCTGCTGTTGTTATGGTTGTGCCCTTTTAAGGACTATATCTGAAAGGAAAAACCGAGGCCAAAGGTTGTGAGTGTAGCTGATTTCATGAATTTTTCCAAATCAGCATTTTTTTTTGTCTTAATATTTTGGTAAGTAACCATGTCAATGTCCAGGGCTAGAATTTTTTTTTTTTTTTTTTTTCACAATCCTGTTTAGAGTAGATTGCAATGTAGAAACGTCAAATTGAGATACCCTGCAATTATGGTTTGTTAATTAGCATGAGCGTGTCAGCTGACTGATTTAAAGGACCACTCTAGGCACCCAGACCACTTCAGCTTAATGAAGTGGTCTGGGTGCCAGGTCCAGCTAGGGTTAACCCATTTTTTCATAAACATAGCAGTTTCAGAGAAACTGCTATGTTTATGAATGGGTTAAGCCTTCCCCCTAATACTCTAGTGGCTGTCTCATTGACAGCCACTAGAGGCGCTTGCATGCTTCTCACTGTGATTTTCACAGTGAGAGCACGCCAGCGTCCATAGGAAAGCATTATGAATGCTTTCCTATGTGACCGGCTGAATGCGCGCGCAGCCAGCCGACGGGGAGGAGAAGAGGAGGATCGGAGGAGGAGAGCTCTCCGCCCAGCGCTGGAAAAAGGTAAGTTTTTACCCCTTTTCCCCTTTCCAGAGCCGGGCGGGAGGGGGTCCCTGAGGGTGGGGGCACCCTCAGGGCACTATAGTGCCAGGAAAACGAGTATATTTTCCTGGCACTATAGTGGTCCTTTAAGACGATCACATCAACCTTTGCTGAGTTGATATGGTTAGAAGAAAGTGTGTAATCTCTGCCTTAACTTCACCTCTAGTGATGTTAAAGGGACACTGTATGCACCCAAACCACTTCAGCTCATTGAAGTGGTCTGGGTACAGTGTCCCAGTCCCACTTAGTCCTGCAATGGTAATTATTGCAGGTTTTAAGAAACTGCAATAATTACCTTGCAGGACTAAGACTGCATCTATTGACTGTCAATCAGATAGCCACTAGAAGCATTTCCTGCTAACTGACATTGGACATACTCCCGCTGTACCTGAGAACTTCAAGCGTCAGCTATTTCCCTATATGAAAGCATTGCAGCAATGCGTTCCTATAGTAAGGGCCAAATGCACTCTCTGTGCATGCACATTAGCAGGGAATCCCACGCACTATATAACAAATACAATGGAAACACACATCCCATGTTTCTGCAAGTACTTTATCATTCATTGTATGACATGTTTAAATGGGCATTGTATTGTTTTTGTTTTATTAAAATCAGTTTTTGATCTCTAGTATAAGGTGTTTTTGTAGGAAACATGTAAATTCGATATATTACAAAACCATTGTGTTTGTGATCAATGATAGTCTTACATGAAGTGCCCATTATGGTAAATGGAGTGTAGAGTTTGAATATCCACCTGTAACTCATGTCTAAGTTTTTAGTATGACAGAGTTGCTAGGAATTAAAAAAACAAAACAAAACTGTGTATACTTACACATTGAGAGATGGCCTAAATTAGAAAGCTAACTGCATATGTTTCTTTCAGGAAGAATATGTTAAATGATCTGCTGAGGTTTGATGTCAAAGACTGTTCCTGGTGCAGGTAAAATGGATTGTAAAGCAATTTAGACAATACTAGACCTCAGATTTTCATTGTAAGAATGCTGTTAAGATAAAATATATATTTTTAGCAAAAAAAAATCAAATTAAAAAATAAAACACAAACATTTGCATGTGTTTGGGGTATTTGTATATCTATGTAAGGCTGAGGTATAATAGACTATGTTTGTGTGTACCTAGGTCCGTTATGATTGTCCTTAGAACCAGAGGTGTTTAAGTATATTTCCCATAATGCCCAGCCAGACTATAGGCTTATTAAGCATCATGGGAACTGTACAATTCCAAGTTTGGCTATCACTGACTGAGTCATTTTAAACTGTTTTGATAGGTTGCATGATTAACATTTATAATTTATATATTTAATTATATTTCTAGGGCATTTACTACAGGGAGCCCACCAGCACCAAGGTATCACCATTCTGCTGTGGTTTATGGAAGCAGTATGTTTGTGTTTGGTAAGAAACCAAAGCGTCTAATTTCAGCGGTTTATAAATATAAACATTACTAGCTTTTTACATGAGTTTAAAGTGTCTTTCAAAATTAGATTTTGAATGAAATAAGGAGCAGCAAATTATTTACAAATGTTTGTTTCAATCATATTAGCAAAGTCATACTTGGGACTACACTAATAAACTTCTCTATGGTTACTAAGGTGTGACTGAAATACTACAATTCCCATCCACCATATGTAATCTAAGCATTTTTGGGGGGTCAACAAGGTTTGGCAATCTGTTTTCGGTTGTGATAACAATATATATATTTTTTTTCTACTTTTAAATTTGGTGTTTTGTTTTGTAAGAGTTATTACATTTTTAGCAAACTAAGTATGTTTGCTTATTATGGTCTCTTGGGTGATGTGTGCCTGCCCTTTATATGGTTAATATTTCTTGTTCAGTCACTGTTGCCCCCACCCCTCCCCTTTTTAGATTCTTAATTACTCGTCAGGACAGTTGTAGTTTATCTGGGGATTTATCTGGGCTCTTCTTATTAAGGAGTCAGAATGAGTTATATCTTAAGAGAATTTCATCTTAGAACTTGCCACAAATATCTGATTACTCTGTCTTGATTTATCTAGGGGGCTACACTGGTGACATCTATTCCAACTCCAACCTGAAGAATAAGAATGACCTTTTTGAGTACAAGTTTGGGACTGGTCTCTGGACAGAGTGGAAGGTTGAAGGAAGGTTTGTGATTGCATCATTAGACTCTACTAGGAGGCTATGTCTGTAGTGCAAGATTATGTGTGCTGGGCCTTCATTACAGGCATGTATGTGGAGCTGTCTTCCATCATTCAGACCCTCTTGGAGTAAAGCAGTAATTTCCCTTGGGAAATCAGCAGGGATTTCTCAGGCATATTTATTGCCTGTTAATATCTCAAACTGAGGAGTGATGGGACAGATTGGGTAGCTGCAAACTACTCAAAGAGGAGGTGCAAAATGCAACAGTGTAGGATGTGTAGAAGGGGCCCGATGGAGCCTGAGGAGGAGTGCATATAGTCATGTTGTGTGTTAGTCCACATTGCCCAGGGTTTATTTTCTTCAAGCATAATGTTTAATTCTGCAGCATAACGTATTATTCTGCAACATTACAGTCACTACAGAAAATTCAAAATAATTAAACAAAACTAAATCTGTCCAAAACACATACCTTAAAACAAACTATGTACAAACATGTTTGTGCATACCAGGAGGTGAGAATACCTCATGATTCTGCTACAGATGGCACACAGTGCATACTGTTGCAATTTGGGTATATTCACTACTCAAATTTGAAGAAATCCACTCTAGAAAAATCCTTTTTTTTAAATCTAAATTTCCGTTCATTCCAGATTAATATATGTTTGTATGTATATATGTGTGTAAGTATGGTTAACATGATATAGATGATATATGTATAACCATCCTTGCATGTTGTGTCTTTTTATGTCACAGTTATGTTATTTGTATTGAATAATAAATTATTATAAATAAAAATTATAGGGTTTATTTCAATTTTTTTTTATTTTTTTTAATGTTTTCTAAGTAATTTAAGTAAAAAGAAAATGTGCTTGGCTTTCTGAGAAATCGTTTGAAAAATCCAGGTTAGACATCCCTATTGGCTTTATGTTTATGTACCAGGCACCGATGTCATATTAAAGGAACCCTGTAGGGTCAGGAACACAAACATGAAATTTAAATTATTGTAGTTTTCAACAAATTCAGATTTATTTATGATTGTATTTCACCTTATTGTATTTAACTACTAATGTTCTTGATTTGTCATTCTCATATTGCATAGCATTCAGTTTCTGTGTTTTACGTTCCATCAGTGTTTTTTTTTTACTTAATGTTTCTTCTTTTGATCTCCATTTACAGGCTCCCAGTGGCCCGGTCAGCACATGGGGCCACCGTTTACAGTGATAAACTCTGGATCTTTGCTGGATATGATGGAAATGCAAGGTGTGTTAGACATAAAAATAAAGACTTTTTTTTTTTTTTTTTTTCTTCACAACTTCACATTTAATTTGTTTTAATATGATTTCCTGAGTATAATACAAGCTACCTTTTTATAACCGGGATGATTTTGCAGAAAAATAGTTTTTGGCTAAAAGTCCATTTAGTCACTGTTGTGAAAAAGCTATACCTTCCCCTTGCTGGTGTACTGATTGGGAACTTGCCATACATGCCACCCTACCTCTTTTGTTCTTTCTTATTTTGCAACAAACTAGGAAAAAAATTTGCCCTCTGTAATCTGAGGCTACAATTTGGAAGCCTTGGACGAGGTGCTGCTGATTGGCTGAGAATGTAAGGTGATAAACTCATCCTATCACTGGCTCTCCGTTCAGAACAGTTAGTGAAAAAGGAACGTGTTTTTGTCAAAACATAAAAAAGATAGCACTTATGACCATTTCCTCCTGCTGCATTTTGTAACCATTGAAAGTCCAAAATGCTGAATATTTTTTTTTATGGACAGTCACTTGAGAGCATAAGCAGTAAAGATTACTTTTGTGTTCTAAAATTGAAATGTTATATACACTCCTGGCATAGAGTCTAAAACAACAAAGTATATGTCAATGTCCAAATACTAATGGATGGTGCTGCTAGTGACTAGCATAATATATACATATGAAATTGTCATAACAGTAAAATGGGATTCATTATGATCTTAAATCACTTAAAATAATTCTATGGAAACTAATAACGTCAGTACTTGGAATTGTAAAGTATCCTATTGTTAAAATGTAAAAATTACATCACACAAACTTAAAAACAACAGTACTTGTTGGAATCAGTGAGTTATTTTTTTGTGTAGGTTCAACAACTTGTTTTAAGTTGCCATTCATCAAACAATCTCTAAGTTGTGTGAAATTCTCTACATCTCTATATAATCTATTTATGTGTAACCAATGTTTTAATAAGGGCTAGTACAAGCATTTTTGAATGGCTTCACGCTTACCTGGGTCTTCTGGGCTGACTTCTTCTGCATTTTATCTCTATTTGGATGGAATTTTTTTGAGAAGAACATTAGCATTCCCTCTCAGCCCGTGAATTCCTTCCAAAGACCAGTGTAATTGTCACAAATGCAGAAGAAGGGAATTCACTTGAGTAATATCTGTAGATGGGCCCAGACTTGAGGCATCAAGGGGACTCAAATACGTGTTAAGCTTTTCTAAAACAATTTGACTTCCCGCTCTGAAATGGTTATGGGACTGCACTTTTAATGATTTAAAATTTTTAAAACAAAAACACTTTTTTTTTTTATATATATTGATTTTCTTCTCTTTAGATTAAATGACATGTGGACCATCGGTTTGCAAGACCGTGAGGGGACCTGCTGGGAACAGGTAATTTAGACAGTCTTTCTGGAAAAACTAGATATTTGTGTGTCTTGGGCTTCATGATGTGTGTCAAAGATTTATTTCCGAGGCCTGAAAAATAAGTTAAATACAGAAATCCACACTACTGTATTAACTACTATCCCGTAACGGAGGGCCTCCATCTTGGCTCCCTGTCAAACAGTGTTATAAACTCTGCACTTTTTGTTGGTCAGCATAGAAAGGAAGAGAAATAGAAACAAAGTTTAATAAAAAAATAGGTAGTGAACAGCGCAAAACAAAAAGTACATTAAAATGTGTATACACTTCAAACAAAATGTGTCACACTGTGTATTAATATATACCACTTATGTGTGTGCACCAAAAAACTGTACCAGTAATAGACTTCGAGTGCCACTGCAGATGGAAGAGACAAAAACTCTCATAGGGCAATAGTATACAATCCTTTAGAGATAGGGAAACTAATGTTTGCATTCTTTGCTTCTTACTATGTGTAATAGCAGCGTTTTCGGTAGAGAAACAAGTCCAAAATTACAATCTTTCCTGATAAACTACAAAATAAAAAATGTTTCTACATGAATAATTTTGAAATTATCTTTTGTTTTGCAGGACCATTTGAATTTTTTTTGACTTCACTTTTCTAATCCTCAGTTTTTGACTGTTCATTTCAGATTGAACAAAGTGGGGAGATTCCCCCTTCTTGCTGTAACTTCCCAGTGGCCGTTTGCAGGGATAAAATGTTCGTCTTCTCTGGTCAGAGTGGTGCAAAAATAACAAATAACCTTTTCCAATTTGAGTTTAAAGAAAAAGTGTAAGAGCAAAATATTTCCTCAGTTTCTTTTTGTCTTGGAAACGTAAAAAAAATGTAATCCCCTAAAAACAAACCTTTGAAAGTTCATTGTTGTATACCATTACCTTTTGTTTGTTTTTATGTGATGATTAATTTTCCGCATGATTAATATACATCTAATTTGTGACAGTTCTTTGTATGTCATGTGCATCTGTACACTCCACATTTACTTGTTTCTCTCTTGTCAATAAACCCCTTTTAATCATAAATATTTGAAAATAACCCTTTGATTACAACTCAGATGAGTTGCTTATATTGCTTCTTCGGAGTACTCAAATTGTTTATTTTCATGCCTGCTTTACTGATAGTGGAGTGGTTTTGTTTTGTTCCTGTTTTATATTACTGTGATTGTTTATTTGCTTTTTGTTATTGACAGAACTAAAGGTCTCAAGATGGCCATTGATTTGTTTGGATTAAGATGTTTACATATTTTGTTATAAATTACCACTAAAGGCACACAGACAGTTTCATATCAGTGAAGGTCTGGGTGCAGTGTCCTTGTAGTTTTAACCCTGCAATGTAAATCATTAAAGTCTTATAGAAACTGCAATTTTTCTATTGCAGGGTTAACTCCCCTCTAGTCGCTGTCTTTGTGACAGCCACTAGAGGTCCTTCTCAATCAAATGCTCCTCCTAGAGCAGCATTTGATTGGCGTAGAGCGGGGATTTGCTGCACATGCGCACTTGCCTCTATGGGGAATCATTGGATTGGGTGAGATATCCGGCAAGGAGGTGTGGAGGCCCATGAGAAAAGGTAAGTATATCTAACGTTTTCATCCGCTTGGAGTGGGGGGGTAACACCTAAAGAGCTACATGTTTGTATTCCTAATGCTATTATTTAATTATCTTCTAACCACTGTTAAAGGGTTATTTAACTTTTTAATAGAGGTTGGTATATTATTTGTGCGTTCTGAGACTTTGAGCCTATGTATATTTTTGTGGCTCCACTCCTTTGATCAATTAGCATTATCTGAATGAACAGGCCTAAACTTTTACAACATTGGAGCATTTTTTATAATTCCTGCTTGAAGAATCTTCTAGCCACACATTATTCCACTTGTATATAACATTTAGAATTTATACTTATGATTTTGTGGCTGGGGGTGGAAAGTAGTTTTAGTGAGACCAGAAAGTCCAAAACAAAAATGCCATTGCAAACGTTCACACTTGCAACACACAAATTTCCACATTAATGCATACTGCACACATGCCACGTAAACTACATTTTAAAATATTTGTACAACATCTGTTTTATCCATTTGTATTGCTGCAGTGATGCTGCACACAAACCCTTGCATTTGCTTACATACACAATAATATCACACGGACGCAATATATGCAAATACACGCATTGATAACATGTAGAAAATTCAGCACATGTATTCACCCTGTCAATATGCACAGACCTCCTACTGAAATACAACCCTCAGGCATATGTAAATGTTTGTGTATTCACCTTACACAAACAAATACACATTATGCAATATTTAATTATTATATGTATATTAGATTTGAGGGTCCCAAGGGGCTATCATTTTGCTGCTAGTCTACCCAATAACTGTGTAAACTGGTCCAGCTGCTGAAGAATGTATTGTGTTAAATGCCAGACAGTCCTTATTCTCATGCAAAACTGAAATAAAATGTACTTCGCTAACAGGCTCTAATAAATGATCATAAACTGCATCGGTTATTATGTTCTCTCTCTTCACAGCTGGATGCGTATCCCCACAGAGCATTTATTACGCGGGTCACCTCCACCTCCACAGCGTCGCTATGGACATACTATGGTAGCCTTTGACCGTCATCTTTATGTGTTTGGGGGTGCAGCAGACAATACGTTACCCAATGAATTGCACTGTTATGATGTAGACTCCCAGTCCTGGGAGGTTATCCAGCCTAGCCCAGATAGCGAGGTGAGGAATAACACTGCTGCAATATTAACAGATTCATGCACTAATCTAATATTATTGAAGGGGGTTTAAAAATGGAACTAAACATCATTGTTATTCTTCATTAATGTAAATAAAGAGTTTACCCCTAAACCTTTTAAGTAAAATCAAACTTCCATCCAGAAGATTGGGATTATTAGGTCACCTTCAAGTAGGCATTAATTAACCCTGAAAAGTGTGGCCTTGTTCCTTTGAATAGTATTTACACAGAGGCAAATTAGTTAGTGAAGGTATTACATAGTTACACAGTCTGAAGAGACTTGCGTCCATCAAGTTCAGCATGTCTCAAATCTGTTTTTGTTGTTGTACCAAAAGAAGGCAAAAAAAAAAAAGTTTGAAGCTCATTCCAATTTTACAATAAACTAGGGGGAAAAACAGAATGGTAGTGAGATCTCTCATTGGATCAAGAAGCTGTTACCCCTTCTATAAAAATATATATATTCCAAAATATTCTGTAAAGCTTGTTTTGATTTCATTTATTTTGAATGGATGTAAAAAATGAATACAAATTAACTGTGTTAAATAAGAGGGATGGAGACATGGGAGCAATGATTCATTACAGTTTTTAGGCTATGCTGAAAGTTAAATTAAACCCATTATGAGTTTTACAACTTTAGCAAAAGCCCCTCTCCCTTCCCCCTGCACATGAGAATAGGAAGATGGATGGGACAGGTCTTTTTCTGTTCTCACATGTCAGTAAATTCTTTAGCATAGACACTAGTCCGAAGAATTGACTGACCAATCAGTGAAAGACCTATTTTTAAATAGTTTTTTTTTCTCCCAACCTACACATTTGCTAGCACTTTGTATATATGTAATTTTATGCTGTTTAAAAGGAGCATAAGTTGTAGAAACGATAACTGGTACCCTTTGTATTGTAAATAGAAAAAGTCTGTTTCGTTTTTTTTCTTTTATTTCGCTGTTTAATATAAATTCTGTTGTGTGCTCAGAGGTCTGTTAAGTATTAACGGCGTTCTCCAAGTAGAAGATTCCAGGGTTACCTTTAATTAATAGATATATCTATTAATTGCAGCTCCCCAGTGGCCGCCTGTTCCATGCTGCAGCCGTTATATATGATGCGATGTACATATTTGGTGGAACTGTGGACAACAATGTTCGGAGTGGAGAGATGTATCGCTTTCAGGTATAATGTTGCTTTCCTAGTATCTAGGTAATTAGTTGACAAAGACCTTAATATCCTTTTTAAACGCCAAATTAAAATCTGAATGGCAGCATTTGGGCCAAAATACCTCTTTACATGTGGCTGCCTGTGTGAAGGAAGCTGGCAGAGGCTCCAGGACCAGAGTCTGTACTAGGGGAATGGGAGCAATCATTTGTGTGTACTATACAAAATATTGGTGTGTCCACAAACCAACGTACATATAGAGAAAAGTAATGGAGAGGTTTGAATGCCCCAAAGATCTTCCTTCTGTCTTATAAAATAGATATATACAAAAGTAGGGGAACATTCTGCTAAAAAAAAAAAAAAAAACACAGAATGCCAAACAACATATAGAATAACTGGTTATAAAGTGCCAAAAATGTGCATTCCAATTGGCACAATTTAGGAGTTTATAAACAGTTATGCGTTATGATGTTTTACATTCAGTTCTTTATTTTTTAGCAGCATATTCCCTGGGGTAAGTAATTGACCCTGGGGGAATGGGATATTGGCAATAGAAGATGGCAATGGATTACAGATAATGAATGGTTGGACTACACCCTTGTAATCACACACTCGCCCTCTATAGTACCTAAATGGATTAGTTTCTAATAATTTGTGTAATTTTATATATATATACATACATACATACAGGAAAATGTGGAAGTGGTAAGTCGGGATAAGAAAGATGGAGCAGTAAATGCAGGACCTTTTTTAATTTTGTAGTTATTTTATTACTTTAAAGAGGCAGCCCAAGCACCATAACACTAATGACCTTTATAGTGGTTATGGTGCTAGCAACCTATGGGCACTGTTATCTGCTTCTGTGTCAAACCATTCTTGTGCACAAAAACGGGAACTCCTTGTTGCTTGCTGACATATTCTGTGCTATATTCATTTTGCAGCAGAAATAGAAATTCAGCAAACAAGGCTATGAAGTTTTGATGATCTCCTGCCTTCCATGGCCTTAGTATGACTTAACTGACTGTAGTAAATGTTTTCTGTTGTGAGCTTCCATCTGCTTCATTGTTCGATACCAAGGGTTATTCCTTAAGTGTGAATTGTCAGGAATTTAAGGTGAATTTAGGAAAACCTAGACAAACTGGAATCATAGCTGATGGAGAATTCACATTTACGTAATTAAAGACAATTCACACTAGAAAGAATAACCTCAGTAGTGTGCACATTGTGTGACTGTATGCATAAAACACTCTTTACTTGCAGTCTTTAGCCAACCTAAAAGTAATGTATGTTTAGGTGCTGTGCATCAATTTAATGTTTCACTTAAAACATTTTTTTTCTTTAGTTTTCTTGTTACCCTAAGTGCACTTTACATGAAGATTATGGAAGACTGTTTGAGAACCAACAGTTCTGTGATATAGAGTTCATTCTAGGAGAAGTAAGTAACTATAATTATATATGCATGTATTACATTGTGCCAAGCTTTTCTTCCCTAATATACAATACTGGTTTATACCAAGGGTAATTCTACAATCCCGATAACATCTAAACATTTCCAGAACATGTTACTTACTGTGGCAAGAGTTTGCAAATACTAGAAAATATATACTCTGTTCACTGAACTGGGTTATGGTAGGTAGAAAACCAGATATGCCACAATAGGCAAGTTGGAGATTTTGGCCTACATTTTTGGCCTACATTTTGCAAATTCAATTTTCACTTCATCAAACGGAATCGCTATAATAAGCAAGTAAATTTTTACTTTAAAGGTATATGCATTCTAAAATCTTATAAAAGAACATTTAGTCAGTTTGTTACTTGTGTTTGTTTCATTTACACACTGTGCAACATGAAGATAAAATAAACATTGATAGGCCCAAAAGCAGCAGGCGACAGCGCAACACCCGAGCATACCGAAGCACCCAACAAACAGAAGACCGAGCCTCCCGAAGGAATCAAATCTGTGGACTCATGGAGCTAACCTTTGTCACGACTTGGGTTAAAAGAGTGACTATCCCACACCCACAAAGTACTGACCCTCAGTGGACATTCAAGGCTCATGGAACATCCCACCCAAGTCGGAGAATCGGTTGACTGTAACAGCATGGGTCAGCAGACCCCCCAGCCAATACTCCCGAAGGCACGCTTCCAGGCAACGTGGGGACAACTCCTGATTTGTATGACAACTCTTTCCCACTTCATCTAACCTATAAGCTGACTCTGACCTGTGTGCTTTGACCTGTTAAGTCATCCCGAGCTGGCTCTCTCCTACACCACAGACTAGGTGTGCGGAGAGCAACCAACTTTTGATCTGGGACTCAGACTCGAAACCTAATAACTGCACAGTATACAGACGCAACCCTGCATCTACAATGAAAAATCTAGACTTAACATGTCTCACACACACACACCAGAGAACGAGACAACTATGCTGACAAGGACCCCTCACAACATGAAGCTCAGTGCCACATCTTAAGCCCCGGTACACACACAAGTAGCTTTAACTCTGACACTGCACATAACAACTGCATACTCTGTCTCGGGTCACATAACCTGGTGAAACACAAGCCCTCTCAAAGGCAAAGCGGACACCTCACACCTCGGAACCGAGCAAACACAGCTTACGGAGCACACCAGCCTACACCTCATCAGGTCACACCAACGGCAGCAGCACGTAGTGACATACTCTCTTATCCACATTAGAATGGAAGGATGCAGACCCCCAACACTCACACAACTCCCAGAGCCAAATAAGTACACAATCCACATAGTTACCTATGTTCATGTATATGCCTAAAGCTACTGTCTTGCCATGCAAGGTTATTGTATATTTTTCTTTCGATCTTGAAAATCAGCATGTTTAAATCATACTTGCAAACATAAGTGAGGCAGGAAGGACTAGGAACTGTCTAAACATAGTGTGAAAACTAGCTCGCTCTCTAAACATTATAATGTCAAAATGTAAAACTTGATATAATCGCTTACCTGCCTTTAGCATGAAGCCTAAGCTAGCGTATAGCACTAAATATTTTAATCCTGCAACACTTAGCTTATATGCCTGTATCTGTTCAAGTTGTAAGCTCATCTTTTAAAATTAGCCTGTCTTCACAAACTAAAAATGCGCTACTGTTGATGCCACTGTTTAGCCTGTTTAATATGCACATGTACGCTGTTGTGGCGTTTGTCGTTGTTATTGTAATCACTTGCGCAACAAAAATAAAGAATTAAGAAAAAAACAAAAACATTGATATATTTTAAAGGGTTTTTTTTCCCCCAGAGAGCACTGTGGGATTTGCATTATAAAGAACAATTCTAAAAGTGGAGCCAGTCGTTCCTATATGTTCCACTTTTTGAATCTTTCACCACATTTGCACTCTTCTAGTTTTTAATCCAGAGAAAATACAAGCATGACATAAGAATCCTCAATAAAGTAATTGAGCATTTGTAGTGTATAAGACAAGTGCAGTATGTGTAATGCCGCTTATTAGAAAATGTATTAAAGAAAAGGAGTAGCAGCATTGTAAGCATGTTATGCTTTAATTTAACATGATCTTGTACGAACACTCACATAAGTTCAAATTTGTAGGTAAGTTATGTGATCTAAGTTTTATGCAAAAATAGCCCTTGAACAAAAGATACAGACTTTACCAGATTGGCCACGGGATGCTTTAAAATGATTCCAGGCAGGTAGCCTTCTATAAATTTTTAATTTGTATGTGTTAATGGCAATTTTAGAATTTTGAATCTGGCGACAATTTGAATAATTATGAAAGTTCTATGTATTTTGGTACAGTGCAGTACTTTCTAAATACATTATTAGGTATTGCACGTCTGAATGAAGTCAATAAAAACTTGGTGTTGGAAACAAATTCCTGCTACAAATATGTAAAGCACATAATGCCAGGGATTCCATTCAATCGTAATCTTTTATACAAAGCGTGGAGTGACCATTACAACTGTGAGTTATGAAATGACTTGGTCCACAACAAAAAAATGGTGTAAGGAAAAGAATGGTCTATACGCCAAAGTTGTTTTGGTGCTTCGAGTATTCCTTTAAGCATTCTGTACATTTGACGCTTTACTACATTTTTAAATCTGAATGTATGTTTTTGCTAATTTGTTTTCTGTCTGCCAACAATAAGTGCCATGAACTAAGAAGTGCTCATTTGTGGAATATAGTTTTATAAGTTTGCTGGCAATATCTGTTATTATAATATGGTTTTATACAGATACACTAAAAACAAATCCTTCTATATTTTACAACTAGAAAGAGGAGCGAGTGAGGGGTCACATTAGTATTATCACAGCTCGATGTAAATGGCTAAGGAAGAAGATTACGCAAGCAAGAGAGAGGCAACGACAGGTTAGTACTATGTCAAGGGGGTGTCGCTGTATTGGCCAAATCACTTGATAACGTGCACTCTGGGTTAGGATTTCTGTCTTGTTTTACATATCATTCACTATTTTGCACAATACATTTTTGGAGTCGCCTGCACCTCTCAAACCAATTATATGGAAGTCCAGTATTGCCTGCACCTCACAAACCAATTTTATGGACGTCCAATAACCCAAAGTTTTAGGTGTTTCCCAGTTTTGTTCCAGTGGAGATATCCATACAATCTGGACATGGTGTTATTTGAGCAACGCACAAGGTGTATTGACCTAGAAATACTGTGCTGTCCAAATTATTTGAAGTCTTTAAAAGGGGATTTTTTTTTTAATATATTCAGAACATGTTAGTGGTTGGAGTACAATGAATGTTTAGTTACAGCTTTTTTTATATTGGTTTGGCAAAAACCCAGAATCGGCCTCTATGCTTTCGCTGAGATAACCTTCTGCATTTTCCATACAGATTGTCTAAATTTCAACACAAATAATAGGTTATAAGCCCGAACTCCACTTGACACACAGTAGAAGTCTGTCAGTTTAAATACCCAGGTGCTTAAACGGCTGATTTGGACCAATACCAGCGCAGATCGTGGTAAAAAAAAAAATTTTAAAAAATTGCTGCGTTCTTTTAAATGGAAGCTGACCTTGTATGTAGTAGATCTGTAGAAAAATGCATACAATTGCTGAAATGTTGATGATTATTACACCTGTTTATGCATACCATGTACACTGCCTGTCTATATAATGTATGGTTTTTTGTTTTTGTGAATTTGAAGAATCAACTTGGCAATTGATTGTTAAGGATAAGTGATCTTTGTTTTTTTGCCATTAGGAAATGAAGCCAGATTCAGATGAAGAAGTTCAAGGTCTGCAACCTAAACCTGAGAATACAAGTAGCCAAATAAAAGTGTCACAGCCCATGTTGGAAGTGACAATTCGTGATGCTGAAGCACGACCATTTGAGTTGCTCATGCAATTTTTGTACACTGACAAAATAAAATATCCACGGAAGGGTGAGCTAGCAATATAGTGCTGTTTTTTGAGGGTTTTATTTTTTTTGTGGGGGGTAGGGGGAAAGGAGGGAAGAAGAGGTAGGGTTGAGGAGGATGGGGGGTTGTTGTATATTTTTTTTGGAATTACCATAATTGATTCCACAGAGAAAGTTGCAAATGCTTACTCAACTATATTGACTTTTTATATGTATTCATGTGTGCAAACACTGTTATATCTCCAGAATTTGTTTTGTTTTTGTGAATTAGATTTCTTTGTAATTTTGCTTTAATACTTATTTATTTTCCTGTCGCAGGTCATGTTCAGGATGTTCTTCTAATCATGGATGTGTATAAGTTAGCACTGCACTTTAAACTTTCCCGTCTGGAGCAACTGTGTGTTCAGTACATAGAGGCCTCTGTTGACCTTCAGAATGTCCTTAATGTGTGTGAAAATGCCAACAAACTGCAGCTGGACCAATTAAAGGTAAAATAAACCCAGAATATCTCAAGGCTCTTAACTTTCCATAGCATGAGAAATCTCCAGCTGCTATTATTAAGGAGGCAGTGTTGTTGTTAAATGAAACCCCTGCCATCAGCGTGAATTTTAAGAGAATTTTAATAGTTAAAGCTGAACCTCATTATTATATAGTATTTTGCATATTTTAACAGACCGTAGAAGAAACTGAGTTTGAGCTAAACAATTTAGGTGTTTCTTGCATTCCTTGCACATGCTTTCCATAAAATTGCCAACATTTGGGTGAGGTGACTGTTTCGGCAACTCTTCCTGTTTTCCACTAATGCGCAAACTTTAATTTATCCCAATTGATCCCATATGATATGCAATTACATACAATGCCTTCACCAATTTCCAAGTAATGACAGCGGCAATGTCTTCTGTGTTCCGTGTTTCTTTCTCTCAGGGCAGGTTCTAGGGGTTTTGGTGCAGATCTTACTTACTAATTTAGCACAGCATTTAAAGGGACACTCAACACCTGTTTTAATGCATCATGTATTTAATATATAAACAAGTAAATAGTAAACAAAAATAAATACTGAATTTTAAGTCACTCTATTTGTTGTAAATGACATGAATCCTCTCTCTCTGAGTTATTCCCTAAAGTAAGAATTCAAAGTGGATTTCAAATGTAAAGGGCACGCCCCAAACAACCTATGCTCATTAGATTGGGCATATGATTTTATCTATACATTTTGCAAGCACTTTTGTTAGCAAATGTTATTTAAAAATAGTTTTTTGGCAAGGAATTGACTGCCAAGGGAAAGCAGAAAAGACCTCCCACAGGACGTCCCTCTGCTCTCCATGCATAGCAACCAGAGCACATGGGCTGTGGTTGCTATGGAAACTCCCTAGCCTGCACCTCTAGTGCTAGCTAGGGAGTATAGGGATGGAGTGACACATTTTCAATTGAACACACCATGTATTTTTTGTGGTATATGGTGTATTCAATGTATATGGTACAAACTCTACAAAAAAAAAGTTATCTTTTATTCCAGTTCAGCTTCTATGGAGTTAGATTTTAAATTGAATTCTCGACAAATCTCACATTAGTTAAAAACCCTCTTATGAATGTGGATCTACTGATTGGCTTAGAGCAGCAGCTTACCACTCTAGCTAATCAACATTGCCACTGCCCAGCAGCACTCCGCACTCACTGAAACTCAATTTCAGAATCCGCATGCTGCTGTGGAAAATGGAGATGGAGTGCCAGAGGCAACCTTTGTGGTTAAACTGTTCAAGAACGGTTTAACCCCTTCAGGTAAGAAAGCACCCGGTTGCTTGCTCACGCCATAACTTAATTTTAATGAGTTTGGTATAGTGACCAGAGTTTTCCTTTAATGCTTCTGATCAGATGCCTTCTGCATTGTCATGGGATGAAAGTCAAGGCAAAATCACATTGTTTACTAAAATGTCAATAGAAAAACAGGATGCAAAATTCAGGCAGATGTTGTCATTTGGGACTATAGCTAAGCTGGGGCGGTTTTCCAAATTAGCTTGTTTTGGCAAAATATTTTAATGATAGTTTTCAATATACTTTATTTTAATGTTTGGTGAATTCACTCCATTAGTATTTTATGGTTACCGGTTTAAGGAGACTGTGATGCCAAAGCAAAAGTTCACGCTTTCTGGCTGTGTGGCACTTCCATTGCTTTTACTGGGGTGATTTAAAAAAAAAAAAAAGTGCTTTATTTTTTTATTTATTTACTTTTTATAGCTCAATCCACTGGTTAAATAAAAACATTAATTGCAGCAAAGCATATAAGGATCACTAGGGAAAATACAATATAAAATATTTTAAAGTCATTCCATGTTAAACATACAAATACAGGTTACCTCACCATTTTAGAAATGGTTCTACTTATCGTAGATCAGTGAATTTCAAAGGTCTAAAGTTGAGGGTTAAAATCGGAGGTTCCTTTGTCAGATTTCCACAGCCATATAGTTTGTGCGCTATATGATCCAGCTAAACAGGATTCTGGCATACTTTAGTTACATGTCAGAACTTCTATGATGAGGCTGGTCTGTGCATCTTGAGTACAGAGTCAAACATAATGATATTCCAGCAGTATAAACCTACACATCCTGTTTATTAACATAAAAATAAAAACAAACTGTTAAACTAGTCAGACAATGTATGGACATTTTAAATGCACCTACATAAAGGGAAGAGGGGTGTGGCCTGCAGGACCAACCACATACCTAAACACCTGTACATAGTTTGCACATTTGTTACTACGCTAATAGGAAATTTTCATTTATTTTTATACCACTAGAATCTAGTTACTGTTGTTGTGCAAGGATGTTTGATCCTATCCATACACTCTCGCCATACTATGCTCTATTAGGTGTGTCTTTTTAAATTAGTTTCTCTGCTTTTAGGAACACTGCTTAAATTTTGTGGTAAAGGAGTCCCACTTCAATCAAGTGATAATGATGAAAGAATTTGAGCATTTGTCCTCTTCACTGATTGTGGAGATTGTTCGTAGAAAGCAGCAGCCCCCACTTCGGCTCCACTCTGATCAACCAGTTGATATAGGTCAGTGTTATTTTCATACAATTCTGATTGATAAAGTGACATTGTTTTTATACCACTGTTGAAGAAAGGCACTGTGTGAAATAAACCATGCATTACACAACAACATCAGAGTTACAGACTATCGAGAATCAGACATTAAAGGGACACTCCACACACCTAAAGAACCTTTAGCATGCTGAAGTGCTTTACGTGTGAAGAGTTGCATTGGGAAGTCTGGACAGCCATGGAAAGTCTGAGCTAAGAAAGAAAGGGAGGACTTGCAAAGGCTTTAGGCAGCTTTTGTAAGCTGTTTTGAGAAATTCTACCAGTGGAAAGAATTGCATAAATAAATGCAGGCATGTTTTCTTTGGGGTATATCTACTAAAGAGTGAGGGTTTGTTTTTGGGGGGAGGGGGCAATGGAGATAATGCAGTAAGATTAGGCTTATGCAGTACATGGGTATAAATACAACCCCATCTCCCTTACCTCCACGGCTCTCTGAAAATTCCTTGCAACAAAAAACCATAAGGCATGGCAAAATAACACTGCAATAAATTTCCATTAATTAAAGGAACACTGTAAGCACCATAACCACTAAAGGGTATTCAATATTATGGTGCTTGGTGTCTCTGTCAAACCATTTGATTAAAAATATGGTTACTCCTCTGCTGCCACCAAGGTAATACAAGTTTTCTAGGTATGTGTATGCAAAATCATTGACCTCGGATAGTAAACAAGCCCTTTATGTTGCTGCTGCCTGTGAATACCCATAATGAGTGATAAAATGTAGTATTTTCTCAATGTCAGGGACTACTTAACCCTTACTTGCAAATAATAGGTCAGAACAGAAAAATAAATGACAGGTTCAAAGCCATGAGTGGTGAAGCTTAATGGAAATATCCCAGAGGGGTGAAAACATGTAGAAATTTGACACGGGCAAAATTGCCGAAATGGTAACAGAGGTCGGAGCAACAGAAAAGCCCAAACTAAGGCAAGTTAGGACACAGGAGAGGAGGAACAACGGATAAATAAGCCAAATCAAAACCGTGAACACCATTAATATCAAGAACATGTTATCTGGTTAGCAGTGGACAAGACATAGCATCCTCCTAATGGGCAGCAAGGTTTAAAGGTAAACTATAGAGTTAGAAATACATATCTGTCCCTAGTTAGTTTCAGGCCTCCCCAGTGAGTGTTTAAAAAAAAAAAAAATAATAATTTTTTTTTCCCCCACCTTTACTCCAGTGCCAAGTGTCCCTCGGCATGCCACAATCTCCTCCTTGCTTGATGTCTTCCTGGAGAAGTGTCCCTACGGGGAAACAATGGAAATAATTTTGATGATCTCAGACAAGGAGGCTGGTGCGGGACATAAATAGGTTTATTAAGACTACAGTGTTAGGAGTACATGTTTCTATTTGTAATGCTATTGTGTTCCCTTAATTTAATGGGTTACTCCAACCACCTTGACCACTTCAGTGATTTGAAGTGGTCATCATGGTAGGAGTCTGTATGTGCAGGGTTTTATCTTCTCTAAACTACACATCCAGAGTTATATTTAATTGTGTTCTGGGGCTAGTTGCACCCCCAGTACACTTGACATTGGCAGCCCAGAACTCTTTTTCGGATTGCTAATGTTATTCTGTGCATATACTCCATCTGTCGGAAGCGTGCTGTGTGAGCAGACAACAGATGGAAAATATGCACAGAATGACACTGGCATTGGCAAACGTAAAAAGTTCTTCCACCTTACAGGTCAAGCACCTGCATGGGAAAGCTAGATTTCACCTCCCTTTCACCCTGGGACGCTCTGTTTTACCTCCCCTTGTCACTTAAATGTTTTGTTTTTTACATCCCTCCCCCTTCCAGCCCTGTAGAAGCCTGTAATTGGACTCTGTGGGTGACAGATTATGTTGGGAGGGGGTGTGGAAGAGCAGGGAGAAATACACCTAACATTCGTGCCCAGTAGGGTTTTTTTGTATTTAAAAAAAAATTTACAAAAATGTACGTTTGCGAAGGGTTGGATTAACCCTTTAACCTTACTACAAGCTACCTCATATTCTGACATTTTGAACTTTGTGTATGTTACTTTTCAGGCACCTCTTTGGTCCAGGACATGAAGGCATATTTGGAAGGAGCAGGGAGAGATTTTTGTGACATCACTTTGCTGCTAGATGGACATCCTAGACCTGCACATAAAGCAATCTTAGCTGCTCGATCTAGGTATCAGATGTTATTTTTATATTTGACACACACTATAAATTGCTTACAACATACCTGCATACCTGCTGAATTCCAGTGCCTCATTTACAGGACAGCTGTCTTCAGTTTCACTTAAGTTTTGGTTTGTTTTTTTTGTTTTTTTTCATGCCTTCTTGACTCCATAATGGCAATCAGATTTCTCCTTGGATCAACAACCTGTTTACATACATATCAGTTATATCCTTGAATATTCTGTTCGTGCAAAATGCATCCAAGCCTTTTTTATCGAATGTGATATAATAACCCTGTTTAGGCTGAGAATTTCACATCTTTATTGTTCCTACTGTAAAGAATCCTTTCTTTTGTAAGCGAAAACACCTTTTTTTTTCCAGTCTCAATAGGTGATCTCGTGTCTGTTGTATATTTCTGCTAATGAACAGCTTAGTACATAGTGGTTTCTACTGACCCTGTGTATATTTGTATAGTGATATCATCTCCTCTGAAGCACTTTGTTTTTAAAGAAAACAAATCCAGTTTTTCTAGCCTTTCCTTATAACTCCATTCCTATTACTAGTTTTGTAACTTTTTCTAGTTCTGGTGCCCATGCTACTACTACTCAAGCGACATGTCTACTCAGCCGTACATACACCACACTAACCCACTTAGTTAAGTGGCAACCACAGATATTACTCTCGCCTTCAGTAAGCTTGATTTAAAGGGACACTGTAGTCACTATAACCACTTTGTCTCTTTGAATTGGTTATAGTGCCTGGAGTTCCCTGGCACTGTCCCTCCATTCAGTGTTGCACCATGTTTGTGCAGTATGCCACAAAATAAGAGTCCCTGGCCACCCACAGTCCGGCCCCTTCTGTATGTGTAGCTAAGGCAGAGATTACATACTTCCTTGTTGTCATACCCACTCATTCCGTCAGTTGGAGCTCTGACAGGTTAAAAGCAGTCAGCTGACACTCTCAGCCAATCACAGCTGCCCATTGCTGCTCAGGGTAATACTTCCTTATTAGCCAAAGCAGCACAGAGGGGATGGACTGCCGTGGTCTCTTGTTTAGCATTAAAACATTACAACATTAAAAACTGTTTAATGCTGAAAGAAATGATGGCACCAAGGGACTCCATACACTATAACCAGTTTAATGAGATGAAGCAGATACAGTGCCTACGGTGTCCCTTTAACTAATCAGATATGTGTATCGAGCCTGTTATTTATTTTTATAAAATTGTGCAATTCCTATCTGTGCCGTGTACCATCATGAAAGCGACTGAACCACCTGTAAATGCTGTAGTGGTGCTCCGCATACATATATATTTGTACCTACAAAAAAAAAATAGTGCCCATAATTGCACATTCAAAGTGGGGTCTTACCATTGGTTTGTAAAGACGCAAAATTATATTTGGATCACGTGAATCAAAACCCCCTTTTCTACTCGAAATCACCTTACTGTTTTTTTTCAATGGCAGACCAGCATTGCATGCTGTTGCCTAGTTTGTGATGTATTATTGTTCCTAAATAGTTTTCAATTCATGTTATCCCTAACTCTACACCATTTAATGTATAAGTGGCTTGTGGGTTCCTTATTCCATAGTGCATGACTTTTTTTATTTGTATTGAATTTCATCTGCCACTTGCCTGTCTAGTCCCCCAATTTATCCAAATCCCTCTGTAGAGAAGCTATATCATGTTCAGACTGTATCATTTTTTTTTACCTAGTGTTGTGTTATCTGCAAACGCTGACAAATGAATTTCAATGTCCAGTTCAAGATCATTTATTAATGGATTAGAGAGAAGTTGACCCAGGACACAGCCCTGAGCCACTCCACTTGTCACTTTTTCATTTACAACTATTGTCTGCGCTCTATCTTTAAGCCAGTGTTCAAGAACATGATTTTTCATCTGAACCAACTGATTTCAGTTTTACTACTGGAACTTTTGTATGGAACTATCAAATGCCTTGACAAAATCTAAGTAGATCACATCTACTGGATCACTTTGATCTAGATGTCTACTAATCTTTTCAAGGCTACCAACTCCATTGATCTAGATGTCTACTAATCTTTTCATAGAATGCAATTAAGTTAGTTTGGTATGACCTGTCTTGAATATAACCCCTTAACAGCCCTTCAAATAATTTTCCAACCACAGATGTTAAGCTGACGGGTCTGTAGTTTCTGAGTTGAGCTTTTGAACCCTCCTAAATATGTAGTCGCCACATCTGCTTTTCTCTAATCCTCTCGTACAAGTCCTGAAAGAAAAGAATCCTGAAAAATTTATATCAGTGGTATGGATATTTCTACACTAAGCTCCCTAAACACATGTGAATGAATAACATCTGGCCCTGCGGTTTGTTTACATTAACTTTTATTTGATTTCTGAAGGACTTTATCGTGATGTAACCAATCACCTGTTTGCTGTAAGGCTTTTTGAATAGGAATTTGCAAATATACAGCCATAGATTCTTCTCCCCTATATACTGAAGAAAAATAATAATTTAGAATTCCTGCCTTGTCCTGATCATCCTTCATTAATTAACCCATCTCACTTTTCATTGGACTAAAATTTCACTCTTAACCTTTTTGGCATTATGGTACTTTTCTAAAAACAAAACTTTTTGGGATTGGTCTTGCTGTCTTTGGCTGTGAGTTTTTCATTTTCCAAGCTTAGCAAATCTAATCACTCTTTTTGAAGCCCTTTTGGCATGCTTATATGTGTTATAAGATGCAATCAACTCCTCTGATTTAAATGGTTTAAATGCCCCTTTATATTTCTTTGATCATTTGTCTGACCCTTATACTAAGCCATATTGTATTTAAAATTTAATAAACTATCACTTTTATTATTATTGAATAGTAGCTGCCAAGACTATACAGTATGTACAATTTGAATATATAAAACAACCTTAGATTGCAATTGAGATGCCTACCCCTTGTGCATGACATCTGGTTCTGTTTCTGGTTTTCCTTCTCTTATTTTTCCTAATTTGTCAATTATATTCAAATTGTACACATTTTTTATTTCAACCTTTTTAAGTTAGGAGTGTGAGTAAGGACTTTCCAAATAGCTCAATAACAATCAATAGATCAACACAAATTATGTTCTTTTAAAAACTTGCTTCCCTATGCTACAATTATATAATGCATGTGTTAAAATTGCAGATAAAGGGTAATGAGTTTATTTTTATTTTTTGGGTTAGAGGTTTTTCCAGAGCAGAGCAGTCCCAATATTTTGTTTCTCCAAAGCATGCAAACTATTGTCCTGTGTGACAAGTATAGATGGGGCACTAGGAGTTGTCACTGCCATGCAGAGTGGAACTGAATGTTCTTAATTAATTCGTTTTTCCCTATACAGATCAGAATCTTCAATGACAGTAATAAGTGCTGAAATGTCTGCAGGGCTTTTTTAGTGAATAAAAAGCGATCTTGGCTTTACATTAATAAAACAATCAAATGCCTGAATAGTAATTGAATACTCTGTATTTTCCACTCTATTAATGCAATTTGTCTATGCATATATCCACAGCTATTTTGAGGCCATGTTTCGCTCCTTCATGCCTGAGGATGGACAAGTGAATATCTCAATTGGAGAAATGGTGCCTAGTAAACAGGCATTTGAGTCTCTTCTGCGGTATATTTATTACGGAGAGGTGAACATGCCTCCTGAAGATTCCCTGTATCCTTTTCTAGTAATCCCAGCATGAAAGGAAATATACAGAGGTATATTTAATTGATAGGTGCACGTGCAGTGCATAACCCTTACTTTGTCTGTAGTCAGCAGTGCTTCGTGTTTCTAATCAGTTATCCTGGATGTTTGTCTACAAGCCCATCCTTTATAGCCCTTGTTACTTACCTTCTCGATGGTGTACAGCGTGTGCCAGTAGTAGATCATACATGGTATAGATATCCCAGCAGTTTGCAATCCATGCTGGTGTGGGTAGTGATTTGCCAGAGGGATAAATCAGACTTTTTGCTAAATGCATTGTTTAGAATATATGTTGTAATTTTATACCTTTTGTTTTTTTTCCCTAAGCTACAAACATAAACGTGTGATGTTTGTAGCTTAGACGAAGCCTGTAGTAACTTTAGTGTTTATTTGGGAAAAAGAAAAGTAGCATTTTCTATTTTAACATCAGGTTTTTGCATATTTCATTTTGTTATAGTTTGTACTTTTTTGACATGCTATTAGTGAGGTTGGGAGTCAATCAATAGACTGAATGTTTTCAATGTGTGTCTCATGCAATTTAGATTGCTATAGCGTGCACCAGCCAAAAACAGAGCAACCGGATGCATCAAATAGCACTATAACGTGTTTGTTGTTGTTTTTTAAAGGGTTACTTTTATGTACCATAACTTCCACAGCTTATTTTAGTTGTTATAGTGTTTAAAGCTATCCTTGAAATGACACTAAAGTCAACCGGCCCACTTAATCTCAATTTAGTCTGAGTGCAGTGGTCCTGTCTATTTTAACTCTGCATTGTAAAACATTGCAGGATTAAATCCACCTCTTTTGGCTGTCTTCTGCTTTACTGACCGTGTAAAAAAGTCCCATGATTCAGAAGCTCATAGGAAAGCAAGAGGCTCATTCGCATAAGGTCTCCAATGCTGCTTTATGAGGAGCATTGAATTGAACCAGTGATGGAGGAGGCCATACCTCCTCGATGACATTGCAGGGAAAAGTTGAGTTAAACCTTTATTTTATTTATTTTTCTGGAAAGGAAGGTACACTATACATAACTAGGGAGAGGGGCATTATAGTATTAGCATTACGGTTTTATATTCCTAACGTTATAGTGTTCCTTATTATCCTTTCCATTTTCGTGATATTTTCCAGTTCATCTCCATCCTCCTACTTTTTGGGGTCAGATAGGGAAATCTAGTTTCCACATTGAGCAAGCTCGTGCTGTTAGTCTCTATGGAACTGCCACTTGCCGAATATTTATACAGGCACACAATACTGTTCCTTACCTTTCTTACTGCACAACTCCTGCAAGTGAAAGAAATCCAATCAATGGAGAAACTTTCTCATATAATATTTGTGTGAAGGAGGTGGAGGCTCTGATGCTCCCTAGTGGTATAGTGAGCTGAGCCGCAGAAGCCAGAGGCCACGGCGGTCGCCATTCATTGACTGAGGGCATCAGCTGACTGCTCTCAGCCAATGACTTGACATTCCCCACAGATTGAGAAGAAGGCTGTCAAAATGGAGAGAAATTAAGTGGTAAGTTTTCAGAGACGGTTTTGTAGCACCACAACCAATTCAGAAATTGTCCCACTTTCATTGTTTGGTGTGTCCTAATGGATGATCGCTAAAAATATATGTAAATTAAAGAATTAAAATAATTTGTGCATGTTAATAATTCTCCCAGCTTTTCTACATTGGGTTTGTGGAGGGGCAGTTATGAAGAACTCCTTTGCCATATTTACTGAAGTATTTATAGTGCTTGAAGTAACTCCCTTTAAAGAAAGTCAAAAGTTTGATTTCTTTGTTCTACTTTCACATTTCTTTTCCTACCTCTTCCCATCTATAGTTCACTCACATTCTTCCTTGCTCCTATTATAAAGTTTAAGGTTATCTGTTCCTTAACCGTACTCCTAGCTATTTATTTTCTGCACCGTATTATTATGGCTTTTTCAGTAACAGGCTTCAGGCGTATTGCAGGCAAAACCTGGAGATGAATGTGACCGTGGAAAATGTACTTCAGGTATGTAACTTATTCACGTAAACGTTCCTGGGGAATGACATAACAAAGAGAATTCTTATGAAGGAAGTGCATTTATAGTAATATTGTAAAGCGCTACAGAATCTGTTGGCGCTATATAAATGACGATAATAATAATAGTATGCCGTTGTCATATGTTCAATGACTAGCAGCTATATGGTATAGGCTACTGCCCACGGAGATCTTACTGGATGGAAAAAGCCTTAAAATCAGATAATTAGCACTATGGTAGATTCCAAAATCGGTGGCATTGTGTGTGGTAAGATATGTCTAGGTAAATTGGGTGTGTAAGTTTTCACGTTTGTAAAATACACCCAGAGAACGCATTTGAAGCATATCAAAGAAAATAAACTGGGATGTAGCCCATCCCATATAGCGCCAAAAGTATATAACTATACCTTCTCTGTATGTTTTTTTTTTTTTTCTGTAGATATTAGAAGCAGCAGACAAGACCCAAGCTCTGGACATGAAGAAACACTGTCTTCACATCATAGTCCATCAGTTCACCAAGGTTGGTGGCATCTTTTCTGGGGCTTTGGGAATCTGTTGCCCTTCTGTCTTCAGTGCTGGGGCAATGTCAATAGATGTTCTTAAAGAAACACTGCTAACACTATGCTCTATGCATCTCTGACTGCGCTCTTACCTGTGTATTAAATGAATGGATGTGTTGTGTGCATGTTGCATCAGTGCTAAGGAGTATGTTTGTGCCTTACGTAATGTGTGACTGATTGCAAATGTCACCATGCAAAAATGCTGTGGAAAAAATTACCACGTTTTTGTTTTGTGGGGTGCTACACTTGAAGGGCTAATAATGTATTTATAACGCTCATATGCAGTATTTGCCACACATGGTGGGCATTTTCTTGTACCAGAGGTGCCATGCATAGATACACCCTTTCCTTGTGTGTTTTCTGCTGCCTTGCCTTTTCTGCACACTGTACATAGTTCTGCAAATCTATGTTGGTTTCTCAGTATAGATAAGTCAAGAGGAAAGAGGATGTTTGTGCCTTTGGATATCTTTTTAAAATCATAACACAATCATAATAGTGTCTGCTTAGCACACTTCAGACCACTAAAGTAATACTGTGCCCTCTTTTTTTTAACTGTTTAAAAAACTGCAGATTTCAATAGAATATTTTATAAATTAACTTTGTTACAGCTCCCTGGCTGTCAATCAGACAACCGATCCTGTTATGAACTGGTTTGGTTAGCTCAGTGGAGCTAATCTCACAAAGAAGAAATGGCCTGGAGCACCTGCCCATTGAACTGCATTGGGAAGTCTATCATTAGACAGCCCCAGAAAGTCTGGGTGGGGTTAGAAGAGAAGAGGTTTGCATAGGCTTCAGACAAGAGACCTGCAGCTTTTGCAAGCTGTTTTTAAGATCCGGCCCCAATAAAAAATACAAAAAAATGCATACTTGTTTTCATTTGGTTATATCTACGAAATAGTCAGTGTGATTTTTATTTTTTCATTTTTTTTATTTTTATTTGGGCAGTGGAGTGTCTCTTTAATATTTGGATTGTCCACCTTGCAAGAAAACTGCTTGTGTTTTGATTATTTGTCAGTGGCCTCATTAAAGGGGAGGCCTTTGTAGGACAGAGGGACCTTGAAGGGCCAAAACATCTTTAGCTGAATGAAGCAGTTTTGGTGTATAGATCATGTATCTGAAGTCTCACTTCTCAATTTACTGTCATTTAGAAGTTAACTAACTTTGGTTTCTGTTTATGCAGCCCTAGCCACACCTTCTCTGGCTGTGACTAACACTAATTTTCAATCAGTTGTAAATTATTTTAAAAGTATTTATCTCCTGCTCTGTAAATTAAACTGTAATCACAATCAGGAGGTCCCTGCAGGGTCTAGCAACTACTAACAGAGCAGGAGATAAGACATTCTAAATTAAACAGAATTTGCAATAAAGTGTAAACATGAGAACTCTTTACAGGAAGTGTTTAGGAAGGCTGTGCAAGTCACATGCAGGGAGGTGTGACTAGGGCTGCAGAAACAAAGTGATTTAACTCCTAAATGGCAGAGAATTGAGTAATGTGACTAGAGGGGGATGATCTGTAGACCAAAACTGCTTCATTACGCTAAAGTTGTTTTGTTGACTATTGTCTCTTTAACTTGCATAGTAAAGCAAATAGTCTTACATTATATATTTTAATGACTGTACCTTCTCCATATTTAGGACAATCTTTTGTACTTAAGTAGTGAATATCAACTTTATTATTGGTATGTGATGTCATGAATCATTTACTTCTACCATCCTGGTATTCTTGCTTCTTCATACAGCTTAACCCTTTGACCACTTTTGACATATAAAACTGTTCCAGTCCATCACAACCTCTCTTCCAAGATGAAGTGTCCTTAAGAAAAGAATGTCCCAAAACAAAATCTGTGCTTGAAAGTCAGTGTTCTCTATGTATATCACCCATCTGTTTATTGTCTGTCTGTGTACTAATACTTTAACTATTTGGACCAATAAAGCCATTGTGTGTTATCTTTCTGTTCTCTCTGTCTATTAAGAACTTATTTAAAACGCCTTGACTGCTTCTTTAACTAACTACATAATTTTGGTGAGAAAAGGTTAGTGAACCCTGCACAATTATCTCTAATATTTGGAACTAAAATGTGGTGTAATATTCCCCTAATCCATATTCACAGCTAAATAGAAATGTATTGAACAAAAGGTGGTGGGAGTATGTGTTTAAATGCCTTCATCCAACTTTTACTGCTTCTGATGGAATTTGTCCCCCGATAATTTGTTTTAAACTGTTTATTGGGGGCACATGATTTGTCAGCAGTTACTTTGACCGCTGACTTCATGTAGCAGTTGATTAATATTATATAAAAGCCTACATGTAGTTTGGATCCTCATTGATTTCATCACATGCTGCTACTCTTGTTCAGCATTTTACTTATGGTTTACCCATGAACATTCACTGATGTTCACTCAAGAGGTAGTTACAAATCCATAGTCACCAGCCTAGTGTTTGTATTGTATACTGTCCTCTTAGATCAAGCATGTCAAACGCAAAGGCTAGCACGGGCCAAATAAACAAGGTTTTTAAGTTTTTTGTGGGCTGCAAAAAAATAACCAAATACTTTAAATTTTCTTAGAAACATAGGCTTATTTTGAAAAGTATATTGTAAACAAAAAAACGCAATCCCTCTACTAAATCCCAGTCCATCCCCTCTACTAAACCCTTGCTCCTGTTTAAAAAAAAAAAAAAAATATTAGACAATAAGCAGACTCCACTCACATTGCCGCTGCCAGTATGCGACTACGGAGCCTGGCCTCTGGTATACCCCCAATGGTGCTGTCTGCACCCTGTGCCAAAGCAGATCCTCCCGCTACTCATTGAAACTCTGTGAAGGTGGAGCACGTCAACGTCATGTCGGAATGTGACATTGCATTGTGTGCCTCTGTGCACCACCAGGTCCTCCTCTATCTAGCCGCAGCCATCGCAACGCTGGCCGACGCACACTCGCTGGCCGACGCACACTCGCTGGCCGACGCACACTCACACGCACACTCACTCACTCACTGACTCACGCACGCACGCACACACACTCACTCACTCACTCACTCACTGACTGACAGAGGTTAATACTGTTTAAAATGGGGAGCCGTGAGTAGAAAAACATTAAAGAAGTACATCTAAATATAATATAGTTATTTTTAACTTTAGAGTGTTCTTCTCACACCTTTTAGCCATGTCAGGATTAACAATTCTTATTTTCTGAGGTTCTCTTAAATCTAATTTTGGCTTTCATATGGCAAATTTGTAAAATCAGCCATGTCTGGATCAAATTCCAGTAGTGTATGATTTATAGTGAAGCCGCCTTTGGACTTGTATCTAAATGGTTGGCATATCTGACTTAAACGATCTATTCTGAGATAAATAATTTTTAGGGTCAAATGCTTTTTTTCAGCAAATGTTGATTATTGAAATAATGTTTTAAAGTAAATGTTTCCCTGTTTAAGTCCTTCACACTGCTTGATGTGGCAACTGTTAATAAATCAAAGGTTCACATAAAACAATGTATGTATGTGAACATTGTGACATTTCAGCCAACTTGTAAACTTTATCAACCTTGATAAACATGGTCAAACCACCCCTGCTCCTGACTGTGCCCTGGCATCACCTACCTTGTGGGCCCTGCTTGGGAACACTACGCTCCTCATGATGCTGACAACAGGACATCATTGCCAGCCCACTAGCATCAAAATGGAATGACACTCTGTTCCTATATTAATCAGCGAAGGGCACAACTAGCTGGGCAGAGGAATAGGAACCACACCACATGCACTGTAGTTGCTGTGAAGAAGAGCAGGAAAACTCCCTGTTGTAGAACATTAGTAATTAGCAGTAACATAATTCCCTGCATCGATGCTGTGCATTGGGTTAGAAGTCTATGCTAAAGAATTGACAGGTGTGGGGGAGGACCATAGCATTACCTATCTGTTATGGCCTTGTAATTTAAGGACAGCAGAACCCTGTACAACTGTTAATATTTCATACCACTTTGGCGTTGGGTCCTTGTAAACCAGATTGCAATGATATCCTAGAAATCCATTAGTTGTTAACAAGTCTGTTACAATAAGATAATAAAAACCCTACAGCTACTGTAGAGCGAGATGAGACTTTACTTTGTGTGTGCTGTTTTCTGTCTTATGAGAATGACAAAGGGTTGTATCGTCCTCTACCTATGGCATTCCATGCACAATGCAGGCTCTATCCGCACTTGCTGTTTCAATTCGTATAGTTAAGTGCCCCTTGCTGTTGCATTTCAAGGGGTAATTGGCCTACTAAAAAAAATAATTTCTTCCTTAACGTTGTAAGTTTTTTAGATATAACCAGGAAAAAAACACATTTTAACCGTATTGTTCAATATAACACAAATTTTAGTGAATGGAAAAGCTGATGCTAAAACAGCTATAGCTGGACTGGAGAATTTGACCAAATCTGCTATTTTAGTGCTGATTTTGATGTTCGAATTCACTCATATTTGGTGTTCATTGAGTAACCCTGAAAGTGTGCTATACAGTGTGTGAATGAAACCTGCATGCAAACTGTGTGTCCTCTTCCACAGCTATCTCCACTTGCTACACTTATTCTCATGATAACTCCTTCCTATGGCAGAAATGTCACTATTAATATTAACCATGAATAGGAAACTAAGAACACACATAAATCAGCGTATTACAGATAAGTAATCAGTGAATGAATTAATAGGGTATTACTCCCAATATCTAACTCACAGCTGTTCAAATCTAAACATTTCTTTTTTGTATTAATTCTTCATAAATCCTCATCAAGCACATTTAGTTACTCAATGGCTCCTTTAAAGTGGCTCTGTCACCTGAAACCTACATTTCTCAAATTGCTTATTTAGTTTCCTCTTTCAGAAAATGTTCTTCTTGTCTGATCTATTTCTCTTTAAAACATCCGACAAAATAGGGTCTACTCTGTCTTATATAGTTATCTATAGTCAAGATAGTGAAGCTTGCCTTAAGCTCCACCCTTTGTCAAGTGTAAGAAAAATAAGGAAATGTAGCCCCTACTTTGTCCTATATTTTAAAGAAAACCTAGATCAGACATGAAGAAAAGAACAGATTCTGAAAGAGGTAATAATAGGAGAAAGGCAAGTTTGAAGTGACCGTTTTTTGTTTCTTTTATATCCCTTACTTAGCATAAATGTGTGTAAATTAAGTAATTCTTCACAGATAATAGACTGCATAGCATTTTACATTTCTATTCATATTCACAAGTTTTGTCTAAGAATCAGCATTTCTCTCCTCTGTAATAAAGGCATCTGTCCGTCCTCATCATGTCCTCCTTTCCTTCCTCATATGAAGGTTGCCAAGCTGCCAAACCTACGGTTACTGAGTCAGCCCCTGCTCATCAACATAATCGAATCCCTGGCAAGTCACATCTCTGACAAGCAGTGCGCCGAACTCGGCTCTGACATCTGAAGCTCTCCTTGGAATCCTACCATTGATGGCATGGAACTGTGCTGCTAAACTTAGAATCATTCCTCAACTGGGTCTTCTTTTTAATGTAACATTGAGGACTAAGCTACATTCACTTAGATTAAGTGGGTCTGTCGTCATTGGATTTTGCACATTAATAACAGAGCCAAAATGTTAATATAGGAAATACATTGTGTAGTTTTATCTTGGCAAGAGCATACTGAAAGTCACCATCTTATCTCATGTTCTTGTCAACCCCGGAGAGCCACATTTGCCCATTGGTTATTGTGTGTGTGTTCCAGTTTGGGGGGCATGTTAGGATTTACTGCCAGAACCAGTACAGGTAACAAACTATTGTTGAATAGTGCCATATGCACCTGATGTATGTTGTCAATCAAGACAAAATGAAGTTGACGCTAAAGATAAGGGCTTCCACCCAAAGAAGCAAGTGGTTAATTTAGTGGCCCATTGATGCATATTTAAGTCACTAGTTTGCCTGGATTATAACTTTATGTTGATGTATATATTAAAGAATGTTATCTTCTAAAACCAACCATGACAGATCCGCTTAAGTTTAAAGGGTTATACAGAAGGCAATATAATGTGTATAGTGAAAGCACAGGATACAGATTAATATACACTACCTGGATGTGGCTTTTCATTTTTTCTTACAGTGCATAGGATGCCAGAGGTTCACACCCTCTGCCCTAAAGCACATTGCAGATAGACATTTAGTGTACCCATGCATGCATAAACACAGGTAAGTAGCCCCTCTCCTATACATCACAGAAAATCAGTACCATTGCAGGTGTATTCACTAAACAGTACATTTTTATGAATTGCACATGTAAAGAGATATTATAAGCACCACCACTTTAGCTTAATGAAGCAGTTATGGTGTATAGATTATTATTAAAGTGCCAACAAATTCTGCAGTGCTGTAGATCATGTCCTTGCACTCTCACTGGTCCGTTCTCTGCCATTTAGGAGCGAAATCACTTATGTTTATGCAGCTCTAGTCACATCTCCCAGTATGTGACTTACACAGCCTTCATGAATACTTCCTGTAAAGTGAGATCTAATATTTACACTTGCTTTATTGCACATTCTGTTTAATTTCGAATTTCCCATCTCCTGCTCTAAGTCTTCTAGACCCTGCAGAAGTCTCCTGTGTGTGATTAAAGGGACATTATAGTCACCCAGACCACTTCATCTCGTTGAAGTGGTCTGGATGCAGTGTCCCTCTCCCCCTTAGTCCTGCAAATTTTAAAATTGCTGGGATCGGGTAAGTATTAAAAGGGTTTTTAACCCTTTCTGTGCTAGAGTGGGCCAAAGGAACTGTAGTGTAATCAATACATATTTGTATTACTTACACAATAGAATCCCTTTCAAGTTAAGTTTACAGAGCAGTTAAAGTAAATTACATCTAATTGAAAATAAAACCGCTTTTTCATGGAAGCTGTGTGAGTCACATCCAGGAGAGGTGTGGCTAGAACTGCAGAAACAAAAGTGACTTAAAGCGGATCTTTCACCAAACTTGCAAAGACCCTTGATGGTGACATCACCGCTGGGTGGCCAGGGGTGACAGGCAAAGGTGAGTTCTACTTACTCCAACCTGTACTTTGTGGGCACCGCCATCTACTCATGACGGTGCTCTTTAGAGGAGCCAACGTCACTGCTGAGCTCTTGAACATGCTGCGGTAGCTCGGCCCAGTGTCTAGAAGTGTCAGAAGTAAGAAATAGTCCCTACTTTGTCTCAGTATCTCTCGAATTGGTAGGTACTTCAGTAAACTTAAAACAGTCAGTATGATTTCATGAAGATTCGTTGTTTGTTCATGGGGTTGAGGGTAACAGTGTCTCCTAAATGGCAGAGAATTGAGGGAGACTGCAGGGGCATGATCCGTACACTAAAATTGCTTCATTAACCTAAAGTTGTTTTGATGCCTGTAGTATCCCTTTAAGTTTCGAAATGTAGGCCAAACTAGTCAAGTTAGGGTGGGGGGGTGGGGTGGATCTTCTCGTTTCTCTAATTCTGCAATTGTGACCCACATTTTGCAATTCAATTTTCAATTTCACTGTTCAGGAAATACATTGTGGGAACAGTAAATTGTAGTGAATTGGAAACTAAATTCCAGACCAGAACAAATTTGTAAAAAGAATTCTCCTGCTCAGGTATATTCATAGCTTGGCTGTTTTAGTCTCTTCTTTGCAATTTAGTTTTCATTTCACTACAATTTGCCATTTGGTGAATAGATCCTTTAGTGTTGGCCTTGGGGTCTCTTAATTTGTACACGTGTATCTGACACAATGGAATGAATATTGGCAATTAGCTTGTCCCTATTTTCTGCTCCTTTTTAATATTTGATTAAGGTGCTCAATATTTATTACTGTATTTTAAAAATTATTTAAGTATTTAGGTTATGCACTAAAATGACAATTATATAGAATTACAAATATAGTACCAAAATAGTAAAACTGGAAAAGACCAGCTTTTTTTTTTTTTTTCAGTCTACAGTATTTTCCACAGTGCAGTTTAATGGTGAGACCCCATGAAGTGAATGTTGGTGGAAGATCCCAAATAATTTTCTGACATGTTTAAAAGGAATTGATGTTTTATGACATAAGTATTAAGTTAAAGGACAACTATCCCCTCAACTATTTCTTAATATAATGACCCCTTCATCAAGTTTTGAAAGAAAATATATAATTTTTAAGTATATGTTAAAACCTCATCCCTATCTTTAGTGTATGACAGACTCCTTCAGCTATATACACACCTTGAGTCAAACAGTGTTTGATAACCTATATATAATCGCTATGGTTTTCCCTGCACAATGCATGGACATAAACAGACTGACTAACTGTGAATTGTAAACACTGTCAGACCCAAGGTGTGTGTAATATGGCTGAAGGGGATCCTGTCCTGAAGGTATAAGTTTTTTGGGTGGGGGGGGGTTCCCCCATAAGCTTTATTAAAAAAATCAATTTAATCTTAGTACTAGATGAAAGGCTTATTATATTTTAAAAAGTTTTGATGTGACGGTTATCCTTGAACTGATACTATGTATTTATAGAATTGTATTCCTTATGGATAATTTGTGTACTCAAGATAAATGTAAAGGGGTACCAATCTCTATGAATTATCATCTACATTTAAATATTTACTCTAATTTATATTAATCGCTGCATAAGCCTTTTGTAGCTCTCTGCACATAATTTACTGGGGTAGGGGGGGAGTTTCACACTAGATTTAAATAGACCCTTTAGGCACCATAACACTTCAAGTGCCTGTATTCCCCTGGTGCCATCCCACTGTTAAGTTAACAGTTGTTAAGGACCCCAGATGGCTGCAGCTTCACCACCTGCATGACTACTGCGGAGTGTAACTTTGCATCAGCCATACCAGTCATAAGCAACTGTGCTGGGCTGAGAGTGCTTAGCAAGCTTTAGTAGTTATGGTACAAGAGTGGTCCTTTAAAGGGGAAATTTCACTTCTGTGGAATTGATATAATTGAATACAATCTTGAAACTCACGTGTAGCTTGTCTTAACCTTTTATGAGATGCTTAAGTTTTATTTATTAAATATTTAATCATTGTAAAGGAGGAGAAACAGAAATATTGTTTCATTTCTCTACGTCTCTATATGCTTTCTCTGTGCAGCCTGTCCCGTGCAAAGGCCTTTTAACAATGCTAATAATGCTTGACCGGCTAAGATGTGGATTTCTCCTTTAAGTTTTATTCTTCACTTTTCACAAATAAATATTTGTTAAATATAGGGATAAATAGATGAAAAATCCTGGGAAGTGCCAGTTACCCTTTAAACTGATGGAAACCAGATTAACACTGGAATGGTGTCGGGGCACTGTGGGCACCATAACCACTTCAGTGTGCTAAAGAAGTTATGGTGCCTAGTTTCCATTTAACGTATTGGTGCCATCAAAATTATTTTATTTTTTAATTTAAAATAAAAATAAAACTTTTTTGGTTTGTCTCCTTTTTGCCCAATTTAAGTTTTTTGTTTTATATAAAGCGCTGGATTGTGTATGTTGTATGTATTGGTCCCAGCAGCACCCAATAATGTATGCATGTTCAGGTTAGTGCAGCCCTCTTGGTTATATATATTTCGAAGTTGTGTTTCAAAGCTGTTGTATACAGCAAACACAGGCTCAAAGGAATCCATGTTTAAAATGAAATGAGGCAAACGTGATTCTTTGTTGAACTAATTTGCATACCCCCACCCAGAATCCTTTGCATTAGTAACATCACTGCAGATTTGTGATTTCTGTGGGGAAAGCAAATATTATGGCTTGATTGGTGTGCAGATTTTTGTAATATATATAATATATATATATATATGTGTGTGTGTGTGTGTGTGTGTTATCGCAAATGTACAGCAAATCTTTTCTGAGCATTTAAAAACACAAAAAATATCAAATTTTTGATAGAAATCCTGTAGGGGGGGGGGTTGATGTTAGGTCTCTGGACAGATTTCCCATTAGTCAGAGTTAGCACCTTCCTGCTGGAGGAGCCAACGTTGCCTGTTTAAAGGCTTCTCCCTACCTCCTGCCTCATGTCTGCTACTTGCTGACCAGAACAGATGTTCTAGGACTCTGGAATGCTGTATGCAGTCAAAAGAGGCCTGATCTACTTATGTCCCCCCCACCCCCAGCCTGAACATGGTGATCTGTGCATGACCCTGCCCCCTCAGTCTAAACACAGGATCTCCTGGAGGAAGATGGGGGAGGTCTGGGGCCAGAATGGCCATCTCAGAAACAACACACACACACACACACACACACACACACACACACACTCTTCCATAACTCCCAAAATACAGGCTCTTCAACTCGTGACAGGTAATAGAAGTCTTGAAGGGGCATTGCCAGTGATGTGAGCCACATCACTAGCAATGCCCACAAAGGCACAATCTTGCCTGAAAAAGTGTCAGGGCTTGAAACGGACAGGTTAGACCCCAGCCTTCAGGACCAAGCAAGGAGCGCTGCTGAAGTGCCTGGCTAGTGCCTGCTGCACAGCGCGTCTAATAATGTGCTTGCACTATGATTCCCTCAGTTGGGCAGCATGATATATATAAAAATATATATATTTATTCTCTCTCAAAATTATTAAAGTATTTAAACTGTCAAGTTGTTTTGTTTTTTATTCGGAAGGGGGACATTGGAGAGCAGCGGATAATTTTGTGTTTACAGGCACGTATGATGTAAATTCCGACCTGATAAGGTCCTACTAGTCAAATGTACTGCCTGGGTGTTAAAGGGACATTATAGTCAACATAACAAATTTGGCTTAATTGCAGCCGTTTTGGTGTATAGATCATGCCTCTGAAGTCTCACTGCTCAATGTTCTGCCATTTAGGAGTTAAATCTCTTGTTTCAGCCCGGGCTGTGACTGACACACAGCTTGCATGAAGAAAAAAATTATTTAATTTTCAATCACATGTTAACTTACTTTACAAGTTTTGCCTGTATCTATGTCTATGTGGGAGAAAGAGAGATAGATAGAGGTTGGGGCTGGGAGGGGGGTGGGGAGGAAGAGAAAGAGAAATAGGGGCTGTGGGGAAGAAAGAGACACAAAAGGGCTGGTAGGGAAGTAAGAAATACATGAGGGGGGTTGTAAGAGACACTAAACGGGGGTGTAAGGCACAAAGTGGCAAATGGTGTAAGACATTCAAGAGAGGGGATATGAAACACTAATGGGGTAAGAAATCCAAAAGTGGGGCTACGAGACACAGAGGTGAAGACAGTAGAGTAAATAATGATACAAAATGGAGGGTTAATGCTCATGTGAAGAAAGAGATAACGCTAAGTTAATGACTTTTAAGAATGGAGTTCACATTGAGGAGAGGCAATTAGTAGGAAGGTTGAGTAGGTAAGGAGAGAGATCAAAGGAAAATAATTCTGAGTACACATGAGTTATCCTTAGCATAGAGATTATAATAGATTGCCAAAGAAGGACTGAACCATTTGTATTACAGCTGTATGAGAGCATAGGAAGCACAGTAAATGTGTTCTGGTAGAATAGGGAAGTATAAGGAAAAGATTAGTGTCTAGGCCTAAAGCTATGATTCATAAGAGGATGGTTGGTCCGTAGCCTGGTAAGCAAAAGACCTGCATAGCAATAAATTAAACCCATTGGATTTACAAACTATTTGCTAAAAACAGTTGCATTAGAGTGCAAATAATAGAAACCACATTGAAAATGATCAAACTAGCATAGTACATAAGTGCCTGGAGATTATTTTGTTTTCAATTTCCGGATTAGTATAATAGCATGTACTTTCCCAATAGTATACTCAACAAAATATCTTGACATACTTCACCTCTAATCTGTGGACTGTGTACTAAACTACAATTATTTGAGTATGCATCCCTCTTAATGACTCTTGAGACTTAATTATCACCTGTAAGTAAATGTCCTTATCTGCCCCTTACCTCTTGTCTGTAAATAACAATATGTGTGCCTCTTTAACAATCACTTTCCAGTTATTCTCCTGCAGTCTGTAATGAAAAAAAACACAAATCCTAGAAATTCACTCTGACACTGTGCAGCCAGGGGTCAGATCAGGTTTCCACAGACAAAGAGGAGCAGCCTGCCTCTGGAGAACAAAACCCCAATCGTATCCAATCTACAAAACATTGGCCCTCGAGGCCTAACTATTTCAAAGGGAATATAATGAGCTTCCGTAGAAAGGTTAACATTTGAAGGTTTTTCTGATCTGACCCTTACTTTTAATAGATCCAGACAAGTTACATGGTATAAATGTGATAATAAAGTTAAATAGATCTGTATCGACTGTACTCTGGATGCTAGCATCATAACCACCTATACTCCTACACTCACATAACATAGGTTATGGTGAATGGACTTTTTGTCTCTTATCCTCTAGCCTAGGTATCCCATTCTCTGTTAATGGCCTTCAACACCCAAAATTCTTTAAACGCAATAGATGGAATCATAAGTTATATTTCAGCAACAGCTGAGGAGCGAGAGTTTGGTTGCCTGCTCTAGGCCTTTAAAGTAATGTGGGCTACTAACATTACTTTAAAGCTTGCAATGAGGCTACTAACATTTTGTACAGTTCAGCAAAGCCACGTATTTCAAATGTACATATCAAAGAGTGAGGGGTCATATTTTTACATTTCACTTCAGATGGTGTCTGCATTGCATTTTATAGATCCTGCTGCAAGTTCCCTCAGGAAATGGGATACAATTATCACACACAGTTCACAGCTTGATACCAACTTCTTCACTAAGCTTAATTCACATAAGTCAGACAAGTTTATTCACTAAACACTACATTTACAGAATATGAAACAGAATTGAAAACTTTACTCAAGTGGCCATTCTGTCACCATAGCTGTGTTGGAGAGTTTTGCCTGAATTTTTATGTGTTCACTACAATGCAATGTTTAGCAACTAACCCAATGAGATTAAAAGGCAGTATTAACCTTAAAGGGACACTATAGTCACCAGAACAACAACAGCTTAATGTAGTTGTTCTGGTGAGTATAATCATTGCCTTCAGGTATTTTAATGCAAACATAGCCTTTGCAGAGGAAAGGCAGTGTTTACATGGCACCTAGGGACACCTCCAAGTGGCCACTGCCGTTCAGCGTCTCCATGCATTGCATGGGGATGCTGAATTTTCCTCATAGCCTTGCATTGATTCAATGCATCTCTATGAGGAGGTGCTAATTGGCCAAAACAATCAGAATTTGCTAAAAAAAAGAAAAAAATCTGCAATTCTGATGATGTCACCAAGGGGGCGGGGCCAGATCCAGCAGACCCGCGCAGCGCTGGAAATAAGGTGAGTTTAAATTGCTTTTAAGGGGGCTAAGTGGGGGGCAAGCCACCTAAATTGTGGGTTTAGCACTATAGGCTCAGGAATACAGGTTTGTGTTCCTGACCCTATAGTGATCCTTTAAGGGAATTGTGCAGAGCTAGAGCTCAGCTCAGACAGAGCGATCACAAGGGCTCAGGCTCACGCAGGGCGATCACAAGATCTTCCTGCAGCCCCTCACTTCATTGATGGAGCGTGGTCTGTGCCAATATCTGGTACAGGTCTCTTTAAGAAGGCCATCATGGTCCCACTGGCACTTCTGGATGACTCAGAAGCACAACCAGCGCTCAGTTGATGCCTAGGCACCAAAATCATGAGGGAGTTCTTAAAGTGGTTTGTATCTAGTATTGGTACAGACAATGGCACCCCGCACAGGACCACCAGGGAAAGCAGGAGGGGACGACGACATACATACAAACAATTCAGTCACCACACAGACACACTGGGCCTCCCTTCATGCAGCTATAAAAAAAAAAAAAACACACACACAAAAAAATAACACCCAGCCTCTATATACACGCTCATACACAACAGTCAACACACACCACACACAGAAACAGAACCCAGGGCTCTACAAGGGTTCCCCAATCTGGCACCATGTCTTGGGCCATAGGCAACCATAATCCAGCAGCGGGTATTGTGCCAGTTATCACATGTGATCTATTGCAGCCGAATTGTGAGATCTTAATAGTGTTATTGTATGCCCACCTTTTTATAAAAAATAAAAAAAAACCTGTATACCCAATATAATCTGTTCTTAGCTAGATCCATTGATTCTTCCCAATCTAAACAAACATTGTATTCTACATCTTTCCGGTTACATATCACGTCTTCAAAGCTTTTAAACATTAAATGTATGTGAAATGAATGCCATTATGAAAGCACCGTTCTGACATATCCAATCAATGGGGTTGCCACTCCAGCAAATTCTCACGTGTCCATCAGTACATATTCTGCAGCAAAACCACACATACCTGATCACCATGTGATGGGCCAATGTGCATGTAGAGCTGTAACTGAGCCCTGAGTAGAGCAGTATACAGTGTTGTATTTATGCATGCTCTTTGTTAATATTTTACAGGTGAAATATTGCGAGGGAGGCGATATATCACTGGAAAGTTATGTGAAACTGAACACCTTTTAAAGGAACTCTTTTGGTTCCAAATGCATATATTTAATGCTTAGGAAAAAGGATTTTCAAAGTAAAAATATTCATTTAGTTAAAAAATAAAGTGTTTCTGAACTCCTACATACTTACCGTACATTCACTGTTGAGCAGAGCCCTTAGCACTTTCTGTTCCTGTAGATGTAACTTGTCTTGTTGCAACTATTTATTTGTTTGTCCGTCTATTGTACAGTGCTGTGGAATTTGTTGGCGCTTTATAAATAACAAAAATAACTGATATTTGCAGCTGACACGGTTTTCTGCCCAGCATTTACTTTTCTCACTGAGAGAGCACTTCCTGTTAGTCCAAGTACCAAGTGAACAGATACAGGAGGGGGGAGAGACACATGGAGGGGCTGGGGAGGAGGCAATGGGAAAGATGGAGGGGTTGGGGGGAGAGAATGGGACACATGGAGGGGCTGGGGGGGAATGGGACAAATGGAGGGTATGAGGGGAGGGAATGGGACACATGGAGGGGCTGAGGGGAGGGAATGAGACACATGGAGGGGCTGGGGGAGAGTTTGGGACACATGGAGAAGCTGGGGAGGAGGTTGTGGGACACATGAGGGGCTGGGGAAGGAGTAAGACATATAGAAGGGTTTGGGGAGGGAAGGAGAAATATGGATGGGCTTGGGGGAATGGAATAGGATACATGGAAGGGCTGGGGGTTATGGGACACATGGAGGGATTGAGGCCTGTGGAGGTGCTGGGGGGAATGAGACACATTAAGGGAGGGATTAGACATGCGGAGGGGCAGGGGGGGAGGGAATGACACACATGGATGTGCTGGGTGGGGGAAGAATGAGACACATGGAGAGGCTGGGGGTGAGACACACGAGGATGGGGCCCAGGACAATTTTTGCACCAGTGTCCAGTGGTGTCTAGTTATGTCTCTGCCTGTATAGATGAAGAAGTAAATGACAAAAGCTGCTTATAGTGGTTCGATTAAGAGGGCTTCTATGCAATAGGTGGAATGAGTATGTATGAAAAGGAGAGAATATGCCAGTGGCAAGAAAGGGAGATGGTTAAATGTTAAAGCCGGGACACCAGACAGAACCAAGTATAGACATTTTGAGAGTACAGGATGAAAGGAGATCTGAGATTCTTTTCTATGAAAATGTGCAAATCAGCTTCCATGTGACTGCAGCTGAAATGGGCAGAGAAGCATGATTATTGGTATTCTGATGAATTCAGTTTGTGTCTGGGTACCTCAATTATAGCCTCAAATATGTAGCTAAAGGTTCCAGGAGACAGGAATTCATGTAGAATTGGGAGATAGGATATATAATACATGTATAGTCAGAAGAGTATAAACTGTAGTAGTAGTTAGTAGAGACTGAGCACTGCGAAGGGAGCATTTTTCAGAGCTAATGAGAATGGGATCAGAATCCAGTTTTACACAGATACAGAGAAATGAGGTCAGGTGCCAAAAATATCTCCATGTTTATTTCTAGGCCGGTAGGTGTGAGTGAAGTATAAAATGCTGTATGAGAGGACATCAGACAGTAACAAACAAACAAAAAACGACATTGTAACATTAAATTGACTGTCATGCTTTGGATCTTTTGTAAAGATCATCCCTTTTTGATGAGCTTGGGTCTGGGGTAGAGCTGAACAGGAGGTATACCTTCTCTGAAACTCTCTTTCACAAGCTCCTCCACCTTCCTTATGGGTACCTTCATCATCTCTTGACTCTTCATCTGCCTAATCCATGGGTCCTCAAACTCCGGCCCCCCAGATGTTGCTGAACTACAACTCCCATGATTCTCTGGCTATCTATGTAATTCAAGGAATCATGGGAGTTGTAGTTCAGCAACATCTGGGGGGTCGGAGTTTGAGGTCCCATGGTTTAATCACTTTTGTATTCTTGTGCATGCGCACTCACACAAACCACCACTAGATTCTCAATAGAACATCTTGCACAATGTGTATCAAGATGCTTGTTCCCACACTCATACCTAGCAAAGGCTGCTGGGAAACGACAAAACTTTACAGCAAAACCTCTGCCTTTCATGAGGTTTTGTCAGCCTTGCACTTATCCATAAGACAACATAATCCCTGCTTTGTGTTCTACCTATTGATTTGGTTAGCATTTCAATGAAATTAGAACTTACTCAATATAAGTATTTCATAAAGATTTTGTTAATGAAATACTCAGAAGTGACAGAGCAGCTTAAGGAAAAAGAATAGCTGCTGTTATACATGTATGTTGCCAGGATACTATATTCACGACTCGCACAACTACAATTTTATTATAATTTACTGTTTAGTGAATATGCCCCATTTGCTGGGATATAAGAGGGGCAGTCCAATGACTAAACCTTGCTATGTAAATTCAGACTAATTCAGCCAGTAAGTAGTGTGCTGTCTGCCTTATCTGGCTGTTTATTTACACACAGCTGGTGGTGGTACAAAAAGAGAGAGACTTTCCCCTCTACCCCCAACTCAAGACAGCACATTCCCCTCTCCTGAAAAAACAGAAGACAGCCTTAAATGGAGGAGGAGCAGAATCCCTGAGCAATTCAATTATTTGTACACTAGGTCTGAAGACAGAAGGTAAGAGGGGTCTGGCTGTTTGACTTACTCTATACTGATATTCCCAAGATTCTCATATAGTCAAGAAATTCAATGTGAAAATGAAAAGCAAATGTGGTCTGCGGTTCCTACTGGTGGCAGGTCAGTTTTATATACCTACAATTTATAAAGTGGATAAGACCCTCTATTGTGAGCCAATGTGTGTATAATGCCCAGCCAGACAAATGCAGACGGAGCATCATCAGATTCTAGTCCAGAACCAGGTTTATTATTATTATTATTGCCATTTATATAGCGCCAACAGATTCCGTAGCGCTTTACAATATTATGAGAGGGGATTTAACTATAAATAGGACAATTACAAATAAACTTACAGGAACAATAGGTTGAAGAGGACCCTGCTCAATCGAGCTTACATTCTATAGGAGGTGGGGTGTAAAACACAGTAGGACAGGTTAAGAATAGTACTATAGAAAGAGATTTCTAAACGGATTTAGCAATGTCCTAAGTATAAAAACTTGTTTGTGAATGCATACAAAATAAAGTGGAGCTTATGTACTAAGAGTAAAAACTTGTCAAAGTTCTATAAGTGGAGCAAACAGCAGGGACGTTCCATTGGTTTCCATGGTGACTGCTCCACTTTTAGACCTTTGTACCATAATTAACCTTTATACATAACTCCATTGTGTTACTGCTTATTTCTTACTTATACTCGGTGGAAATATTGTAACTAATGCTTGGTCCTGTTATTAGATTATATACCACTGTTGTACATGGATATTGGCAGGATTCTATATTCTTATATCATATTTTAGAATAGTATGTTTTCAGTAATGTAATGTATAGACCTGTTATTCGATATCCTCTTAATGTATTTCCATAGGGTACAGTATGCGTTTATACTGACCATCATAGATTACTGTAACAAGCTAAAAAATGAAATATTGATTTCTAAATAGATAGATTGTATTATTATTATGTTATCAGGGAGTAAACGGAATCCATCCGTTAATTGTGCCATTTAAATCAAATAATCCCTATTTTCCTAATAAATGTTCCTCTGCATTTTGCATACATTACTATAAGTAACTATTATTCTAGCGATATATAGAAATGAAGTTTATATATTAGTAGTAGTGTTCTTTTCAGAGCTGGGAGCATTGCCTCTTTCCTGGGATGTTTCCAATAGTTAGGATTTGGCTGATACTCGTTCTATGTGAGTTCGATTTGCAGGCAGTCAGTAAAGGATACAAAGCAATGTATAGCCGTGCTAAGCAGAGCTGTGCTAATGGCAGAGTAATGAAAGGGGTCGCAGGTCAGGACAGGCACATGCAGGCAAGCTTACTGAATGGAAGCCGGTAGGATCCAGTCTGTTCAGCTGGAGTGAAAAAACAAAACAAAACAATAAACGCATGGGAGATGGAACAAAGATGGAGAGCTGGAGAGAGTGCTTGTTGTAGATAACATATACAGATAGACAGTGTCTTGTTTCTTTGGTTTGCCTTTCGTATCCTGTCCAATTCAATAATATCACATATCAGAGATCTAGTTGCAATAGTCGTATCTTACTAGCAGTTGTATAGATTTAGGATTACAAAGATTTTTTCTTTTTTTTTCTTTTAATTTCATAATCTCACAGTCTCCAATTCTCCATGAACAAAATGTAGGGGTTTTATGGTTAATTATGGCTTAAGATTTCAAATCCGTAAAATGACTTGCTACTGCAAGCCTGGAGGGCACTGGGGGCTTTCTGACACTGGTGTTTGTCACAAAAGAAAATACATCACTGTGACAGTGGGGATACATTCTCAGGAATAAACTGCTCCATGATGTGGGCTGTAGTCAATCTTTAAACCCTAAACGAAAAATAAAAACAGTATGAGGGGGGGGGAATTAAGACAGCGCAGGGACAAATGGGAACTATTTTACAGACAATATTGCATAGGAAAAAATGCAACATATGAAACTGTAGGTTTAACCCCTTAAGGACACATGATGTGTGGCATGTCATGATTCCCTTTTATTCCAGAAGTTTGGTCCTTAATGGGGTTAACAGTAACAGCTCCCAAAGCATTAAATACCTCATTTTTCAGAAACACCAATTGTATATTAGTATGTTTTTGGAAGTAACAATATTGGTACTCGCATGCTGCCGCTTGCTCCAATGAAAATATTGCTTTATCTCCAAAACTGTTTTACATTGTGAGGGTGAAACTGCAAGGACAGCGCAGCCAGATCACTTCATTGAGATGGACTGGTCTGGCTGCATATTTCGATCACTTAAAATACATTTATCAGCCTCTGTCCAGTCCCTGATGTTACACGGGCCCAGCTACAATCTCACCAAGTCTGACTCATGCCTTATCATTGTTGGTTTAGATAAAAACAGAGAGGTCAGAAGGAGGGGAAAAACATTGCTTGGTAAATAATCTCTATTTTAGAGAGTCATAATAAAGTATATCTGCTATTCCTTATAGAGTTCTACATTGATTAGTTTATAAAATATACTTAAAGCTGGATACCTGCACAGTTCTTACCAGGTGTCACGATTAGTAGTGGAGATTGTGGAAACGTTAAATGTGTCTGCAAAAATGTCTCTGAGCACGTATTTTATCTTACCCTTTCTCTCCTCCATTCATTCTCATGTTTATATAATTCTAATTCTCTATTACTACTTTAGGTGTCTTACCTTCCCTCTTTCCCCCCACTCCCCTGCGTTTCTCCAATTTAACCCCCTCCACTCAGCTTAGACTTTCCTTTTTAATTAAAGTTACATTATAACTTTAGGAATACAAACCTGTATTCCTAACACTATAGTCCACCCTTCCAGTTTGATCTAAAACGGTTAACAATCTTTTTTACTTACCTTTTTCCAATGCTGAGGCTCCCAACTTCGAGGTCTCCTCCTCCTGTAATGTCACTACGATGATGGGACCTAACGCACATGCGCTGGACTCACCACGTGAATTAAAGCTTCCCCAGGGAAAGCATTGAATCAGTGTGTTCCTATGGGGAATTTGAAACCAGTCAATGTCCTCATGCAGTGGCATACACACAATCCATGGGGCCCTGGTGTAAAACTGATCCGTGGCCCCCCCATACCCACCGACACATACATACAGACAGACACACGCACCCCCTGACAGATACACACACACAGAGACACATACAGACACAGACACACACACACACACACACACATAAATACAGACACAGACACACACATACAGAGAGACACATACACATAGACACACACACACACACACACAGAGACACAGACACGTACAGAGATACAGACACGTACAGAGATACAGACACGTACAGAGATACAGACACGTACAGAGACACAGACACACATAGACACATACAGAAAATAGAAAAATCTCAGGCACTCACTGCGATTGTTTCCAGGCAGATTTATTGCAACATTTCGACCTGTTAAAGGACCACTCTAGGCACCCAGACCACTTCAGCTTAATGAAGTGGTCTGGGTGCCAGGTCCCTCTAGGAGTAACCCTTTTTTTTTAATAAACATAGCAGTTTCAGAGAAACTGCTATATTTATAAATGGGTTAATCCAGCCTCCAAAGCCTCTAGTGGCTGTCTCATTGACAGCCGCTAGAGGCGTTTGCGTGTTTCTCATTGTGAAAATCATAGTGAGAAGACGCCAGCGTCCATAGGAAAGCATTATGAATGCTTTCCTATGAGACCGGCTGAATGCGCGCGCAGCTCCTCATGGTAAGGAACGAATAGATAAATGGCTGAAAAAGATAGTCATAGAAAATACAGGCAGTCCAGGTTTTACAAAAAAACCACATAAACAATTGCATATGCACAGATCTTTTAGATAAATGTATCACTTAACTAAAGTAGTGCAATTAATCATATATGACTATACCTGAGATTCAATAAGATACCAAACACATCGAGGAGAGACCGGGCTGCCTCTCCCACGTGACTAGACACATTTTTTTTTTCTTTTCTACAGAGACATACATATACAAAATGTTTCCTACCTTGTGACTTTCCCTGTGGGCTCAGCCTGATGTGAGTCAGAGTTCCCACCTCCTTTCTCCCGCGCGGGTCCTGATAGCTGGGAGGAGTGACTGAGGAGTCACTTTCTCCCAGCAGTGATCTCATCACAGGGGGCCTGGTCGCCCTGTTAAAGTGCCCAGCGCTGACCAGGCCCTCTGATAATCCATCTCCACCGGGTGGCCCTGGCAGCATGGGCCCCTCCATATGCTGGTACCAGGTCGCGGGGGTCTGCAGGGCGGCTGGGCCCCTTGGAGTGCCGGGCCTGGTCGCAGCTGCGACCCCTGCGACTGCAGTATGTGCGCCAGTGTCCTCATGCAAAGTATGAGGACAACCAGGAAACGCCTCTAGTGGCTATCTGGAAGAATATTTTACATTGCAGGGTTAAACAGACCCCTTCAATGAGATGGTGCATATAGGTGCCCCTTTAACCCCTTAAGGACACATGACGGAAATATTCCATCATAATTCCCTTTTATTCCAGAAGTTGTCCTTAAGGGGTTAATTCATAGCATCTTCTTGTGCACATTAACTTATATGTGTATTAAATGAACAGGAAGATCCTGGTGATGCTAAAAAAAAAAACCTTGAAAAAAATGTGACATCCATTTCACGTGAGCTTTTATCTAGCTCAAGGAGAAGGCAAGTGCTCCGAGGTTAATGTTTCACCAAATTATTTTGGGTAAGAATAAAACAAATTAAATTCTTAGTTAGGCAACAGATCCTCTTTCAAATGGAGTGTTTTCGTGATTTATGCTTCTGTTATGAAATACATAAATTATGTTTGTTTTACTTCTGTAGAACTGTTCAAATGGTGTAGAAACCAGTTGTCTTTCCACAAAAATAACTGATAGCAGTTAAAGCATAATCCATGCATTTTGGATGAGCCAGCAGCTTTTACTATAAATGTATAGGCAGCAATGCACAAGTATTTGACCTCTGGTTACTGATCCACGTTCGTGAGTGAGCTTGCTTGCGCTACAAAGAAAATCACTGTTCAGAGGCTTTTATAAATGTATGCTATGATAAGGTCATGCTGGAACATCTTCGATCTTTACTTTACGAGAAGTAAGATGTGGAGCCTAAGGTGCACACAGGGCCGGCGCTTCCTATAGGCGACTTAGGCAGTCGCGTAGGGCGCATCTTTATAGGGGACGTGCGCAGCGCCCCTCAAGCTGCAGCCGCCTTCAGGTGGCACAGCCCGGGCCAGCGCACCCTTTAGGGTGCACCGGCTCTGGGGGCTCAAGTTACGAGAGTCCCGGCAGGAGGGAAGCGCACAGCGATCCCTCCTGCATGTCACTCTGAGTAGTGTGGTCGGGCGGCGCAGACAGGAGCTTCCTGTACTCGGCCAGACTTACAGGAAGTGCTCTCTCAGTGTGCCCTGGGTGCACATACATGCTCACATAACATTCCTGACACACTGACTAGATAACCTTTAAAAGAATGCTAAATTGGATATGTATAAATGAAAAAGATCCAATAGCAGCCCCCACCAGCTCTACTTCCAACAAAGAGAAAAAAAAACTCATAGGCAAGAGCTTCCATTAGTGCTCCTGAGCGAAGTCTGTTGTGCATGGTTAACTCATTGGCTGACAGCACCGAACCACTCTCAGCCAATGAACTTAGCCTAAGGATTTAGCTCAGACAGGGCGCGTATGGCACTATAGTGGAACTATAGAGGGAGCACCTGTTCTAAAATGGGCTTGACACCAGTTCTAATATAGGACACCAGGATGCTAAAAGCACTACAATGTGCTGGAGTGGTTATGGAGCTTGGAGTGTTTATTTAGCCCATTGCTCAGAATTTTTGCCTGTTTTTAACGTACACATTAGCAACTGCTATTTTTGTATAAGTTTTGCAAGTTGTCTTTCAGCTCACCACAAATAACTATTTACTGAATAGAAATAGTTAGTGGCCATTTTGAACTTCATAATAGAGAGAAGAAGCAAGGGACCCCTTAAAGCATTTACTTTGATGGAGAAAGTAAACTGTTCACTAAAATATATGACAGTTTTCCTTTAATCAGTAAGCATCTTGACGCCATTTTGAATTAGTACAGCCTTCATTGGAGAACATTGTCCTCATTATAAGATATATTTTTGAATGTAACAAAAACAAAGAATATGAGCATACAATAAATGAAGTTGGTGTCTACAGGAAAGTGTTATCCCTGTGTTGAAGAATAAATTGCAGGATATTGAAGCTTTGTTTTTATCAAGCAAAGGATTCACCAGGAATCCTGCATATGTAAGCCTAAAGCTAGTATTTCTGCATTCCAAGGCTCTTTCTACATGCTATGTTACACAATTCACTATTCCAGGAACATAGTGAATAGTAATAAAGTAATATTCAAAAACAACATAAGTTATATTTAAATGTCATGTTTTTCTTTCGTACATTATGACTTACCAGGCAGACTAAGGATCACAGGAATTGTAGTTCACAAATATCTGCAGTGCTAAGATTAGCCGACATTGTTACATCAATGTTTAAATGAGATGTACACCAAAATTAAAAAAAGAAAAATACTTAAAATATTTCAATCTGTGACACTTCTGAGGTAATAATGGAATTGCATTTATCAACTTCTGATAAGACAACCTCCAAATTACCTCAAATTAGAATCTCCCAAAAATGGACCAAATTGGTTCTGATTACCCAGTCATAGTTCCAAGAATGAAGATGTAAACACTTCCTGAATTAGCACCAGATTTTCAAAATGTCAGCTGACCTTTTCTCAATAAGGTTATATGCGAAGTAAATCAGGGTTCTCCCAGATCTCCAGTGTGAGCCCACAGGAGTGGGTTCCCATTCCATCACACCATCCTTCCATTACGTGCTTTTGTTATTACACAATACACTACCCATGGTTTGAGGGAATTTAAGGTGGCACTGGGCCCCTTGAGTTAATAAGTCAAGAAGCAGGCACACTGATATTGTCAAATGTCCAAATGTGTGAAATGCGGATTGACTGAATTGCTATAAAACAAATTAGTATATTCATGGCTTATTAACGTGTATGGCTCTGAATTAATGCAGTTTAAAAGCACATTTGAATATAGCATTACCTCGTAGTGTATTCCTGACACTATAGTGGTAAAATTACTATTTAGGTACCGGCCCCTTCTCTTTACTTTAAAAAGTTGATTTTACTCACCTTAATTCCAGCGTCACACTGGTCTTGCTGTGGCTGGCCCCGCTTTGCTCTGCCCATGTGGCTGAGATCATCAACTTTAATGATCTCAGCCAATCAATGTTTTCCCATAGGAAAACATTGGGAGGCTATTGCACATGCACTGCAACACCAATAGAAACCAAACAATTGAACCAACTGCGTTGGTTGTGAATAAGTTGCTGCAAAAATGCAATCTTTAGAATACTGTGATTTCAAATGATGTGTCCTTTTGTCTATTAATAAAGCTATGTCACTCTGTTAAGCAATATGTAGCAATCAATAAATCCTATAGGAATCGCCATCCACAAGGACCACGGAAAGTAGAGAGACCCTATAAGTAGATCCTAGTTAAGAAAGAAGCAGAAGACCAGTATGAGGAGAGTAAGCAATCGTCTTGCACTGGACAGCCAAAGTGTAAAGAGAGGATACATAAATAAGAATTAGAGCTGTAGGGTATCCAAAGATCACAAACCTTGGTGAAATGTACCAGGGCATCATGGACTTGGATTAGATGCAATGTTTGATAAGGATACACGTGGTAATCTTTAGAAAATTTAATAGGATACTAGTCAGTTCTGATAGTGGCAACCTTAGTCTGTCTGTCTCTCTCTCTCTCAGAACTTGAAACAGTTAATAATAGATGGTCGATAATGAGACGTGTGGTGTGACATGTTTATTAAAATCTTTGAGGTTGCAAAGGTATAAGAGGTATAAGGTCTAAGGAATTCTGTATGGAAGTGTTAAATCAAAGCATCCAGGAATCAGAGTAAGTATATTGGATGGTCTGTGGAAAGTGCATTACACTCACCGGGAGAGATGAGACAGGGAAGATAAGGTAGAGAGATTTCTCAAGAAATCATTCTTAAATTAGTTGTACCATGAACCAATTGACACTGTATTTTTTTACAAATCAGATTTTGAACTGAAAAGCCTTCCACATGTTTAAAGGGACACTAGAAGAACTAAAACCCCACTCCCTCTAGAATGTAAGCTCCTTGAGCATGGCCCTCCACCTCTGTTCCTGTACGTCCAGTTGCCTGGTTACAATTACATGTCTGTTAGTCCACCCATTGTACAGCACTACGGAATGTGATGGCACTATATAAATAATAAAATATTAATAATAAAACAACTGTATATTAATGAAGCTGCTTTGGTGTATAGATCATGTCCCTACAGTCTCACTGTTCAATTCTCTGACAACAAACCACTTAAATTTATACAGCTCTAGTTAGACCTCCATGCATGTGACTCACACAGCCTTCATATGGACTTCCTGTAAAGAGAGATCTAATGTTTAAACTTCCTCTATTGCACATTCTATTTATAAGAATAAAACAAATTCTATTTACTTTATAATTTCTTATCTCCAGTTTTTGTACACCATAGCCAACACCCTCACTCAGAAAAAAAGACATCCTTATCAAATGTATGCACACAGTCACTGATAGCACTGAGTGAACTGATTGTAATTCACAACTTGGATGCTGATAATCAGTATTAGTTTTTTTTTTTTTTTTATGAAAAAAGACAAAAAAAACCTAATATTAGACTGATTAAAAGCCTTGTTAACTCCAACCAAAATAAGTTTACTTATCAAATGAACACATGCGGTATATTTAAAAGTATTAAAAAAGATCAATCTTTGTGAAACCTCCTTTTTAAAGATGGGCACATGTTGATGTCAGAACGGTGCTATATCACGATAAGGCCTAGGAGTAGTTTGACAATCTAATTTAACTTTTTTTTGAATAAGCTTTTCAAAGGATTCAATAATATTTTGAAAAAAATCATTTCAAACATTGATCCTAAAATATATAAAGAACATGTCATATAACATCAACCTTAAAAATAACTCAAGATACAACTAATGCACTTGTTCATGCACTCATTTCCTGACTTGACAACTGCAACTAACTACTCATCGGCTTTCCAAATACTCGCATTGCCCTTCTTCAGTCTTTAAGGAACACTTCCACAAGGCACATAACTGACCGCTACTCCCACACCTCACCCTTTTTGCCCATCTTTACATTGGCTTCCTTCGGGATCCAATTCGAACTGCTAACACTAACCTCCAAAGCCCTCACACTAACTTGTCTGCTCACTACATTTCCTCTTTACTCAACAAACGTACCCCTTTTCATTCACAACGCTCAAACATACCTTCTCCTGAAATCTGCTCGTTCCCACATTGCCAACTTTCACCTGCAAGATTTTCAAGGGCTGCCGCAATCATTTGGAATTCACTACTCCATGCCATCAGACTCCCCCCTGGCCTCCAGTCCTTTAAAAAGTCACTGAAAACATAACACTTTAGGAAAGTTTACCATCTTCCTGCATGCTACTATCATTTCACTGCCCTCATCAGTTCCTACGCCTCCATGCCCAGCTCACTCTCTCCGGTTTTGTTCTTCCACTCACCACTTTTACCAGCTTATCTTACGCATCAATCACTACCCCCTCTGACATACTGTTATTTCGCTTGTGTGTCTTTACCCATTCCTTATAGATTGTAAAATAGTTTAATCAGGACCCTTTTCCACTTTTGTCTCTGTTATACTCCGTATGTAAATTACTTGTTGTGAAATATCCCTATTTTAGAATTGAAAAGCGCAACAGAATATTTTGGCAGAATGTTAATAAACAAAAAAAAATAATGATCAATATCTTCAAACATTACATTGTTAAAATATTTTTCAAATATTAAATAATTTTAACAGTTTATCCACACAGATTGAATCTATTTAAAAGCTTATCCAAAAATGTTAAATCTGGGCCTAAGTTAGTATAAATATTGGTAGTAATATTGAATTTAGTAGTGTTCTAATGTATTGAGGGCTGACCTGTCATGCTTCTCTAATGCTTAAATTAGTTATTATTTCTTTACATTTGCAGTGTTACTGAGTGCATTTAGTATTTGGTTTCTACCGGTTAATTCAGCTACTACGGATATATTTTTATTACTTGCTGGTAGAACATCCATCAGAACAAAGACTGTGACTGAATCCTACGAGGAAAGTACATATGCGACACAGGATGTCAATACCAGAGATCTGGATACAAACATTACAGTTGCATTAACATTACTGGCTAAGCCAGAGGAAGTCACAGACATTCAAGGAAGCTCTTACAATTCAACAGTGAGTGATAAAAATACTCAATCTGCATTTACCCCAAGTAAAGATACATCACCAACTCGAAAAAGCCTATATGCTTTACTGGAGTTTACAACATTCAATCCTGTAACAGAGTCTAACACCGACAAAAAAAGCTTTACAGTGCCAGACCTCCACACACAAGATACAAATTCATCTGGGATTGTTACTCCTAAACCATCACTGGCTCCAGAATTCTCAACTGCAGGAATGGGGGACAACAAAACTGCCTGTATACGCAGCACAGGTCTAACAGAAGCTGAAGTTTTAGCTATTGTCGTTGGAGCTGTATTCATGACCATTTTACTAAGTAAGTACTAATAAATAGGGATCCTAAAACATTACTGAGCTTTAAGATTTTATGTAATCATTGATATTTATTAAAGTATATATTGCTACATAATCTGAGATTTTGCATCTATCTAAAATGATATTGACGTAAAATGAGCACTTTTACACATTAAAGGTTTTGGTGCACTGCAAATACACAAACAATTCTTACAAACATATACTCCACAAACCTTGCTATTACTTAATGCATGCAATAGACAGAGTATACGGTTTCTGTCTTCATTCGTTTTCAATAGTAGCATAGCTTTGATTTGCTGTAATTCATCAAAAATGTGACAGTGCATATGTAAGTGTTTCTATATATGTTTATGACTTTATGTGTGTGTCTCTATTAAAGGGACACTATAGTCACCTGAACAACTTTAGCTTAATGAAGCAGTTTTGGTGTATAGAACATGCCCATGCAGCCTCACTGCTCAATCCTCTGCCATTTAGGAGTTAAATCCCTTTGTTTATGAACCCTGGTCACACCTCCCTGCATGTGACTTGCACAGCCTTCCATAAACACTTCCTGTAAAGAGAGCCCTATTTAGGCTTTCTTTATTGCAAGTTCTGTTTAATTAAGATTTTCTTATCCCCTGCTATGTTAATAGCTTGCTAGACCCTGCAAGAGCCTCCTGTATGTGATTAAAGTTCAATTTAGAGATTGAGATACAATTATTTAAGGTAAATTACATCTGTTTGAAAGTGAAACCAGTTTTTTTTTTTCATGCAGGCTCTGTCAATCATAGCCAAGGGAGGTGTGGCTAGGGCTGCATAAACATAAACAAAGTGATTTTAATTGCAGGGGAACGATCTATACACTAAAACTGCTTTATTTAGCTAAAGTAATTTAGGTGACTATAGTGTTCCTTTAATGCGACTGTGTAATTGTTTTTCTATGTATGTTATGTGGAAGTAAAGGTAAGATTTTATGATAATATATTTGGGAGGGATACATATTCTTGAATGGCTTAGGGGAAACAAAAAACGAAATACATCATTGCATCAACCTTCTCTGAAACATCATAGTATAGCCTCCTTTTAATCTATACAAGTTTGTATGGTGTGTGCAATCACTTCTGAGTTCCAAACACTCGGTGTGCCAGTATGGCCTATATCTCTCCCTGTACTGTAAGCCCCTGTACTATTTCTGTTTTAAATAAAGTTGGGATTTTTTTTTTCTTCAAGATTATTTCCTATGACTGCTTCTTTTTCCAGTTTTACTCTCTCCAAAGTAATAACCCAGGATGGTTATAGGAGTCCCAAATTGGGATGGTTCAGCCAGATGTGGCAACATTTTAAATAGATGTGCATATCCATATTCAACAGCTTCTAGTATATTTTCAGGCAACAGACACTACGAATAATGAAAATATTTAAAGGGACACTATATGAATGTGGCAATGTATCTGATTCATGTCATTAAACTCGTTATAGTGTCTGAAATCCCCTGCTGCCATCATTTTATTCAGCATTAAATAGGTTTTAATGTTTTTCTGTATTGATACTAAATGAGAGTTCCCAGCAGCCACTCCCCTCTGTGCTGCTCTGGCTAATGAGGAAGTATTAGCCTGAGCAGCAATGGGCAGCTGTGATTGGTTGAGAGTATCAGCTGTCATCTTTTAGCCTGTCAGAGTTCCAATTGATGGTATGACTAAAATGAAGTATGTAATCTCTGCCTTAGTCACACCTCCAGATGGGACAAACTGCGGGTAGCCAGGAACCATTAATTAGTGTTAACTTGCTCGAAGACAGCGCCAAGGGACTCCATGCACTATAACCAATTCAAAGAGATTAAATTATTATTGTGAGTACAGTGTCTCTTTAATTGTATTTGGAGAAGAGAGGAACACTAAGTGACAGGGAGGGGAGAGGTACACTAAGGGACGGGGAGGGGAACACTAGAGGACGGGGAGGTACACTAAGGGACAGAGAGGGGAGAGGTACACTAAGGGACAGAGAGGGGAGAGGAACACTAAGGGACAGGGAGAGGAACACTAAGGGACAGGGAGAGGAACACTAATGGTCAGGGAGGGGAGGGGAACACTAAAGGACAGGGAGGGGGAGGTACACTAAGGGACAGAGAGGGGAGAGGAACACTAAGGGACAGAGAGGGGAACACTAAGGGACAGGAACACTAAGGGACAAGGAGGGGAGACGAGAGGAACACTAAGAGACAAGGAGAGGAGGTGAGGGGAGACGAACACTAAATAATATTGACTGGCATGTATATTTTGTGCATTTACCACTTAATAAAAAACATTTGCAAAAAAATTATTAAATACAAATTTTCAGTTAACAGTAGATTTGTGTAGATTTATTTTTATTTTTTTAAATGGTAACTGTACAGAATATCAGTATCAGTAAGTTATCAGCTATCAGCCTGAAAGTTCACAGATTATCGGTATCATATTGGCTCTGAAAAACCAATATCGGTCGATCCCTATTAAAAACCAGCAAAAGATAACTTTGTGATAGAGAAAAATAAAAACCACTACCAGGATGAATATATAAACAAATATGTATCTGAAAACTGGTTATAAGGTCACTATACAGAACCTCTGGGAAATGCAACAAACAACAAGAAAACAACTGTTCAAACGCCAGTAGCTGATAAAACTGGAGAGGATAATATAAATAAACCTTACTAAAATAATGATAATTTTTTTTTAAAGATATATTTTATTATCCTATTCAGTTTTATCAGCCTCTGGTCCTTCGAACAGTTGTTTAACTGATCATTTTCTTGTAGTTTGTAACACGTCAAATATAGTCTTGACAGGCATTCCTAAGGACATGTCTCTATGTCCAGAGAATTAGCTTGAATCCCCTGACCTATACATAGCAAGGCACAGAGTACATAGACACCAATGAAGTTGTACAAACCCAGGACAAAACTGTACAGCAGACTGACCACTAACAATTCGCCGTCGGCATTAAAAGGACATTCCAGCTTTAATGCTTTTGGCTCCATTAATATGCTGTATTTTTTTCCACATGTTCATATATTTCCAGTTTTTGTACACCATAGCCAACACCCTCACTCAAAAAAAAAGACATCCTTATCAAATGTATGCACACAGTCACTGATAGCACTGAGTGAACTGATTGTAATTCACAACTTGGATGCTGATAATCAGAGGAACTACAAACAGGGATATCACTATGGTTTGGATTTAATTATTTTGCATAAGATATTCAAATTATCACAATCTATTAGAAAAACTTTTCAAATGATTGATGTACAAAAATTTCTATAGACACTAATGGTGTCTTTTGTAGATTAATCTAAATTTAAAACAGATTGTGATAATCTGAAAACCTTATCCAAAAGATTTAAATTGATACCTATGTTTCTCCCTGGGTGAATTCTCCTACTAATGCAGGTTGCTTTGTAGTTCAGATCACTCAGTGCTGTCAGTTGCTAAGTTGTGTGTATAATAAAGAAAATATTTTCTGGAGTGATTGACATGGCGCATTACTCTGCAAAACATTTATTTTTATTTTTGTGTGGAAAACCTATAAAGATTTGAGCATGCAAATATGCAGCTTTAATCTAAATAAAAATTAGAGAAAAAAAAAAAAAAACAGTGTTACTCGCCTCAGTAGGGTCCAGTCCCTGCAGCCGCTCATCTAACAGTCCAATCCATAGAGCAGCATTGGGCATTGAAATAGCATGTGTATCACCTTTGTGCTCCTGTTGAAGACTAGTTGTGAGAACCAAGAAACAGAAGCGCCACTAGTGACTGTCAAGTACATAGCCACTATCTGCAATGTAAGAATTCCTATATCTACTAAACTACAATGATTCACATTGTACATTTAAAACTAAATGACCACTGTACCCAGACCACTTTGTTGAGATGGGATAAGTGATCCGTTAAGCATAATACTACACTGAACCCATCATTTTAAAAGTAACAGACTGCTCTTTATATTAAAGTCAGTTTGCTACTCCACCCCTAACATTGAACAAATCAGGCGAAGGCCAAACCACATGAAAGCTGTAATAGCTGAGAACGTAAGAATAATTGTTCTTATGTGCACAATCAAGATGGCATGTATAGATATTACATAAACCTTGCTTTACTTACTGACAAGTTATATTTGCTTTTATAAGGTAGTTGATATGATTTTATAGAAAACCTTCAAATTGTACAAAACAGTAGTTTTCATTTTATGGCAGCATATTCAAATGCATAATTTCTCTCTTCTAATAGTAGGGTTTAAAAAAAAATAAAAAAATAAAAATATTCTTTTTATCAACTTTATGATTTTAGTAACCAAGTAAGTCACGTAGAACATGTACAAAGCATTTCATTTAAACATTACATAACACTGACATCTAAAGATGTTTCATTCTTTCTTGGGGGGACACAATTCACTTTCACACACAAAAAAGGAAGGCCCAAGTATATATTTTAGACAGGAAGGGCAATTTATTTTTCTAAAAAGGGAGAATTAACGGGACACTATAGTCACCAAAACAGCTTTAGCTTAATGAAGCAGTTTTGGCGTGTAGATCATGTTCCTGTTGTCTCACTGCTCAATTCTCTGTCATTTAGGAGCAAAATCACTTTAGGTAGCCCTAGCCACACTTCTCTGCATGTGACGTACGCAGCCTTTCTAAGCACTTTCTATAAAGAGTCATCTAATGTTTACACTTCCTTTATTGCAAATTCTGTTTAATTAAGAATTCCTTATCCCCTGCTATGTTAATAGCTTGCTAGACCCTTAAGGAGCCTCCTGTATGTGATTAAAGTTCAATTTACAGAGCAGGAAATAAAAGGTTTAAAGCAAGTTGCATCGGATGGAAAATGAAAACATTTTTTTCATGCAGGCTGTATCAGTCACAGCCAGGGGAGGTGTGGCTAGATCTGCATAAGCAGAAACAAAAGGGATTTAACTCCTAAATGGCAATTAATTGACCAGTAAAACTTCAGAGGCATAATCTATACACCAAAACTGCTTCATTAAGCTAAAGAGGTTTTGGGGACTATATTGTCCCTTTAAGAAATATTTGAATAACATAGGATTTCAATCTAACTTCTATAAACAAGAAATTGATAACTGCATTGCACAAAGTAAGCCAACAAAGCCAAAATTAAAAAAAGGATAAGTAACAAAATATTTTGCTATGCATTTTGAGAACTCCTACCAGTTAAAATTGTTATTTGAAGCAGCACCAACATTATATTGGGCATCATGAACTTGCTGCAGGATATTTATCAGTTTGTATGTTGTTTTAGGTGCTTTGTTCTACCAGCTCGCTGTTTACATGAAGAAGAAAAAAACTAAGAGGCCAAGCTCAGTTTACATAATTGAAAATGAACTGCACAAGTATGACATGGAAGCAAATGGTGACACAAGGCTGTAGGTCACAGGGACACGAGACGAGTACACTACTTAGGGACAAAAGAAAATAAATGTGTAGAATATTGAATGAGGCTACAGCTCAAGGACCCAATGAAAGGTTTGAAGGTTCATAACGGCAACAGAACAGATTACAAATCTTGGACTTTTTGAATTGTATATTTTATAGCGACACTGAGGCTATTTGAGTAGTCTTACTGTATCTGTCTGCAAAAATATAAAATGTTTCTTACATTGTGATTTTTATGTACATCTAATAAGAAAAACAATGTATCCTATGATCATAAAAAGGATTACACATTGCCTGTGTTTACACATTAAAAAGGAAATGTTACTGCCTGTCTGTTCAGTATAACTTGTATATACAATGGACATTTGAGGATTTTCTTTATTGGTTGTTAAAGGAGTACCACGCTTACTAGTTTAGTTTGTTTGCAGTGTCTTACTTTTTCTATGATAATACTGACTATTGTAATAACCCCTACACTAATCAACTTTTATGCAAGTTCCTACCTCTGTGCCCTGCCATGCTGCAAATATATATTATGAAAAATTGACAGAGTTTGTTGGCTAGAGAACCAACTTGGTAAAACCTCAGGTTTATAGGTTATATTTCCTTTTAAAATCTTACGGTTATTAAATGGAATATCCCTCTCCCCCTCCAATCAATATCACTTGATTCTGTGTAAGACGGTGCCATGATTCTGCTATTGCATGTATGTTTGCATTTATAAAATGTTTTTATAAAATTGAATTATTTCTAAAAATAGACGTGTTCAGGTTTTCTTATGATGTCAGAGAATAAAATTTACTTTCAAACATATTTTAGATACATACCTTGCATTTTTGTGCATTTTAAATTCTCCATTACCTCCTCCACACCACACTTTTATTGTCCTTGTCTTATTTTCTTCTGTGTACAGATCCACTTTCTATGGAAATGCTAAACAAACTGACTTGCAGGGAGGGGAGCAATCAAGCAGTCTACCAAACTGTGAGAATTTAGAAAAACGTAAAATTAGTCAACACTAGAACTGATTACAAATGTGTATAGCAGACTATTTCTTATACCCTTAATGACCAAGGCTCCTTTTCAATGCAATGCTTTTGTGACCAATGCCTTTTTGGCACTTTTACCATGTATTTATTATACAACAATTTAACTTTGTTTAAGGTCTCCCACACATATTATATATAGTAGGGTTTATATGAAACAGGGGAGTTTGAGATCATAATTGTATACATGGCACAACACAACATTAAATATAAATAGAATATTTAAAAATAAATGGGGAAAAAAAGGGTGAATTTTCCATCCATTTTGAATTACAAGTGCAACTAAAGAAAAATAACTTGATTCAATAATTGTTAAAATGTCCAGTATGTCTAGATTTTCAATTCATTTTTAGAAGAAGGTGGTAAAAAAACATATATTGCAAAGAGTAAATACAGTTTTAAAGGTAAACCAACTAGGCAAACGGAGATTACAATTTTAATAGTCACATAATCGAAAACCGCTACACGAAAGTATACATTTGTAGAAAGTATATCCCCCAGGATATATAACAGAGTATTTTGACACTTTTCATTAAAGGACCACTACACATACTCGTTTTCCTGGCATTATAGTGCCCTGAGGGTGCCCCACCCTCAGGGTCCCACTCCCCTGGCGCTGAAGGGGGAGGAAGGGGTTAATCCCTTACCTTTTTTCCAGCGCCGGCTCCCTCAGCGCTGGGACTCTCCTCCCTCTTCTTCCGTCATCGACTAAATGCGCATGCGCATTCAGCTAGTCTCATAGGAAAGCATTATCAATGCTTTCCTATGGACGCTGGCGTCTTCTCACTGTGAAAATCACATTGAGAAGCGCCTCTAGCGGCTGTCATTGAGACAGCCACTAGAGGCTGGATTAACCCATAGGTAAACATAGCAGTTTCTGTGAAACTGCTATGTTTACAGCAAAAAGGGTTAAACCTAGCTGGACCTGGCACCCAGACCACTTCATTAAGCTGAAGTGGTCTGGGTGCCTATAGTGGTCCTTTAAACCATGTTATCACCAATCTCAAATGTCAAACCTGCTGGTTATATATTATTTTCACACTTTTTTATATGGTGGTAAGCATACCAAAACCTTTTCTTGTTCCTTTCTTATTCTCCCACCATATCCCAAGCAGGGAACATATCGCTCAGGTGCATTTAAGTAGAGCTTACTCTTTACATATCTCTAGCTCTACAAATTGCAAGTGCTTTTCTTAATTTTTTTCTTCTTCACATATAACATCAATCTACTGCACTATATAGCCTACCTTTTTGTGTTTGTCCTCGTTCCATATTTGGCATACACATGAGGACCATCCTAGGCACTGCTCCCTCCATCTGTACGCATCCTTTCTCTGACTAGAACAAGAGATGGTTTTGGTTGTTCCAGCTGCCTTCCGTCACCTAGATCATTAGCGCTAGATACGTCTCTCCTTGTTTTGTTCCTATTTGGGACATTGTCTACTCTACAGATTATATTAATAAACAGTGGAAACAAATTATAAAATAAAAATTAGTGGAATGGTCCTTTAACACATGGCATGGTAGGCCCCAGACTGCTATGCAAGTGATAGAACACAAGTAAGATTTATTGTATAACTTGTTTTATTCTCCAGTGTGTATGCAGTTTAAGCCACCTATAAAATATGAACCTTTCAGCCCCTCACCAAATGTGGATGGCCATACATGCACCTCTGTTCCACAAAGAGTTTCATTTAAGAATCTGAATAAGAATAAAATATTTATTGTTTTATCAAGTGCTCCTTCACCACATCTTCACTCCACCCCTGGAAGACTAATAGTGACAGTCTGTTAGGGGCCTCGAGACGTAATTTGCATGTGTGTGTCAGGGCTTAACAAATTTGTTTGGAATCTAGGAGACAGACGAGAAAAATGCAATTATTAAAGGGAAACCATATTCAGCAGAACCACTACAGCTTAATGTAGTTTTTCTGGTGTCTACAGCCTGTCCCTGCAGGCTTTTTTTTTTTTAATGTAAACACTGCATTTTCAGAGACACCTCAGACAGCCACTAGAGGGGATTCCTAGTCCAGTGTTGCACAGTGTGCATAGAGGTGCTCAATGTTTCCCATAGAGATGTCTTGATTCAATGTATCTATAGGAGATGCTGATTGAAGCAAATTAGTGTTTTGTCTGCACATGCATAATATCCTATGGGAAAGGATTAGTTTAGCTGAGATCATAAGGATTGATGATCTCAGCCATGGAGGTGGGACCAGTCACGGAGAAACCTGCATGGCGTGGAAAAAAAAAAGGAGTAAAAACACCTTTTCCATGCCATTGGAGAGGGGCAGTTACCTAAACATACACACTCACTGGCAGACACATTTTCTCATACACTCGTAGATGAACATTTTTATTTTAACTCATGTCCACTTTTGGGAGAGCTGAGTGGATCTTTCCCTGGGGTCCAGTGGGGCTACTCTCTAATCTTCCTTTCTGCTCACCTGCATGCCCTCTGTAGTGATGCCAGAGCTGGCGTGATGTCATATTTCGGCTACCGGCATTACTAAACAGCACGCAAGAGAGAGCAGAGAGGAACTGCAGGAAGATGACTGCTCCCTCACTCGCCACCTCTTTAGTGTCTCAGACGGCCACCTCCAATTCTACCCAGGTGGCTGCCTCTTTTGCTAACCTGTGCGGCAGCCTTCGCTAAAGGGCTGCCAAAACAAAATCCAAAACACCATGGCGACCTGAGATTTGTCAAACCCTGGATTAGGCAATTGTGATTAGTCAGCCAATCAGATTATTCTCATAGGGGAGTATAGGCCAATGCTTGCATATGAGAAAACTCATTACTAGAGAACTATAGTTCTCTCGTACTGAGTGAGGAAGTCCTTTTGCCGGTCAGCATTCCCATTCAGTTTTATTGCATTTTCTTTAATGAAACAAACCTAAGGTGGACCTAACTAAATACCTTCAGCGAGCTTTAGGGGTTTCTTGAGTGTCTTTTTAATGGAAATGAGTGCTTTTTTGAATCAGTGGAAGGATTAGTGACAACAAAATAACGTTCTTAGCTTTGTTATATTGATGGTTTTTGGTTTGTCATTGTGTTATTTTTTTTTACAAATGAGTATTCCTAAAGCTATAGTGTCCTAGTCACTTTTTAGGTTACCGCTACCCCCCAAAAGGACCTTTACTCACGTTTTTTCCACGCCACAATGCTCTATCTGCAGCTGACCCTGCCTCCTTAGGTGAGATTACCAAGACTCATGATCTCAGACAATCCAATGCTTTTCAATAGGAGCCCATTGGGAGTTGCAAAATACTGCGCAGCATCAAGTCAGATGGTCTCTATGTGATTGGAATAGCTGAGTTTTACTCGGCTATTACTGTTCCTGCATAACGGCAATGTTTTTAGTTGAAGGGTTAATTGGAGGGCAACAGCGTACCCAGACCACTTCATTGAGATTATGTGGACTGGGTGCCTACACTGTCCCTTTAACATATCCAGATTGTGTAGTTCCATTTGTAACAAAAATAAATAAATAATGTAACATATTATTTAGCTTTTATTGAAAGCATTATACTTTTAGACACACAATATTTTTGTTCTCTGAATTTAAGATAAAAAAAAAAAAAAATCTGAAAATTTCCATTTTCTTCCTAGGGTAAAAAAAAAAAAAGTTCTCTCTATGTGGCACTCTGCTTTAGTTTTACTCTGATACTTTAGTTTTTTGGTTTAGAAGGAAAAAGGCAACACATCGGCTTGTAGTATTTTTATTTACACAAGTAATAGCCAATATAGATAGCACTTGTTTCATATTTGCTATTTTTGTTTTCTAGAAAAATAAACAATACAATTAACTTGTAGCATTATTCACAAACCGTCAGCAAAATACCACACTTAAAATTAGCAATGACATTCAATAAGCAAACTAACAAAACATGGCTATATATATTATATTTAGACATCCATGGTGTTTTAAAGCAGAGCTGGCCTTAACGTGCAATGATGAGAAACAGAATAGCAACTGTGAACAGCAGACTATCTGCCAATCACTTTATTTAAAGGGACTCTCCCGTGCAAGGAAAACAAATCCGTTTCTGCAGTGCCCCCCTCCCATCCTATGTTGCTGAAGGGGTTAAAATCCCTTCAGTGACTTACCAGAATCCAGCGCTGGTGTCCCTCGGCGCTGAGTAAAGCTCCACCCACGTTTCTCCCAGACATCGGCAGGGGAGACCTAATGCACATGCGCGGCAATGGCCGCGCACATTAGACCTCCCCATAGGAAAGCATTATTAAATGCTTTCCTATGGGGATTCCGACGACACTGGAGGGCCTCCTGCATAGCGTGAGGACGTCCAGCGTCATTTAAAATACTTTTCGTGTTTCAAGAACCCGGAAGACCCTCTAGTGGCTGTTTATAAAAACTGCAATCATTACACTTGCAGGGTTAAGGGTGATGGGAGTTGCCACCCAGACCACTCCAACGGGCAGAAGTGGTCTGGGTGCCTGGAGTGTCCCTTTAAGTTATTTTCCACTAAAGTTTCCAATAGATCAACACTGCTCAAGTTTCTTGGCCTCTAGCACCACTAGAACTAAACATCCTTCCATTTATCAATGGTTATCACAACAATAATAAATATGTTTTCAGTACCTATATACATCTACTACGGTTTGTACATTGTATACAATAAGGCTTTATAATATGCATTTGGTGAGGTTTAATCACATAACTTTGGCTGTAATTGTTAACAGAAAACTCTACAAACCAGCAAATAACCCTGCAGCTAGGTTTGGGTTTTTGCTTATAGAAACATGATTTTGCACTATACCCCCTTATAGCAGCATGATATTAGCATACACACAACCATTTCTAGCCGAGTACCTCCATGCAATTAGATTAAACACAATATTTCTAATACACTTGCATCACTAATAAAATAACAGGCACTTTGAAAATCACTCCTAGCATACATTTCTATACATGTAATCCTTTGCAACATTGAACACATGATGAAATTACTCATTTGATGCATACAAGAAAGTGTATCCCCTTACAGTAGAAAACCACATGTTCAGGGATACAACATGCTAATGTTTCCAAACAGTAATTCAGAGGTCGAAACATGGCAAATTAGAATGGTCAAAGCAGCTTGTGTACATATTGCTACTGTCCAAGGTACTGTTTGCACTTAGAATGCATTTATCATTGGCATGAGCAGGTAACATTTTAGCCAAGGCTTTAAACATGGCAGGAAATGATTGTACAGCAACAGAAAAATAAACAAAAGCAGGTTGCATCTGTGGTTAAATCCCATGTGTTCACAGGTGATACACTGAATGGACTGCAAATGCCCCAACTTCTATAAGCCTCCAAACCTTATGCTAGGATTTTCAAATTATGGCGGGGATAGCTATCAATTAGCTGTTATCTTTAGAAATCTGATGTACCTCTGGCTCCACAGGACACAAGAATGTCCTGAGTCAAACTACAAGAGGATTGAACAAACACACTGATGACAAATGCACTGCTCAAACCAGTAACACTGTGCAAAGACTGAAAGCCATACACATATCATAGATTTAAAATATTAAGTAATCTTCCGAATTATACAGACTTTTTGAAGGGAAAAAACGACACGCACACACACACACAAAGACCAACCGTCCTGTCTCATACAGTACCACAATGCATGGTTTTTTTTGCATGTAATTAGCAGGAGCTAAACAGTCTGGATATTACTCCGATGTCAAGGAGCGAGACATCCTATGTACTGCTTCCACCACTGCTCTTCCCTGAGCTGCTGCTTTTTTGCATGCGACTGGCACTCGGCTGGCGTGGGACTCTCTGAGTTGGGCCATCACGGGATCCCCGGTCAATTTGGCTCTGGGTGACATTTGAAGGAGGATTCAGTTTGGTTTTTCCTACAATCAAAAATGAAGACAGTATTAATGAGGACATGATTACATATTACAGTAAGTGTTGCTAGTGTTCCTTTCCTCTGTAGGATATATAAATTAAGACTTAAAATGGGGCATTTGATTTTATATGGTGTACAGAGAACACCAAAACAGGGATTTCTTCTTTAAATGTTGCAAAGTTATTATTTTTTGATATGTCCGATAATAAAAAGAGGTTAATTTGATGACCCCACACAAAAGATATTAAAAAGATGGTTAATGATTGAGAAATTACATGTACAATGTAAATTAGCATTATCCTATCTTTGAGGCATCAGAGACTTGCCTGCAGTAACCAGTAAAATTAGAGGGACATGTCTAAAGGAACATTAGCAAAGTATACATCTGTAGATAAGAAAGCCTACGTATGCAGCTAGAAGCAAGGCTAAGGTAAAATAACAGCGGCAGTAGAAAGCCAATCACCAGCAAGCTACGCCAGCTGTAACCAGAAGCAAGCACTGAGCAAAGGATTAATGCTGAGAAAAATAACAAAATAAATTTTTTTAAAGAATTCCAAGTGATTCTGGCTCTCGCAATACTTAGTTGTATAAAGAGAAAATTAATGCATGATCCATATGCACTTTCATTACTGAAGTTAGAAAACTAGTACTGAAAGCTCAGAGTTGCTAATTCTTGGTCATAAAAGAAGCAATAACTGAAAATTGAAAGACAAACATTTTACACAATTGCAAAACATGAAATGATACCAGCACTTTGAATGAAAGGGGGAATAAAAACTGTTATTTAGTTTCATGATATGTCATGTAAAATTTTACACAGACAGACAATCTCTATAAATCCAAGTGGTCAATAAGTGTTCCAGAATAGATATGTGATAGTTTTGGACAGATGGGACATGAGGGACCTATCCCAATACATTGATTATATTTTGTGCCTTCTACCGTGTGTTAATTTAAATTACACCCAAAGAGAGTGGTTTTCCTCCAAGGTGTATTTCACAAGTATGGAATAGCACCTACCCCAGAAGGTGCAAAGGAGTTCAGCTTTTCCAAAAAACCATTCAATGAAGAGACCATAATACAATACTCCAGCAAGCCTTTCTGATGATGTGCTTAAGTAATGTTTTATGGTCTCTTGCCAAAACAAGGCTCTAACAGAGTGTTGTACTTCGTATGTGCCCAAAATAAGGATTGCAACTGCAAATACCACCTGCTGCCCTTGCTGGTTTTGATCATTTTGGATCACACCTCATGATGTTTTAAAAACATGTGTTTAACCTTTTAGTGACCAAGGCTTTTCTAAGATTATATGCATTTGTGATCAATACCTTTTTTGGCACTTAGGCTATGTTTTAATTTCAACATAATCTAATGCTTTCTGCTTTAGAGCACCCATAAATAACAGACGAGGGTGATTTCATCTGATAAACTGTATGTATACATAACACATCATGTATGGTTAAAATATTTGTTTTATAAATGCTCAAAAAAAAAAAAAGGCACTTTTTGCTGACACATTTTTGTGAATTTCTATACAACTCGTGCAATAAAAAATGCTCAAAAACATATTCAATTATAAATTCTGATTGTTAAATGTCTTATGTATCTAGGATTGCAACTAGTTTTTGGCAGTTATAGGACAACTATTACAAGGAGTGATTTACAATTTTAAAGCTTAACCTCTACAAAATACGGTATGCTGAAAATTCAGCTTTATTAGTCTCAAAATCCAAAAACGTCACACAAAAGTATATATTTGTAGGCAAGTAGACTCCACCCATGGTAGTTAACCACAACTCTTGTGTATCCTACTACTTTAAAGACCCCTGGTTTGTATTCTGCATCTCCAAAGTACAGAAATACACCTCATATATAACTTTGCCAGATTTCTGGGGAACATATAGAGTCAAATAACATCATGCCCTAGTTTTAACAATAGCTATTTGCTTGCACTCTTTGGTGAAGTGAAACTGTGTCACAATATGGATAAACTTCAAACACTTATGTTATTTCTAGCCCTAATACGACCCCTAACTCTACACTCATATGAGCACTGAACACAGCTCATAGATGCGTATGTGGCCATTAAATTTGGCTCCAGCAGACAAAGAGCAGCCCCAGGTATCATGTGATATCTAAGTCTCGTTGATAGTAGCAGTTATTAGTTAATTTAACTTAGATGGCCTCATGCTTACCTATGATGGATACCTAGGAGGTGGGGTCCATTGTAAGAGAAGCGCGGCATTGGAGAAAAGGTAGGTTAACTTACGTTTTAAACTCTTATAGGCGAGGCGGTCACCTACATCATGACTAGCACACTATAGCGTTGCTCAGTCAACAATAAAGTCCTCATTGCTGTAGACACATCTATACAGCAGCATCATTTAGCCTATTACCAGTGAAACAAAATTCTCTTGAATAGCATTAGCAAGATTTAATATGCTGGCAAGAGATATAACACGCCATTTGTGAAAATGCTTCAAATTTCTCCAACTAACGGTTTTACTTTAATAATCAGGAGAATATATGCGAAGATTATGGAAATGTTTTTTTTTCTTTTAACAGGTAAGGAAATGATAATGTTCTGCATGGCATTTAAAAGCAGGTATAAGCGAACATGCTTGCTTTCAGCTGAAGGAAGATCCTGAAATGTGCAATACTATGCTTTGTACATTCATATAATCCACTTACGTACAGCAATGTAATAGAGAGTGCAACAGTCAAAGCCCCTTATACAGCAGTCTGATCACACTAGGAAACTCAGGAATTCATGCATGTCTGATTAAGCTGTGATCCAGGTGTAAATACTTTATTTGTAATGCCTCAATTTCAAACCATCTTTGTGAATTGAAAACCTCATTAAAAAATAAATTGCAGTTCATGCAAACTGCAGCAAGGGAAATCTGCTTATACTAGGGACACAAACTAAATTAAAGGTGGATATTGAAAAAACATCGACGGTTAAAAACATTAACCGGTAAGAAAACCCGCTAGTACTGGCCCCGCCCATGACCCCTGATCTGCCTCCTTGGGGGACATCGTCAGAATTGTATATATGCGTACTCAATTACTGCAGTTAAGGGGTTAATATAGCTTTTAATACAAATAACTGAAAATCTGCACAATTTTATTGGCCCATTTAAAATCTTGCTGTTAAAAGTATATGTGTGTTAGTATGTACTCGGACAGATTCCTTTCAGCAGCAGTGAACTTTCACATTTTTAAGAGGTCTCTTTTCATCACCTTTTCAGTTCTGGGTACATGCATGAAATATTCATTTAAAAAAAAAAATGCTGATGTTTGCAAATGAGATTTTCAGAACTCCAGTTATAAGATTCCTAGTGTAATTTCAGACTGTGTAATATAGAGTGTATAAACCATTAATTGCAACCTGCAAATGGGGAGAACAGGCAGCAAGAAAGCTCGAAGGAACCAGAGGGACCTTGAGAAAGAGGTGAGCAAGCATCAACAGGACTGTAGACCACAATCTTAGTGCCTTTAACTCTTGGAGGTCGAAAGGCAGAAGAAGAAAAGGTGAGTGGTGCAGGGATTTTACTGTTCTTGGCTGACGTGAATGGAACCTCTGATTTAAAAAGACAAACAAATGAAATGCATGATTGTTTAAAAAGCAACACAATATTAACTATCATCACTGATGGTAAGCTCTACAGTGCAATTATGTGAATGTTAGATTTTAAAAATATGTTTTCCCTCATCCCAGGTCCCACCTAACATTTTGACATGCAAACAAGACAGACTGAGGTTTAAAAATATATACATTTAGATAGGCATGAAAACCAGGACTAGAAACAAGTGAGTTTACCTTTATTTTAGTGTCCACATCCATCAGAAAACAATGATGAACTGGTACTTAGCATGTATGTGAGTGATATTTATTTTAGCCATGGCACCATCTGAGGCATATAATGTAGATGATAGTTGACAAGTTGGTAATGGTCTGCTTTAGAAGTATTTTCTTTGTTTCAGGACCATTGCACAAATAGAACATAAGGCAAACCCGCAAGAATGCTTTAATCCCCACTGGTGTGAGATAATGCATCATTACGGTGCAAACTGTCCTGATAAATATATACACATGGGCAAAGATGAGTGCACTGCCCAAAACTAAGGGCTGGTATATTTAAGAGTGTGCAACTTTTGTTACATGCACAGTTCACATATTGGGGGTACAATGGTGAGTTTGTAATCCCCTCCCAGGACTACTTAACATGAAGTTGGACGTTAGCTTCCAATTGTGATTATGCTAACAGCCTCTCTCTTTCAGGGGTATAATTGTAGTTTGCTTTCTTTTGCAAACTTTTCCCTGGATTAGGCTATATGACAACAGTACATTATTAGATTGTATCAAACAGTGCCATCTTGTGAGCTTTCTCTAGCAATACATCGGTAAAATAACGTGTTTACTTTTTAACAACTTTTAGTGAGTGCAACACACAATTTATAGATCGCTATTTTTTATTTTATTTAAGCAGTAACTAATAAGTACTGTTTTTTTTTTATAATTTGTATTATTTTCATACAAAATAGACATTTAACTTGCTTACATAAAACATGATGTTCAGAATTCAATCAAAATCATAACAAAAGTCATAGCACAACATATAAATACAAATACAGCAACTTTCATGCCAAATAGAGAGCGAGGGGAGTTCTATAAATTGGTCACAGAATTCCAAGATCACAGAGTCTTATACTAGTTTTCCGCCCTTTAGTCTTTAGGTGTGACCTGGACATTCTGTCACTCAGGGACAACCATAATCCCCATATTCACTTTATAACTTTTCTAGCCAAAAGGTACTATAATCTTTAGCTTTCAGATCTTTACCATATAGCTTATCTAGTTGGGATTCCATTCCCAATTGAAACTTAACCTGAGATAAGAGTTTGTCTAAAGAAAAGGGTAATGAATTTTTCCAATTCCTAGCTATTATTATCTTTACCGCTATCATAAAATCAATATAAATAATCAAATCCTTCTGAGATAAGGAATCAATATTTAAATGTAAAATAGCATTTTCTGGAAATTTAGGAATAGGCTTAGAAAATCAATTTATCAAGAGTAACAAAACGTTCCTGCCAAAAGTTTCTGACAATCTCACATTCCCACCAAATGTGTATGAAAGAGCCCAACTGTTGCTTACATCTCCAACATAGTGGTGCAGTCGAGCTGTACATATTGGCTAGTCTGGTAGGGACAGGATACCATCTATTTATTACTTTATATAATGTTTCCAGTAAATTCAAACAATGAATATTTTTAGCTGTTCTGGGTATAACTGCACAACAATTTCCCTTATTAATTTTTATTTTTAATTCTCCCATTTTTGCAAAGACGTAATGACAGGAGGTGCATCCAGTTTTAGGATAGCATTCATTGCTGTAGCAGATACTCTATTTACTGTCTTATTATTTGATATTAAACATATCAGTTTAGCCCCGACTTGAGGATTATGCTCAATCTTTTGGTTTAAGAAGTTTTTTTTTTATCTCAAATATGTAAATAATTCCTTATTAGGTAACCGGAATTCCTGCTTCAGTTGTGGGAATGGTTTGATTTTGTCGTTTACAAACAACTGGTCAGTCTGGACGATACCACTAAGGATCCAACTCTTTAAGTTAAGGTCTGTTACGTAATATGGTATTAATTCAATTTTAAGAGTTAAAGGACCACTCTAGGCACCCAGACCACTTCAGCTTAATGAAGTGGTCTGGGTGCCAGGTCCAGCTAGGGTTAACCCATTTTTTCATAAACAACAAAATTGTCAGAGAAACTGCTATGTTTATGTATGGGTTAAGCCTTCCCCCTAATCCTCTAGTGGCTGTCTCATTGACAGCCACTAGAGGCGCTTGCGTGCTTCTCACTGTGATTTTCACAGTGAGAGCACGCAAGCGTCCATAGGAAAGCATTATGAATGCTTTCCTATGTGACCGGCTGAATGCGCGCGCAGCTCTTGCCGCGCGTGCGCATTCAGCCAAGGAGAAGGAACGGAGGAGAGCTAATAAATCGGACTTTAGGATCAGCGGGACTATACCAGAGTAAAGAACTTAGATCTTGAACTTGACATATCTCCCTTTCTAGGATATACCACCCCTCGTTCTTAACACTTTCCAACTGGGTTCGGTAAATATGGAAGAACTCGTTTGCCAGATATATATCGTTAATGGTCGGAAAACACAAGCCTCCTTTAATTATCTGTGCCAGGAGTATTTTATTCTAGGTCTCTTGTTTTTCCAAATAAAATTAGTGACCGAATTTTGAATCATGTCGAGCCATGGTCTAGGTATTCTTATGCGAAGCATTTGGAACATATATGCCCACTTAGGGAAGAGATATGCCTTTATTAAATTCATTCTACCCCACCAAGAAATTTCTATTTTTTTTCCATCTGTTCAGAGCTTTGGACATGTCCCTAAAGTTGCTCAAAAAGTTAATCTGCATTAATTCTGAGGGATTACTTGTCAAAAATATCCCTAGATATGGGATACTATTTTTAGCCCATTTAAAGTTATAGAATTCTTGTAGGTGGGTCCTGGTGGCTGTATGTAAATTAATATCTAATATGGTTGTTTTATCTTCATTTAATTTATAGTTAGAAATTTCACTATATTCCTTTACTACCTCCATAAAAGCCTTGATGGATTTAATAGGATCGGTAAGGGTCAAAATTAGATAGTCAGCGTACAGTTTCAGTTTCAACTCTCTATGTTTAATAGTTATCCCTCTTATATGTTGGTTAGATCTTATTTTATTAGCCAAGATTTCCATAGTAATTATGTAGAGAATAGGGGACAGCGGGCAGCCCTGTCTTGTTCCATTATACAAATTGAACCAGTCAGCGCAGATGTTATGGCCCACTGTCCTCACCGAATGACCGGTATATAGAGACATTATGGCTCGATGGATCCAACCCTTGAATCCACATTTTTTCAGGATTTTGCTCATAAATACCCAATCCACTCTATCAAACGCTTTCTCAGCGTCCACCGTTACTATAGAAAGGTTTTTTTTTGTTCTATTAGCCAAGTCTATGATGTCAATAATACATCTGGTGTTATCAGAGGAGATTCTACCTGGTACAAAACCTATTTGATCAGGGTCTATTATATCAGGTAGTGTGGTTTTCATCCTATTTTCTATTATTGCAGCAAAGATCTTGACATCAGTATTTATGAGGGAAATAGGTCTATAACTTTCCACCTGACTTAGGTCTTTATTCTGCTTCAATATTGGAGTTATATTTGCTCTTAGCATTTCTTTGGGGAATTGACCGGTTTCTACTATATTGTTAAATAAGTCTGCTAATTGTTTTTTGAGAAGATCACCAAAAGCTTTATAAAAGATATTTGAAAATCCATCAGGACCCGGAGTTTTATTATTCTCCAATTTTCTAATAGCTTCCTCCACCCCTTTTGGGTCGTTATCTGAGCATTAAGAAGTGTTCTTTGAGAGTCTGATATTGTTGGGAGGTCAATAGCCTCTAGGTATTTGTCTGTATCTTTTTCTTTTGTTGAAAGGGAATATAAGTCGCTATAATATGTATTAAAACATTTCCCTATAGACGTGGGAGAAATATGGATCTTGCTATTCATCTTTATTTTTGTTATTCTACTTGAGACCCTTTTATCTCTGAGCTTCTTAGTTAGGAGTTTGTCTGCTCTGTTCCCCATACTGTATTCTTTCAACTTAAGTTTTGCCAGAATTTTTACATTCTTTTCTATGTTGATTTGATTAATTTGGTCTTTAATCATCTTAATCGCTTCTAAATTAACTCTAGAAGGATTAATCTTATTCTTTTTCACTTTTCAGCTAGATTATTATAAAGAGGGAATAAGTCCAGACTTTTGTTCCTATTTAAGTGTGCTTCTAAGCTTATTAAGTTGCCTCTCATGTTAGCTTTAAAAGAACACCAGTTATTAGAAAATGAGGTTTCGTTGGGCATGTTAATTTCAAAATAGCGTTCTATCTAGGATCTAAGAGAATCTAGATTTGATCCATTATGGAGTAGATAATCTTTTAATGCCTTAATGATGAGTGACGGACAAGGTCCGTCACTCAGGGGAAACCCTTAACGACGAGTGATGGACCTCGTCTGTCACACGGTAAAATTAACCCCAGATCGCGGCGATCGCGGGGTTAATGGTGCTCCGGTCTGCCTCTGTATTAGAGGCAGACCGGGAGCACCCGATAGTGCTACCCAGCACATGTGCTCGCTCTGACAACATGTCAGAGCGAGCACATGTGCTTAGTATACTTACCTTCTGCCTCCCTGCACTTCCTGGTTCTGTGTGAAGTGCAGGGAGACGGATCAGTGATGATCCTGCCCCCTGTTAAAAAAATAAAATAAAGTTAATTTAAAATCCCACCCAACTTTACCCATTTAAATAAAAAATTAACCTCTTCCCTGCCAATTGATCACTGACTACAGTGATCAATTGGCAGGGATTACATTTTACTATGATCTGATTTTTTATTTTTTTATTTAAGTATTTTAAAATTATAAATTTAGCTAGCTGGGGTGGGTGGAAGTTAGTGGGGAATTGGAGGATTCGGTGTTAAGCTAACTAGGGGTTAACGTTAAAAAAAGTTTTAAAATAAGCTTTAAAAAGTTCAAAATTAAGTTAATAAAAAGTTTTAATAATGTTTAAGTAAAAAATAAAAAAACACCCCCTTTAACCAGTCCAAATAAAAATTAACCCCTTCCCTGCCAGTCGATCACTGCCTACAGTGATCAAAATACAGATCACAGTATTATACTGTGATCTAATTTTTTTTAAACCCTGACGATTAACTTTTATTTATTTATTAACCCTCAGGGGTTCAATTTATTTAATTAACTAATTTAAATATTTTATAATTATATATTTTGCTAGCTGGGGTGGGTGGGAGTTATGGGAAAATGGGGAATTTACTGTTAGTGCTGCTTACTGCTAGTTAGGGGTTAACGGTAAAAAAAAAAGCTTAGAAAAATGTTAAATCTGTAAAAAAGTTTTAAGAAAGTTTAGGAAAGTTTAAAAAAATTAATAAGCAAAACAAAAGTTTAAAAACTAGTTTTTAAAAGTAAAAAAGTTTAAAAAGTAAAAAAATACATTTAAAAACGCTCATTACCACTACACCTGGAACAAACTAGAGAAAAAAAATTATCCCACGCCAAGGTTCAAAATATGCCTTTTGAATTACCCCAGGGTGTATTCTTTAATAAATAGTATGTGTTTGTGGGGAAGTTTCAATAACCAACCGTCTAAACTACTCCAAATTGGAACATGGACACAGCGTAAAACTTCAAAGTTAGAAAAAAACTGAATGGCTGCGTCTCAAATGTGCCCCTTCAACATCCACATATACCTGGCAAAGGTACATACGGGGGTATTGCTGTACTCAGACCACATAGCTGAGCAACATATGAAGTATTATACAGTCGTAGCACACATAAGGTTTGCAAAATATACTGCGCAAACTCACTTTCTGTGTTAAAAAGGCAGAAACGCTTATTACCACTACACTTGGTACAAGCTAGCGGAAAAATGATCCCACGCTAAGGTTCATAATATACCTTTTGAAATACCCTGGGGTGTCTACTTTAAGAAATGGTAGGCCCTTGTGGGGTAGTTTGAATTTAAAACCTGCGAAGATGCTTGGAAATTGCACATAGGCCCAGCATCAAAATTCAAAGTTCGGTAAAAACTGATATGGCCTGGTCTCCTATATGGCACTGTAGCTTCACGAAATAGTGCCAAAGACATTCATTGGGGGTGTCTTTTTACTCAGAAGACATAGCTGAGCATAATTTGGGGGGTTTGAACTTAGTGGCACATATGAAATATACAAAATGCCCAGCAAAAATGCAATCTGTATGTAAAAAATGCACAAAATTATTTTTTACCACATACTATGGCATATTGGTGAAAAAATGTGGGCATGTTAAGGCACAATATGCACCTTACGAGATACCCTGGAGTGTCTACTTTTACAAATGGTAGGCCTTTGTGGGGTTTTTTTGAACAGTCAAACTACTATAATACCCCAAATGGAAGCAAAGGCTCATTAAATCCGTCTCTCAAAATTCTACTGTGAATACTGAAAAGGACAGGTATCCTATAGGGCACTGTAACTTCACGAAATAGTGCCAAAGACATACAATGGGGGTGTCATTTTACTCAGCAGATGTAACTGAACACAAAATAAAACTTTGTACAGGAATAGCACACACCAACTTTACAAAATACACATGAGAATTTCTTTGTTATGAGTTTGTGTGCCAACCCCCCCCCCCGCTCACCCCCCCAAAAACATCACAATTTTACTCCAATATTTAGCAGACGTTGGCGGTGAAATGGCTACATAGAAAGTGTCAAAACCACCTTAGGTAAATAGCCCATGATGTCTACTTTATATAAATATATACCTTTTGTGTGGCAATTTTGTTTTCTTTTATGGCTATTAAGCTTACAAGACAAACATACCAAATTCTAAAATCGCTCCACATTAAAAGTTTATTTTACTCCTTGTGCTTTGTGACCTGTAACTACCAAAAAAAAAAAAAAAAAATTAAAATCCCAGACACATTATATATTCTGTAAATCAGAACAACTAAATTAATTTATTTTTAATTACTTTCCTTAACCTGCACTAATTGTGCACACATTATTATTGCAAAAACTGTAAAAAAATTAAAAAATATTTTTTTTTGCATTTTTCGGTATTTTTTTTTAATAATAACTAAGCATTTAAAGCCCTTTCTGTCCTTTAAAAAACGGTATATAATATGTGTCGGTGCAATAAATTAGTAAAATGCAAATTGCAGTTGAACGCAAACAGCAAAAAATGAAAAAAATGCTGTTGTCATTCAGTAAAAGACAAGCTTTTGAAGCTCTGTCCTTAAGGGGTTAATCTCCATGTAGCTTTGTTTATATTATTCCACTGATCTCTCATAATCCAGATATTAATGCTATGGTCTGACCAGGGATTATCCCTGATTTCAATCTTCTCTACCTTTTCTAAAGCTATTGCGTTGCCCCACACCATATCAATACGCGAGAATGAGTAGTGTACTCTAGAGAAAAAAAAAAAAGTATAATCCTGTCTCTCCGGGTAGGAAGATCTCCATAGATCAAAAAAATCAAATTCATTCAGTAACTTGTTTAGGAATTTAGCCATTTTTACTACAGAACCATCGGCTTTTAAATTATTACTAAACTTCTTATCCAAGATTAGATCCAAAACGCAGTTAAAATCTCCTGCTATAATACACACTCCAGTTTTTATAGATTCAACTTGTTCTAGTATGTAAGAGTAAGAGTTATGCAGATATATGTTAACCAATGTATATTTAAGAGTTATGCAGATATATGTTAACCAATGTATATTTAATTTCATTTAGTTTACAAACAATAATTAAAAAATCTAGCTTCGGTATCTGCAAATTGATAAATTAATTCAAATTTCACGGAACTTGCCACAATAAATAGCCACCCCTCTTTTCTTCCTATCATTAAGAGAGGCATGAAATACATTTGGAAATTTAGCCCCTCCCCATTTTACATTGTCTATCAACCTCCAATGAGTCTCTTGAAAGAACCCGACCTCTACATTTTGATTCTTAAAAAAAATCGTAGACCAGAGTTTTTTTTGCTCGTAAATTTAGGCCCTGAGTGTTTACCGATACCATTTTAACCATGTTCTTTAAAGAAATCTCCCGGTGCTCCTATTGGCATGCACAAACACTTCACAACATCGACATTTACATTACAGTCATACTCTTCTATTCTGGTTGTAAGCCAGAAAATACAGGATGGCCTCTCACCCAACAAGATGACCTTGAGGGTTAGAGCCATTCTCTCGATAGTTGGTTTGAAACAAACCCTCCTAACGGTACCTGTGTCTCAACAAGGACACATGGCCCGGGGTCAAGAACCCTGCCCAAGGGGATAGGCCTTTATCATTTCTTCTCTTCCCTTATTCTCTCTGATATCCTTTATATTTCTCATTAAAGGACCAACATACTTGTTTTCCTGGCACTATAGTGCCCTGAGGGTGCCCGCCGGGCTCTGGAGAGGGGTTAAAACTTACCTTTTTCCAGAGCTGGGCAGGGAGCTCTCCTCCCCTTCGGCTGAATGCGCGCGCATTCAGCCGGTCGCATAGGAAAGCATTTACAATGCTTTCCTATGGACGCTTGCGTGCTCTCACTGTGATTTTCACAGTGAGAATCACGCAAGCGCCTCTAGCGGCTGTCAATGAGACAGCAGCTAGAGGCTTTGGAGGAAGGCTTAACCCATTCATAAACATAGCAGTTTCTCTGAAACTGCTATGTTTATTAAAAAAATGGGTTAACCCTAGCTGGACCTGGCACCCAGACCACTTCATTAAGCTGAAGTGGTCTGGGTGCCTAGAGGGGTCCTTTAAGAGAGAGAAAAGAATGGAAGAGGAGAAAGTATATATGCGTACTCAATGCTGTTAAGGTGTTATTATAGCTTTTAATACAAATAACTGAAAATCTGCAAATTTTTACTGTTGGAGTTTTATTAAAAAAAAACAAAAACAATTATTACATTTTACCAAAGTGATATACACCCACTAAAATGAAATTCCAGCATCTGAATTAATTTAGCAACTCACCCTGGTGAAAAGAACATATTTCTAAGTGTATAGGCTCAAGTATGCTACATCATTGGTTTCTCAATATGCATTAGATAGCTTTAATAGGACATGCATAAAAATGTATATTAAGTCACATTCATGCATAACAACTGCCTGACTATGGGTTTGTTTAATTTGCTTCCTCAGTCATATGTATGCTTGTATGCAATACTTAAACTGAACACTGGGCTCAGTGCATCCTATAGTAAATGTTCAAGTGTGAAAAATGCTTGCTGGGTGAGTAGCACAGAAACCAAGAGAAAGAAAACCACCATTGGGAAAATCTATACATTGAAGCTCTTCTGCTAGCACCATGTATAGATGATATTAATGCTCTTTAATTTAAGCCTAAACTGCATGCACCATGACTGGTACACAAACATTGTACATTATACAATCTGTTACCTCTTGCTTCTGTATTACTAGATGGCACAGATGTAGAAGAGCAGGTCTCAGCTGAGGCAGAGTCTGTCAGTCTGTGTCCAGCACACATTGACTTCAGCATCTGGAATACCGCTAATGGAGCCACATTCAGCTTTAATAAATCCACAATAATCCTGGGAAAATGAAAGCTGGTTAGCGTTAAATATTTGCATGTGTTTAGTTTATTAAACAATGAAATAGCAGAGAATATATGAAAGAAACAAACTGACAAATGGGGAAAATGTCACAGAGATATCTGCATTTCCTGACATGCAGCTCTATTAACATGATATAATAAAAAGTGAGCAATTCCCAATTCCATTTTGAATACCATTTGTACACATTGGCCTGGACAAATCCACATGACAGTTTATTTTGTGAACTGAAACATTGTCCTTATCATGAAAATACATTGTTTTTGGATTACAAATAGAAGAAGATTTGCAGAAAATTCCTGGGAGCGCTGACCTTTATTGGAAATATATGTCTATCTCTACATCTATATATTCCCATTCTAAATGGATTTTGAGATATATATATAACAATGTATTGGATTCATCTATATATTTCCATTCTAAGTGTATTTTGAGATATATATTTATACATATACACATACACAGTGGTACCTTTGTTTACAAGCACTTCGGTTAACATTATTTTTGGTTTACAAATGAAAATCCATTGAAAATAATGCCTCGGTTTACAAACTTTTTTAAAAATACAAAGCAAGTTTCCCCAGGATGCCACCAGCATGCGCCACCCCCGTGCATGCTGGAGTCTGTGGGTACCACGTGGCGTCGAGAGTGGAGGTGTTGGAGCGGTTTTTGCATCGAGTATTGGAGCCACTTTTTGCAATGGTTTTCGGACTTTTTGAGTGCATTTCTCAAGTGGTGGAAAGGTAGGGAGCTGAGCTTCGTCGTTTGCATGCATTTTACTGTGTGTTCTGCATTATGGGTTGGTTTCCATGTCAGCTCATTTTGACTTTTTTCTGACTTCCAGAACGGATTAATTGGTTTTCAATGCATTCCTATGGAAAACTGCGTTTTGGTTTACAAATTTTTCGCAATAAGAAACGTCCCGGAGAATGCATTAAATTCGTAAACCGAGGTACAACTGTACTAATATATATATATATATATATATATATATATATATATATATATATATATATATATATATATATATATATATATATATATATATACATACATATACATACACACATATACACACACACACACACACGTATACAAACACACATCTCACATTTTTGTAAATATTTTATTATATCTTTTCATGTGACAACATTGAAGAAATGACACTCTGCTACAATGTAATGTAGTAAGTGTATAGCCTGTATAACAGTGCAAATTTAGTCAAAATAACTCAACACATAGCCATTAATGTCTAAACCATTGGCAACAAACGTTAGTACATCCCTAAGTGGAAATGTCCAAATTGGACCCAATTAGCCATTTTCCCTCCCAGGTGTTATGTGACTCACTAGTGTTACCAGGTCTCAGGTGTGTTAAATTTGGTGTTATTGCTCTTACACTCTCTCGTACTAGTCCCTGAATGTTCAACATGGCACCTCGTGGCAAAGAACTCTCTAAAGATCTGAAAAAAAGAATTGTTGCTCTACATAAAGTTGGCCTAGGCTATATGAAGATTACCAAGACCCTGAAACTAAGCTGCAGCACGGAGGGCAAGACCATACAGTGGTTTCACAGGACAGGTTCCACTCAAAACAGGCCTCGCCATCATCAACCAAAGAAGTTTAGTGTATATGCTTAGCGTCATATCCAGAGGTTGTCATTGGGAAGTATGAGTGCTGCCAGCATTGAAGGGGTGGGGGACAGCCTGTCAGTGCTCAGTCTGTGGGTACCACGTGGCATTAAATTGGTCTGCATGGCTGTCTAACCAGAAGGAATCCTCTTCTAAAGATGAAAGCCCGCAGACAGTTTGCTGAAGACAAGCAGACTAAAGACATGGATTACTGGAACCATGTCCTGTGGTCCGATGAGACCAAGATAAACTTATTTGGTTCAGATGGTGTCAAGCGTGTGTGGCGGCAACCAGGTGAGGAGTACAAAGATAAGTTTGTCTTGCCTACAGTCAAGCATGGTGATGGTAGTGTCATGATCAGGGCCTGCATGAGTGCTGCTGGCACTGGGGAGCTACAGTTCATTGAAGGAACCATGAATGCCAACAGGTACTGTGACTGAAGCAGAACATGATCCCCTCCCTTCGGAGACTGGGCCACATGGCAGTATTCCAACATGATAACGACCCCAAACACACCTCCAAGACGACCACTGCCTTGCTAAAGAAGCTGAAGGTAAAGGCTCCAGACCTTAACCCTATTGAGCATCCTCAAATGGAAGGTGGGGGAGCGCAAGGTCTCTAACATCCACCAGCTCTGTAATGTCATCATGGAAGAGTAGAAAAGGACTCCAGTGGCAACCGGTGAAGCTCTGGTGAACTCCATGCTCATGAGGGTTAAAGCAGTGCTGGAAAACACAAAATATTGACACTTTGGGCCCAATTTGGACATTTCCACTTGGGGGTGTACTCACTTTTGTTCCAAAAAGTTTAGACATTAATGGCTGTGTGTTGAGTTATTTTGAGAGGACAGCAAATTTACATTGTTATACACACTTACTACTTTACATTGTAGCAGAGTAATTTCTTCAGTGTTGTCACATTAAAGATATAATAAAATATTTACAAAAATGTGAGGGGTGTACTCACTTTTGTGAAAAAAAAAAAAAAATATATATATATATATATATAAATAAATCAGAGAGATAGAGTGTCAATGTATTGTTAAATACAGATCTGCAGTCAAGCCATAAGACTTGACAGGCATATGCAATTAGATCAACTAACTAGGGTTAATCCAGCCTCCAGTGGCTGTCTCATTGACAGCCGCTAGAGGTGCTTCCGCGCTTCTCACTGTGAGAAGAAGCTGATGTCCATAGGAAAGCATTGAATGCGCATGTGGCTCTTGCAGTGCATGCGCAATCAAAACTGATGTCGAGAGAGGGAGGAGAGTTCCCCAGCGCCGAGGGAGCCTGGCGCTGGCGAAAGGTAAGAGTTTAACCCCTTCAGCCCGGTGAGAGTGGGACCATGAGGGGGGGGGGGGGGAGGATCTCACCTGTCAGTTTGGGGCCAAGAGTGAAGCCCCATACTGGTGGGTAGCAGGAATTTAACCCTGCTCACACTACATTGTGACAATGGGGATTTAAATCCCAGATTGCACCGCTCACTTTGAACTCAGCAAATAGCATTTTTCAGTCTGGGACCACTACTTTTGACTTCAGCTGATAGAGAAGAGCCACAGGTGTCCAAAAAAAAATAAATACTTGGGGTTACTATTAAAACAGCATGACAGTCTATGCCGTCCATGGCCATTAAAGCCCTGCACTGTATGACGGCATAGATTGTCATGTGTTTCTTTAAGTGGTTAATGAAACCGTTTTAGTATACAGATCATGCCCAGGCACTTGACGCTCTCAGCCAATGAACCACGACTGCATCTGCTTCTGCCTGGCAACCAGGAGCCTGGTGGGGACCCAGGTGAGGGGGAAGACCAATACTAGATAGCTTGACCCATTACCAAGGTAGGGTACTCCTGGCATTTATAATCGGTCTGTTGTGATTATGATGTTTGATACAATGGGATGAGTTGCATTAGATATATCTGGGTATGAGCTTCCATTAGCAGCACACATTTGGTATATTATATTATATTACACAGAGCACAGCATGGCCTACTTATTGTATCTGCAATGTTACTGGCTGTGACACTCACTTAAACACCTCCTGGTCCAGGACGATGCCGGCAGCCTGGCTCAGCTCGTACAGCTCGGCCTCCTCGGCGTTCAGCACCTTCTTCTTCTTGGAGACATATTTCTGCACGGAGCCGCTCACCGTGACCACCGCGTCCATGGCCGACACGGAGGCCGGCAGGGGAGCAGCCATGTCAGGAGGGGGGTCACTGCGGGCCTGGCAGCTCTGACACTCCGACACCGGCCGTCACTCGGGCTTTCCCGCCCAATGCCGCCGTCACCAGCTTTCCTGGTTACCTAGCAACGAGCTGGCAAAACATTGTGCGGGTGCAACGGTCCGCCCGGAAACAAGCAACAGCGAGTGTAGGTTCCGGCTCAGCCGCGCTGGTAAATAAATCCTGTCGCTGTCCGATGCTGAATGTAGAGAGCCGGATAAATAGCACATTACACCAGGAATCTGTCATTGTAAACACACACCCTCACCCTCTCCTCCTGCATGCAGGGATAAGGGGTTAATAATACTGTGCGAGTGCCTTTTCACTTTAAATGGGATTATAGTAAAATCCTGAGACAGCCATTCCCAATATAATGCTACCAGGCAAGGCGTATGCCCAACATCCATAACAACAATCCACCACATTTAAAAAAGGCACTGCAGACAAACTATGGACATCTATAAAGGGTTACCCCATGCACCATGACCACTTCACTGTTTCGAAGTGGGCGTGACGCTTGGAGTCTGTATGTGAGCATGTCAGTTTAAAAGCACATCCTACGAAGAGTTAAAGCGGCACGTCACTCCGTACTTACCTTTTCCCAGCCGCTTTCCTACTCTGTCTTTCTTTAGTGTATTAGCATGTTATATAGTCACAAAACGGCTCTCAGACATTGTGGTAAAATAGAACTTCTCTTTACTTCAGCACACACACATAATGACATAACACAAGAGAGACTAACACAACAAGTGCATAACTTCACTATGCTGCCATCTACTGGAAGGTGGACTGCATAAACCCCAATACATAACACTCCGCCCCCCTAGACCTCAAAGTCTTTGAGATAACAGGGAGGTTTAATAGTTTGTCTTGGGTGCCCCAAAACCATGTTTGGAACTGCTTCACCTGGACCTTCAGCTGTGCCCATCCCTTCTTCCTGTGCTCTGTCAGATGGACCACACAGAACTGGTTCTTCAACAACAACTTCTGGAATACTGAGACCTGTATCATCCAGTGGTTCAACATCATCTGGTATCACAGAAAACCCAGTATGAATGGGACCAGCAGCAGGCAGAATCTCATCACTCTGTTCCGAATCTGATCAACATGCCTTCGTAATATTCTACCATCAGGAATTTGTACTTTGTATGACAAAGGTCCTGTGGCCACAAGTACTTTTGCAAGTATCCATTTAGGCCCAGAAACATAGTTCCTGACATAGACAGCACTGTCAGGTGCAAATACTCTCACAGTGGAAGCTTTATAGTTCTTATTGAATTGCAATTCTTGCTTCTCTTGCAACTCAGTTGTCAAATCAGGATGTAAACGATGCAGACAAGTTTTAAGACGCCGGTTCATAAGGCGCTCTGCTGGACTACTACCGGTGCTTGAGCAAGGTGTCACATGTTGTTGCAGAAGGAAATTTGTAAGTCTACGATTCCAATCTCCTTCAATAATTCTCTTTAATGAGTCTTTGGAAGTCTGAACCATACACTCAGCTTGACCATTTGATGATGGGTGAAATGGTGCAATCGTAACATGTCGCATAAGATTACTTGCCATGAAAATTTTGAATTCCGATGAGGTAAATTGTGTTCCATTATCAGACACAATTGTATTTGGCAACCCATGTGTAGCAATCAGCCTCCTTAGAATCTTCATGACTGTGACTGAGGTAGCAGATGTAACTGGAACAACTTCTAACCATTTTGAAAAAGAGTCAACAACTAAAAAAACATCTGTCCGTGAAAAGGGCCAGCAAAATCTGTGTGTAAACGGGACCAAGGTGACCTAGTCACTTCCCAAGGATGTACTGAGGCTTTAGGTGGAGCATGATGAGTAGATTGGCATGGTACACAGTTCACCCACTTTTCAATAACTTCATCCATTTTAGGCCACCAAACATAACTTCTGGTTAAAGCTTTCATGCGAACTATTCCAGGATGTCCTTCATGAAGAGCATGCAATACTCGAGCTTGTCCTGCATTTGGAATTACCACTCGGTTTCCCCATAATAGGCACCCTTTATAGGCAGATAGTTCATGTTGGCTCACTACAAATGGTTTGAACTTGTCTTCCACTTTTGATTTTGGCCACCCCCTCCAAACCCAGTTGAGCACACGGGACAGTAAAGGATCCTTGGCAGACATACAAGCAATGTCACTTGCATGTAACGGAGGGTTTGGAATGGATTCCAACATGAGGACCTCAGACATAGGAGGAACAAGGAAGTCAGGAGAAGGCAAAGGTAATCGGCTTAATCCATCAGCATGTGTGATATCCTTGCCAGGACGATACTTGAACTCACAATCATAGGCATTCATCATAAGGGACCACCTGAGCATGCGTGCTGAAATTATTTGAGGAGTGGGAGTATTGCTGGTGAACAGACCCAGTAAAGGTTTATGATCTGTTATAATAGTAAAACTCCGCCCATACAAATAGTCATGAAACTTTTTTACACCGGACACAATAGCTAAAGCCTCCTTGTCAATTTGGGCGTAATTCCTCTCTGTAGTAAAGTCCGTGAATAAAACGCAATAGGAGCCTCAACCCCATTTCTCAAAGTGTGGCTCAATACAGCCCCTATGCCATACGGAGAAGTATCGCAGGTGAGGTTGAGCGGTTTCTCCAAATCGTAGTGTACAAGCAAACTGTCAGAAGACAACAGTTTTTTAGCAGCGCTGAAAGCGGTAGTATGAACGTCAGTCCACTTCCATGAAGCATCTTTATCTAGTAGATGATGCAGAGGTTCAGCAACAGTGGCTTTATCAGGCAGAAAAGAATGGTAAAAATTAAGCAACCCTAGGAAAGCTTGCAGTTCTTGTTTGTTTGTTTGTTTGAACCGGAGCTCTATGGAAAACAAGATTTATTACAGGCACTAAAAATGTAAACTCACATGGTCCACAAACGAGCATGAAGGGTAAAATAGATGCACTCAAACGCACCACCATCAAAATTGTACAAGTGAAGTCTTTTGCCACTCAAGGCCATTGATTTCCACAGAACTGCCGCAGCACTGCTGCCAATCGGACTCTCCATTGTGAGGATATAAGGACATGGTGACATACGCAATGCATTTTAACATAAGGCCCTCTTTCTCAAGTGATCATTCTTACTTTGATCATAAATCATTATAAACTTATTTGATCAGTATTGCTTTCTAATGATCAATGGGCAAAGAAAGGGTGAATGCTTTAGAAAAATGGCCTCACATCAAAACATACATATGTCAAACTTGTGCGTTTGGGTTCATCTTTACTTCATATTTTACACAATAACTAAACATTGTGCACTATACATGTGTTTTATTTACATTGCAGGGAATTTATTGTAGGGTGCAATCCCTTCTTTTCGGTCTGTAAATAATTATGGAGCCTGGGCAACATCGATATTTTAGTGCATTTTTGTATACTTATTACTGTGTAAACTTAATCTTAGAGTTGTATTGCAATTTTTACTGTAGCTCGACAAGCATCTGCTGGGTGAAATTTCCACAGACTTGCACAGCCTTCTTAAACACTTCCTGTAAAGAGTCATCTAGAGTTTATCCTTTCTTTATCGCAAGTTCTGTTTAATTTGGATTTTCTTATCCCCTGCTATGTTAATAGCTTGCTAGACCCTTCAAGAGCCTCCTGTATGTGATTAAAATTCAATTTACAGAGCATGAGATACAATTGTTTAAGGTAAATTACATATGATTGAAAGTGAAACCAGTTTTTTTTCATGCAGGCTGTGTCAATCATAGCCAGAGGAGGTGTGGCTAGGGCTGCATAAACAGAAACAAAGTGATTTAACTCCTAAATGGCAGTGAATTGAGCAGTAAAACCTGAGAGTCATGATCTATACACTAAAACTGCTTCAATAAGTTACAAATGTTCAGGTGACTATAGTGTTCCTTTAAAGTGACCACGTAATCCAGGCGACCACATTATTAATCATTTTGGAGTCACAGAAATTACATGGACCAATCAAACATTGTTAGTCTATATAATGAACATTTGGGCCTTTATTTCTTGCCCTATTGTGGTTTCTGCCTTGATACATGTTAATGCTCATAATATCTCTCTCTTGTTGTATTGTACAGCGCTACGGAATTTGCTGGCACTATATAAATAATAACATAATAATAATATTTTGATATTGACCTTGGCTTGTATTTATCTTTGTGTAATTCTGGTATCCTGACCCAGCATGTTTCTGATCCTGAGTATTTCTGGTATCCTGACCCAGCTTGTTATTCTGTTTATCTGTATTTCTAATCTTGGCTATTCCTCACTCTGTCCTTATCTTTACTAATGTTAAGTCTGGCCACTCTAAGTCACGGTAATGTCTATCTAGTACCTCTATTTGTGGAATTCGTAATATCTAGTACCTCTATTTGTGGTACAACCCCATCACAGCTCTCAATCAAAAACACTGCATGGCAGGAGTTAGCTCAACAGAGCAAACGGAAACTCGAGGCAGGAGCTTCCGGGTCTCCAGAGTGGCACAGACTGGTGAGCCCTAGGTAAGAAGTCAAACTGTTAGCAAATGGCTTGACTACTTACATTTGAGGGGCTCCAGTTCACCATAACCAAAACAGCAGGCTGTAGTGGTTATAGTATTTGGAGTTTTTCTTTAGTCCCATGCTCTCTATGTAAATAAGCAGGATAATCTGTACTCCCTCTCTCTTACTGCTGTGATCACACTGACAGCTCTGAAGAAAGCCTGGCAGAGGGTCTCTCTAGCCTGTAGTGTGATAATTTTCGGGTTTGTGTTGGGCCTGGGTGAATTTAGTGATATTCTTAGAGCAATTGAAAGTTAAAATATAATAAACCATTATTTACAGCAATGTTTGTTCAGAAAGGTGTTCTTTGGTCTGCATAAAAGAGGTAAACTCAGTATAGAGTGCAAGAGATAAACCCATAAAAAATAAAGTGGGTGTTGCAATAGGCATACCAGACCATTTTGACTCCATAAAAAATAAACACTGCATTCATCACTGTTAAATATAATTTAATTTTTAATAAAGTAAACATACAGAAAAAGTGAATACATATCATATAAAAATACAAAATTACATCATAATAATCCCAATGTAAAAATAATACCTGCATATAAAATATAAAAAAAAGTTTATCAAATCTTCATCCTACTATTAGTGATATACAGCTGGAACTTTTTTTTAAGCCTACATTTTCACAGTATACATCATATATTTTTAATATTCACAGTGTCATGTCATTTATTAAATTGTTACAAAATATTAAGTAAAAAAAACTCTGCTAGAGTTTACACAGCTCAGATGTGAACACTTACAAAAAGTAGGTTCTAATGTTATAAAATAGATTTACAGAATTCACTTTACAATACTAATTCATTCCACCGCATGCACCATTTAAATGTGGTTTCACATGTGATTTTCCTTCCTTCTTTTTTTTTTTCTTTACTCCCCAATCCTCAACTATTTTATAAAATAAGTATAAAAATATAGAAGATATTTCAAGATTGAACATGTTGCTGTTTAGCTATGTGCCAGTTACTTTGAATTCTAATTTGTCCAAACTGGATGAATAATATTGATTGCTGTATAGCCATTCATTCAATGAAATAAAATAATGTAAAAAAAATGCATTGTATTTTACGGAAACATGACCTTACAAAACATTCCCTAGGTTTTTCCTATTATTCCCTATTTTTGCTTTGAAGTCTCATTATTCTATTTTGTGCTGCACATTATGTGTTTCTTATCTTTTATGTTTACATTTCTGAAGCCTTAAAAAAAATCAGTAAAAGCATAATTTTTATATTTAAATACTGAAAGTTATTTCCCTGTGTATAAAATGTGAGAGTTTAAAATGATATACATATACAAAAATAAAAATCCCAGAATTTCTACATAATGTGCTACTTATTACTTGTTTTATAAATTCCAGGATTAAATAAAATGCACTGAAAATTTTGAAACCCAGAAATGATTGATTTTGTTTTCAATATAATGAGAACAGTTTATTTCTGTCTGCGCCTCGTTTAACTAGGCACTACCTAGGTGTTTTGTTTTTTTGATACAAATGGACAAGTACAACATATTAAAAAAAATTACAATATGACTCTTAAAGTCTGTTCATAGCATCATAGCACCACTTTTTAATCATGTACTTCTCCTTAGAGAGGATTTGACAGTGAAGTCACTCTGTAATTGTAGTTAAAGAATAGTGGCACTGAAGCCACTTAGGCACCAACACTCGAGGACAAAGCTCTATAAAAATGTTTTATAGAAATCTAAAATGTAAAATAAATTGTTTGGTTAACCATATATGCAAAACAATGAAATTCTTTAAAAATCACAAAGAAACATAAAATGATACTGCACTGCCAATTTCAGCAAGTGCCTTAGCTGTCATCATGTAGTATATACTTACTGAAAATATGGTTTTAAACCTCTGTAATGTCAAGTTATTAAATATCGGTAGTCATGACTAGATGGATTTACAAGGGTTGGATGATATACAGAGGTCTGTATAAGTGCACTTTGTCATAGGCTCACCATAACTTGGCTGATTTAAAAATGCAGTTTTACATAGAACCACCTAATGCATCACTGAAAGAATATTCTATTTGAATGTGCCCATACAGCTTTGCTAGGTGTTAAGTTACTTTTAACTTTTATACATTGTGATTTGTTTGCTGGTTTTTCAAAAGCTGGTCTTGCTTCGTTGTTTATTTTGTGTAATGTTCCTTTTTTTCTATTTTCTTCTTGCACAATTATTTGTGTTGAAGTCCATGTATCACTGACCTGTATGTAGTTAATGTAAAGTCCCGTGTTTTATTCTCGAGCTCAATACGTTATTTAAAAGGTCCGTAAATTCCTTTGTATTCTAATCAGCTCTACAAAAATCAATGTGTCAAAAAAAAAAAAAAGGAAATTGAGCCGACCAGAAATGAGAGATAAATGATCATTAGTATTTTACAATTAACAAAGTGGCATTCCTCCTAAAGGGAAGACTCATACACCTCTCTAATCGTGCAGAGCACACAGGGAGCACTTACATGACATCCATGTTAAAGATACATTTTTGCTCCTGATGGAACAGTTCAGAAACTGCAGTCATTTAAGAAGTTCTCTTGTTTGGTTGTGTTTGAGTTAGCACAGACTGCCTTACTGTGGAGTCAGCACAGCCTTATTTCCTAATACTTCTTCCTTGGAGTGGTGTCATGCATCGGTCAGGCATTAAAGGTCTCTGAAAAGGAAACAGAAAATATTGAGGTTTTATCCCGTTGCGGTTGATACATCCTGATTCATTCACTTCTCCCCCACATAACATGAAATCTATAAAGATCAGTTACACAATAGCCGGGTGCATAACATTATTCAAATGCCACAGGGTCATCCACACCCAACTGTCATATACACAGAAATGGCATTACATGTAAAACCAATTCTATGCACTTGGTAAAATTAAACTGGCGTGTGTAAAAAAGTCGTCTCAATCACTCCCCTCTCCATATGTTTCACTTGTATCCTAAATTACCAGAGTTGAAGACGGCTATTAAATATTTTATGAAATGGACTGTTACATTGATTCTTTGAAGCAGAAAATGGTAGTGTGGCCAGATATAATGAAATCTCTGATACTACTCAGTTATTCGGTTTCCTTTATTTTAATTTTTTTTTATATATCCTTGTATTAGAGTGTAAGGTTCATCAGCGTTTCTTTTATATTAAGTTTGTTTCTAAGATACATTAAGAGGGAATTGGACACAAAGCTTTATAATTTACAAAGTGTCATTGCATTGCAGAATACAATAGCAGTTGTACAATAAATCTGTTGGAACATTTTTTAGAAGTAATAGCTTTGCACTTAGTTACCTTCTCTATTAAGGAATTTCCCAGGTCACTTCTCAGCATGCTCAGATCCTCCATGCTTGCACCGCGGTACACTCTGCGATCTGCCCGCAGCTCACGGACTCTGCCCTGCAGATTACGGAGGATCTTTAGAGCACCAAAATCATGCTGAGCAGATACTCCATTTAGGGATGGCGTGGAGGCTGAGCGGAGATGAGAATTCTCTCTTCTGTCCTGCTAAAGAAAGAGAATAAGATAAGTTTAACTTCTTACTTTCTTTGCAAGAGAATTACCTATGATGTCTCCTATGGAGGCACAAGGCATAATCTACAGTCCTCCACTAATTTCTGCTGTAAAACAAGGTGCTTATTAATTGGGCCAATTTTGAGATGGCAAGCAAACCAAATCTAGACCATAAAAACATTTGGAGATAGCACTTGAGAGCTCATAGTGTTTTTGCAGGATTAGCAACGTATGTGTAGAAAACAAGTAACTTGTTTTAAACCTAAATTATGTAGAGAAGAATTAATTAAATGACAGGGACACTCTGAGCACCATAACAATTTTATCTGAATGAATGCGAGAAAGTTATGGTGCGAGAAAGTCCCAGTGCTGGCTTACCTTCAGGGGTCAAACCGTTAATGAAAGGTGTAACCCCAAAGTCTTCAGCACTGCCCCATCACTATCATTTGAGTCCAAGTTTTCAATCAGGAATCCTATGACTGGGATACCAGAAGCCCCACGTCCAAGGATTTCTGAACTGAAACCTCTGAATCAAACGGATGTGTGGGAGCAGGGCTGACAAAACAGAACAAGTAAATGTTAATTGCTCCCTAAAGATATAAGAAGTGATTTTGACATTTTTAATGACATGCTACATAAAATAAAATACTAATTATTAAAAGATTATTGACAGCATTCAGACAACCAAAAGCGTCATTTCAATGGTTGAGCTGATTAATTTAGAGAATTCCATAATGCGATGTAGGTGAAATGTAGCATTTGAACTGCCTGATGCCGAGGAATGCCAACGATGCTCACATAAATTAAGTATATGTTGAATTCAAATTAAAAGACTAACAAATTGGTAAACAGATTTTAAATAAGTGGTAAAAGAATTTAAATTATTAACATATGACACAGCCAGTTTTAATATTCTTGTTATCAGTTATTTCTCTGATATTCTATTGTCTATGCAGACACTATCAGTGTTGTGTAATTCATAACTCCACCAAGTGCACAATTATAAGATTGTAGGGTATGCATGATTACCAAAACCCCAAAGAGCTAATATTACAAGAACACACACGATACAGCTTATGAAAATAGAACACTGTAAATAAACTAGCAACTAAAACACGCACATAATAGGCTTATGGTGAATTATACATCGGTTAATTAATGGTATGCCTCTCATAAATGCAAGGTTGTAATTGAAAAGAAATTGATTTACATTTATCCCAGAGAGCCTGCAAACACCAGATCCGACTCTCTCCGTGTATCTGTGACTTTCGGAAGCTTTACTCCTGGATAAACTTCTACAGAGAACAAACACATCATGTTAATATTTTTTCGGTGGAAATCGAATAGACAGTACAGTCACTCAAGACACTCCAACAACTTGAATGAAGTAAACATTTTATGAGCCATAATGAGCTTGGAAGTACAAGATTCCAAACATGACTATATTCCAAGACATGTCCATTCCAATAAAGATCGCAATGAAAAGCCATTATTGTAAGGACTCTGCATTATCAATGCATTACATAGCAATATATACCTTCTAGATGAATGGCATGTTGCTGGATAGACATACCTGAAGCACTGACAGAACCACAGACATGTGACTCTTACCATCACTCTATCTGGAACCTATTTTGGCTTTTGAGATACTTGTTTTACTTTGGTCGAACAATATAAAGATATTTTTAGTTTGTGTAACATTAGAATGAGCTGTAAACTTACAGAAGAACACAAACTGGAAAAGGTCCATTTTATATCAGACGTATTTCACATTTAGAAGCATCAAGGAGTTAATCGCTATATGGGGTCAGTGGTTCCTGAAGGTCAGGGTTAGAATTTGCAAATTACTCAACCCACCCTCTTTAAATCTTATTCCCCATAGTGCCTATCCATATTACCCAAAATCCCACACTACCTCCCTCCAAACCCCCATATTCTACACACGGTCGCTGTCCACACATAACCATTGCCACATGTGCTTGTACTGGGGCGAGTGGATGAAATCCAACATATTATTATCCTTTGTAGACTCGCTGTCAGCCTGAATGTAGGTGAACAGACATTATGTCTCTTTTGCTGTCACTCTGGTGGATGGAAATGAGTGCATGTAGGCATACATGTATACAGAAGTGTAAAGGACATTGCAATATCATACTGCTTCAACCTTCCCTCCTATAATACAGTCACCACTCTGAACAAACTGAACAATGAGTGATTCCATTATATCACCAATTACACTGCTGAACTAAGTAACACTCTGCCTGTCGCTGCCAACAGCAGATATGTTGACAAGGCAATTAATGTTTTGCTGAAAAATGTTTTTTGAGAACTGTTCGCTGGTTGTTTTAACTGGTGGTAAGGTGTATATGGGTAGCAGTGAGTAAACTCTTCACACAGCATGTTCACTGTCACCAATCTAGGGGTGATTATTTGGAATAAAAAGTCCAGAATGCTTTGCTAAAAAGCTTTTTCACTTAATGTACTACACTGATACTCTTCAACAAATCTATCGAAATGAAGCAAGGTTAGTAATGAGAATTTTTTTTTTTTAATCACATAATCTCCTACCTGATTCCATAGCAAATATAACAGCTTTATAAAAGCACATTCTGATATTAGCAGCAGAGTTTGTAGTAATACAAATGTCAGAGTATTCAGCCAGGACTGTAAATATTCTGTATATGAAATGGCACATTACTGAGTGCTGGACCTCCTTTTGGCTAAAATATGCCTTATATTGTATAATACAAGACATGTTATTCCAGATGCAGAAACCAGAATAATACATATGAATAAAATAGCTTTAGGCATTGGTACACCTACTGGCACAACTAAAATAGCAATGCACATATGATAAAAAAGTGTTTTAATTTTATGCTTGGTCCTCTTCAATAGCAGGCAGAATTAGAACGAATGAAGGAACGCTATAATACACATGAAGCACTTTTGGATCTGGAGTCGGCCATATTTGTGACAGTTTATAAAAGCCCTGATTTAAATAGAAAACTGCATTTTTATAATTGGGGAGCTAATTGAAAGGACAGGCACACGAAGTTAGAGCGTGCCTGCCTTCCCCTCGTTTTACAGTGAGCTGTATTACAGTTAATGAGTAGAACAGGAAACCCACATTCGCGTGAATGTGTGCTTGGCTCCAGCACACAGGCTTCTCTATGAGGTAGGGCTTGCAGATGCTGCAAGCTGGTTTTGTCACATACACCCTAAGAAAACATGCAGAAGAAAACACACTTGTGTTTTCTTTGGTAGTATATCTACTAAAAAAAAAAATCTATGTAATGTTTCATTTATGGTGAAAATTAAGTTAACAGTGGAATATAAATTTGTATTTATAAATGAAGGGGGTCAGCATACATGGGCGCAGAATACACACACCAGTTACAACAGATCTGCATTTATCTATTCACTGCTACTGCAATCATTAAGAGATTTCCCGCTGTAAAGAGGCAATTATCCAGAATATAGACTCAAAGAAGCTGTATATAAACAGACACACAATGGTTATAAAACAATCACCACAATGCGATACACAATGAATTTAAGGCAGGTTGATGTTTTCTGGTGTCTGCCCGTTCTGTCTCTTGTTAGTTTAGTTACAGGTAAGATGAATGTTTGCTGGTTGGTGCTACTTGTTAATAGGTGAAAAAATGGATACTACTAGTTAATAGGTAACTGCATACTAGATGATGATACTCAAATTTCAACTATTTTAGGGGTTACCTTTCTTTTAAAAACTCCACTTTGCATCTGTAGAGAGACAAACGCTTCTTAATATGAACAATCTCCCATGGATAAGATATAAAGTTACTATGCTTGAGGACTGGCATGTAGTTTACATGAAATAGCAAAGCACAGTATTGTAATAAATAAAATAATGCTATTATATAATCATACTATCAAGTTATAGAAGGTCAATCATTTATACAGTGATTTATAAAGTATTTAAAGGATAGTACAAACATACAGTAACAGAAAATCTTACACAGGTAGAGTAGACCTGACTTGCATGTGTATTGGAATGAGAGTCGGCAGAGAAGCACAAAGTAATAATAAACATACATAACTTGATGGCATAAAAAGTATTGGCTCGTTTTTGGCTTTATAAGGTAGTTATGGGTAATGGGAAATAGTGGGTGTATAAAATGCACAGAGGGCTGGACATTGTTTTAAATCTAAAAAATTTGTTGCTACCTTTAAAGACAAGTAGCTGCCCAACTAGCTTTGCTGGAGAGATCCTATAGATGCAATTAAGGTCATGAATCATATAAGCAATTGTGCTTCTTTTTGGAGAAAAGGACAGGCAGATTGTGTAATGCATTTAAGACATTTTAATAAAAGAACCATTAAAGGACCATTATAGTGCCAGGAAAACATACTTGTTTTCCTGGCACTATAGTGCCCTGAGGGTGGCACTGGAAGGGGGAAAGGGGTTAAAACTTACCTTTTTCCAGCGCTGGGCGGGGAGCTCTCCTCCTCCGATCCTCCTCTTCTCCTCCCATGCGGCTGAATGCGCACGCGCGGCAAGAGCTGCGCACGCATTCAGCCGGTCACATAGGAAAGCATTCATAATGCTTTCCTATGGACGCTGGCGTGCTCTCACTGTGAAAATCACAGTGAGAAGAACGCAAGCGCCTCTAGCATATATGTAAACAAATAGACCAATATAGACCATAAAAAAATAAATAAACCTGCCATGGTACCCCAATTACCTGGAAGTCCACATATGACAGCTATCACCTACATGTATAACTCAATAAGCATATCCAAATAGATCACTTTAATAGTTATTAATACTGACTCAAGGTAAATAAATATATATCGGCATCTAACTCCTAGGTATGCAAAAAAAAAATGATATATGCCCACGTCACCACGCACACACTTCGGCGGTTTCCACTTCATGAGTAATGGGAATCACTTCACACAGATGGGGTACGTTTGATATTTAATGGCAGTGCATAAAAAATAAATAAATAAATAATATATATATATACACACATATATATCATTTTTTTTTATGCACTGCCATTATCTTGATAAAGACCCTGAAGGATCGAAACGTTGATGTAGATTGATGAATACTTTTTAATACACTATTTGAAAATCCAAGTCAGTGCACCTGTCTGAAATTGTATGTATGTATGTATGTATATATATATATATATATATATATATATATATATATATATATATATATATATATATATATATATATATATATATATATATATATATATATAATATGTTCCAGTCCCATTGTGTCAATATGTTTGTGGTAGACTGCATTTGTTGATTGCTATACCTTAGCAAAAGCACATGTTCTGCACTTTTGGTAAATTGTTACAATGTATCTCACATTTTCTGATTGTCCTCTTCTCCATCAGTTTGAGAGATGGAGGGGATAAAAAGAAAAACAGGAAAAAGTAGGCAACTGAATGGTAAATATCAAGATCCTAATATAAACAATAACCATTAAACTGTCCATTTTAAATGTACTTAGTAATCACCTCAAATGTGATTCTTATGTAGACTACCTGAGGCATAGAGCAGTGACTCTAGCCTATGGGGATGTTTATAAACCACTGTGTTCCATAACAATCTAAGAAAGTCAGCTTTAATAAAAGGTTTAACGTTTCAGAAAAAACTTCAATTCCATGTGCTCTGGTATAGTCTGCTCATAAATAACAATTCAGTTGCAAGGGTATGTTTCACACTGCACAGAATTCTTAGAGGCTGATGAATACAGACCAGGGCTATTCAAGTTTCCCTTTGCCAATATAAACAATAGTTTTATTCCACTTTTCTAAGGAAAAAGACAGTAGGAAAATATGTGTGTAATACAATGAGTAATAAGAGCAAGATGGATTTAAGTGGGGGAAAAAACCTAAACAATTTGGTGACATACAATCCCACTTTATGGGCCACAAAGGAATGAAAGTGCTATTAGTTTGTAACTCTAGCTGGACATTTTTTATAGTTGTTTAATACATTTACACACTTTGAAAATAATTTAAATGCTAAGCAATGAACAATGATATATTTACTCACTTTTCCAGTTCTACATTCAGCTCCTCTTCAAATTTCTGAGCCAGTTTTGTAGCGGTCTCTTCTTTCCATTTGGCCATGTTCCTCTGGATGGCTCGTAGTTCATTATCTTTCTCTCGAAGCTGCTGACGCAAAGATTGACCATCAGGTCCATTGCTTCCCCTCAGTTGGTCCCTCTGCATGTTTGTGATTTCCTCAATATGTTCCTGTCATAAAACAGAAGGGAAATAATTATGCAAAATCTGACAAGAATGTTGATGTTTTTGCACAAAAGTACCAATGTACATATATCTTTAAAGCTATGAGTACCAAAGGATTTTATCAAGTCATCCTACAATCACTTGTTACTGGGACCAATAATATAAGGAAACATAAAATAGCAGCTGCACAAGGATTACCTGTATGAGCCTCTCTTTTAACAAACTCAGAGCTTTTTCCTTGTCCATCTGCAACTGTTCTTTCAGCTGCTGCAACTCTCGTTCCTGAGCAAGAGATAGAAAATCATTAAGCATTTATTAATCCAGACATACACAGTATATTTAAAGTGTTCATAATGACTATATTCCCCTGACCTGTTGCACCATTCTTTTCTCCCAGTAAACATGGGTCTTAATGCAAATTTTCTCATCTCACCTTCTCTCTCTGCACATGAATGACTGTCCGTTTTTGAGCCTCTACTTCCTGTTGCAGTTCATGAATGAACTGGTTGTTCTCCTCATTCACTCCATGCAGCATTTGTAATGCTTGGTTGGTAGAGAGGCAAGACTGGCTTCTGAAAATGAGGGTTAGAGTGTACAGTAACAGTATCATAATATGTCTGCCCAAGTGCTTAGTCATTTACTTTTAATGTCTTTCTAGCTATTATCATACGATTATGAAGTGTAATGACTACTGCTATCTTAAATGACAATTGTAAGACATCGTAATAGAGCTGAAGTGAGTTACCCATACCTGCTACGTGAAGGGCTTTGGGTTCTGGGTCTCCCTGGAGTATTCATGATATGCTCGCATTCTGCTGTAATCTCCCTGGCCAGTGCTCTCTCAGCTCGCTCAGTATGGGCCAGAGCCTCTCTCTCTCTGAAGACCGCCTCGTTCTTCTCAGCCCGCAGAACATGCTGTTCTTCCTCCATCTGCTGGAGCCTGATCTTTAGCCGCTCCAAATCTCGATCTCTGTCCTACACAATCAGTCACAATGTAACTCAGTATTACACTGCACAGCTCATACTTGAGGACATATCTACTTACACTTTTTCAGGCAATCTAATGCATACTTATAAAAATATATATATACAGGATGTAAAGTAGAGAGTGTTACAGTTTCCCTGACACACACACACACACACACACATATATATATATATATAGATAGATACATACATACATACACACATACTTTTTCCATCAGAAGCAGACTGTCTACATGTGGCTCCTCTGGTGGTGAAAAATATGAAGTAATGTAACATTAACACTTTTCTTTACATACTACAAATAACTTTTTCCTAATACTGTACAAAGTCTATATACTTTCTTTGGTAGCTAGATAAAACTCTATGCCAGTCCTGGCTTGGGACATATACATTAAGATAAGGATCCAATAAGAAAAGGATTCGGATTGTTAATGTACTATACATATTACGTTGTTTTATTGGATAACAATATAATAAAATGATCACTTTCAGTTACATGACACTATGAATGCATGACACGAACCCACCTCTTTCTATCAATCATCTGATTATTAAACTTTATATTGTGTTTATGTAATTGATGTGAAATAATGTCACAAATGCCTTGTGTCCATAATGTTCTTTATTTTGTGGAAGCCAAAATAAATAGAGATAATAAGTAGGCATCCCAGACCTTTATTTTAATTTATTTTTTTACTGCTGAATATAGTGGGTTGTGGTTCCAGAATTTCTGTATCATGTTGCAGAGTTGTCAGTTATGATTGCCTACCATATATGATATACACTGAAATCAAAGACTGTGTACAAGAAAAGCTGTTCCTACATGGTTCATAAATGTGAATAGATTTAAAGTAACAGTCTGCACTTTATTCTCCCACTACAAAAAACTATTTTGACTTTATTTTGACACAGTGACTTTCACAGTACAAGAGGGACAGAGACAAGAAAAAACAAAACATAAACCACGTAAGAGTTATCGTGCATTACTCATTTTCCTGCTGATTTCTGATTGAAGGTATTCATAGAAAAAACATATATTTAATCTCGACCATACCTGTGATAGTTCTTGTTGTAGTTTCATTAACTCTTGCTGCTTCTCTTCCTTGAGGACAGCACGCAGCTCATCCAGAGCTTCTTGGTTTTCTCGAAGCAGTGAACGCTTGTGAATCTCATGCTCCTGAATTTCCTGCAAAGCACCATCAAGGAAGTAAGACTCAATATATATTCTTTTCATTGGCTATATATTCCAGTGCATAGTTTCTCAACCGGTAACGTCCATAAAAGACACGATGAGGCAATGTAGAAGCCAAGAAACATTGTCATTTCAGATATTTTCTAAAAAAAAATGTTATAAGTGCTATACATGAAAGGAGATTGGGGTACTTGGTGCTAAAATGTGTTACTAGTGATACACAAAGGAGATAGAGAGAGAGAGCGAGAAAGAGAGATAGAAAATGCATAATGGTGAAGGTCGTATTGTTCATTATTGTCTCCAGAAAGGAGAAATGTATCTATCCCCTTACATTTTGAAGGTCTGCCAATTTCCTCTCCAATGTCATCACCATTCTGTGCTCATTTTCCAGTGCTTCACGCAGATCAGCCATGTCTTGAAGTTTCTGCTCCTCTAGGGTATGTCTCTGTATTTGTAATGCATCCTTCTTCTCACCCTCCCATTTCTTCTGCTCACGGAGCAGTGTGTTATGTACCTGGAAGTCAGACAACAGTTTGACTCCAGTTCAGGTGAAGATGTCCGTGCAGTTTATGAAGATTAATACAAAACAAATAAATCTTATAAAAAAAAAAAACAATAACAGCTTGTCAAATCTTTAAGCATACCAAAATGAAATTCAAGATTCAACAGATAGCAAAATTGAAACGGAACTAATATACACTGTTCTACAGAGTAACATCACAGAGGAACTCTGCATGAAGTTAGAAGAGGTAAGATGTCTTCTGTATTACCATCTCTCTTGCTTCCTGCTTCAGTTCTGCAGCTAGCTTCTTCATTGATTCCTTCTGGGATTTGAGAGTCTCTTTCAGCTTTGCAATTTCTTTATCCTTCCCCTAGAACACAATAACCATGAGTAGTGGATATACAACAGCACAGGAATGAATATGTGAGATATCGGTGCTATGGTTCATTTCCCTTTAGTGCTCCAGGAAGTATTATTTTAGAGAATATATATACGTGCAGTGATGGTGTGTCCCAGGTGTCCTCTGGAAATAATTTGTGGAACAGTCAGGAAAAATTCCACTCTGTTTTGCAAGGTGATTGGTTCACATTTAGATTTGTTGCTACAGAATTGCTCTTTCTACACTGGTTCTTTTGTGTAACTACATAATAATTAATAATCACAGTAATAACCCTGCATTTAAATATAATACAAGTAAGATGCCAAGTTATTATTACTGAATAAACTAACCTATTTAAAGCTCATCACAGTCACGTGAACATGACTGCGTCTGATCAGGTCATGTCTGTAACTATAAACAAAGGACCACCCAAAGACAAGTAAATCCCACCGGAATTCAAGACAACAGCCAATGTCTTATCAGAAGCCATATTTCACCAAAGAGGATACCGGAGTCTTACCTCAAGAGTCTTTAAGGCTTTGTCTGTTTCTTTTCGTAGAGATTCCGCTTGGTCCTGCAGTGCTTTTATTTTTACTTGCTCCATATTTTCTGCAAACTGAACTCATAAAAAAAGACAACTGAAAAAAATGACATTATGTAATCTTCATAATAACCCATAATTATATGCCATGAGGCCCAGTGAAGTAGAAGTTCAGTTGATGTGTCCAAGTTAGCCAAGCTCACCTGTTGGATTTCCATTTGTTTCTGGCAGTGCATCTGTTCTTTCAGTTCAGCCAGCTGCCTGTCCTGATTAAACAAAATGTGTACTATTACGTACCAATTATCTTGTACAATACACAGTAATCTTGTAATATGAAATAGTTGTCGAAGTTACTGTCATAATCTGAGGAGAGAGCAAATTATATCCAGTGCAAACCATAAATACAGGAGATCGGGTGATAGCTACTGAGAGAATTCACAGAACTGCGGTTTCTAATCCTGCTTCTATACACATGACTTAAAGGACCACTATAGGCACCCAGACCACTTCAGCTTAATGAAGTGGTCTGGGTGCCAGGTCCAGCTAGGTTTTTCTATAAACATAGCAGTTTCAGAGAAACTGTTTTGTTCACCTATGGGTTAATCCAGCCTCTAGTGGCTGTCTCATTGACAGCTGCTAGAGGCACTTCCGCGCTTCTCACTGTGATTTTCACAGTGAGAAGACGCCAGTGTCCATAGGAAAGCATTGAGAAAGCTTTCCTATGAGACTGGCTGAATGCACGCATGTGCATTCAGCCGATGACGGAAAAAGAGGGAGGAGAGTCCCAGCGGTGGAAAAAGGGTAAGGGATTAACCCCTTCCTTCCCCTTCAGCGCCACAGGTGGGGGCATCCTCAGGGAACTATAGTGCCAGGAAAACGAGTATGTTTTCCTGGCACTATAGTGGTCCTTTAATACAAATGTCTGACATTCTAAACTCACCTCCTTCAAGAAGGAACAATAACATTTTCTGGTCTTTTTGAGAACTATACTTAATCCCCAAAAGGAGAACGTGTGTGATTTTTTTTCTTTTAAGTAAGAAAAGACATCACTAAAATTATTACGAATCAAATTAAAAAACTCTCCACAGATTGCAACTGATTGAAATGCAGGGTAATATTCTGAAATATCTACACCTGGGGGCTTGTGGCAGTGGGGATTGATACAGTATTTTATTTACCTTGTCCTGCTGATGCAGTTGCTGTAGATCAAGTACTCGTTTGTTTTGTTCTTCTTTCAGGGCCTCTGCTGCAAAAACCTGGGCTTCCTTTTCAGCCTTGAGGGAAGAAATCACATCTCTAAGTCTGAGCAGATCCAGCTCCTTCTCAGATAGGATCTTCTCCAGCGATGCAATTCTAGTGTTCTGCTCCCTCACTTGGGAACTTAACTCTGTGACTTGCTGGTTAAAATCTTCGTTTTGTTCACTGGCCTCTTCTTCCTGCTTCTGTAACAGTGAAATGTCACTGAATTATGTTTGTGACAGTATGTAAAATATATACACTCACACTATATAATTAGGCAAATAATACCATATTGCTCTGAACCATAACAATAATTAATAAAAGGACCTAATCTGCAGCTCAGCATCACCTTCACAGTGGCAATTTCTCAACCTCTTTAGTTAAAAGATCACTATAGTGTCAGGAAAACAAACCCGTTTTCCTGACACTATGTCATCCTTGGGGGACCCTCACGGCCCCCCTCCCATGGCGATGAAGGGGTTTAATCCCTTCAGCAGTTTACCTTAATCCAGCGCTGGGCTCCCTCAGTGCTGGTGACCTCTCCTCCCCCGCCAACGTCAGCTCCCAAGTGGAGCAGGCAAGAGCCACGCGCATTCTAACATTCCATAGGAAAGCATTTTTCAATGCTTTCCTATGGAAGTTCTGCATGCTGGATGCGAATTTCGCATCCAGCGTCGCAGAAGCGCCTCTAGCAGCTGTCAGCCACTAGAGGTTGAATTAACCCTGCTATGTAAACATAGCAGTTTCCCTGAAACTGCTATGTTTACATGTGAAGGGTTAAAACCTGAGGGACCTAGCACCCAGACCACTTTAACTGAAGGAAGGACAATTTCAGCTTCACAGTAAGTTCACCGACCACAAACATATGCGACATTGCTCTTTTTTAGGAGTAGGTGATGCGCAGATCTACAGCTGGTGATTGTATAAATAAAGTTGCTGTTTATCAACAGCTGAGAGAGCTGCGGGCTTCCACTCAATCTTTCAGGTAAAAGATAGAAATCGATACAAAAGTGCAAATTATTACCCCAAAATATATTTCACTTAATTACAATATGGACTAACAGCCGGGAACACTGATTGTTCATGTCAGTGACTGTGGCTCAGAAAAAGCCTTAAAGCAGCACCTTCAATCCAGTTACAACAGGAAGACTATTCTCAAAAAGTAACCAGTAACCGGGCATAGAAAATACCTGAATTTGGCTTTCGTACTTCTTTTCCAGCTCACGTAGCTGGGATTTAAGCTGTTTATTCTTCTCTTGCTTCTCTGCACATTCTGTTATTTTTTCTTCCAGTTTGCACTGAGATTCTTCCAAATTCTGTAGATAAAATGCAATTTCACATTGAAACAAATGTACAGATTATACTTTCAACGTACATCACTATTTCTCATATAACACCTCCAAAGGTTGACAACTCAAGGTACTCAAAAATGATCCTTCAGGGCATCCTATTATGATGAATGTAGTTCAATACAAGGCACAGGAGACATATTTTGCAGCAAAGAAATATACACTGTGTCTGTATTCACAAAGTGAAAACACTGAAGTAACAGTCTCAATGAAACCCATTGGCTATGCAATATAGCAGACTTGCAATACAAATCCAATACAAATACAAACCCAAGACAGTTACTGGTAACATATTGGCTGTATATTATTCATATGGGTAAATAAAGGGAGAAGTCTGTGCTAGCAACATTAAGTGCCAATATCTAAGGTATGATCATCACAGCTCAAGCTCCTCCATGTTCTACTCTGCCCTGGTACGTTCAGAACCGCATGTTCAAGTGGTGGTGCATACCAGATAAATATTGTGGAGTGGAAGATTATATTATATGAACAGATAATATCAAGATATTCACACTAAAACGTTTATAATAAAGACAATCCAGGACTACTAGCAAAACCCATGAGCCCACCTCTTCCAGCTTCACAATCTTGGCTCTGGTTGTTCGTTGCTCAGAGAACAGCTCGGATTTTGCATTACTGAGTTGTCGTTCCAGCTCCTGGCGCTCCATGAATGTAAGGCTTCCCTCCGTGTGGCGTAAACGGGCTTTAAGCTCATCTCGCTCGTTTGTAAGTGATGAGATCTGATAGAGAAATTTGATTTGTAACAATCACATACATCTCCCTCCAGCACAAGGAAAATTTTTTAATGCAACTGCAACAAGAATTCATTAAGTTACGTGGATAAGATCTCCATCGAGAAGGATAACGTGGAGTTTCTCATGGAGTGGGCCGCCGTGTGTAACACAGAACATATGGAAAAAGTTCAAACAGATCAAACATGACCGAATTGTTTAAAATAGCCAGAAGAGAAGACAGATGCTGAGCTATCTGTCAGGGATGCTATACACTGCTTCACAGCAAATTCTCTCACCTCGTACTTTAAATTGGATATCTGGCTGCTATGTGCACTGGAGCATTGCTGCTTTATAGAGTCCAGTTCCATCTCTAGTTCTTTCAGCTCCTTCAGGTAATCGCTATGCTTGTATTCCAACAACACCAGTTCACTCCTGTCAGACATCAGTGATTAAAGATCTTCACCCAAATTAATATCCTGGAATAACTGTACATTCACAGCCACTAGCTGAACATTAATATGATGTAGGGTAATTGTTAAAGGTGGATTACGAAAAATACCATATAGTTTTGTTACTCAAAATGTGATTTAAGCAGCAGTGAGTATGTATGTATGTATGTATGTATGTAAACAAAAGACAAAACAAGCTCTGTATATGAAGGTAGATTTATTTTATTCAATAGATGTTCTGCATGCTTTTTTGGTCAAAGCACAACATGTAGAGCTATAAAAGGTATGAGGACATTATTAACAGCTTGTAGAACAAAGAGGAGATCTGATTGTCACTCTGGAGTCAATGAATTTCCTTTTTTAGAGAACTATCGAAAAAGTTGAGGTTTCCCCCTTTGTAGCGGCAACAATGATGCGTGAAAGGTTAAACATGGCCATTGCCTGACTTTGATATTCCAATGTAGGGACCAGATCCTTACCTTAAAGACTCCTCTGCCATCTGCGTCTCCCTTACATGTGTCTCCATTCTCACAGCTTCATTCCGAGTTCTCTCCAGTAAGTCTCTGAGTGACTCCAACTCCAGGTATGCTTCCTAACAGCAGCATAACAAAAAAAGTATTTGGACACTTACTAATAATAAGCAGAGTAAGTGATGAGAACCGCACCCAATCCCAATGGCCAAGGGTGCTCCAGAGCAGGACCAGCAATCCCAGTACAATAATCCAAGAGGAAAAAACTCACAGGCACTCCAACTTCAAGCCGCAGGCAGATTTATTATGACAGAATGCAACGCAACGTTTTGACCGGAAAGGTCTTTTTCAAGCTTGAAAAAGACCTTTCCGGTCGAAACGTTGCGTTGCATTCTGTCATAATAAATCTGCCTGCGGCTTGAAGTTGGAGTGCCTGTGAGTTTTTTCCTCTTGACTTACTAATAATAAAACCGAGTTGTCTTATAGTAGGTAATACAGTATAGTAAGTAAGACTATGCTTCTGTTTCTGCTTAATGTATTATTTAAGACATGCCTAAAGGAGAAATTTTCATTTCATATTATTATTTAGTATATATTAACACATGCTAATTTGCAAAGACATGATGGTCAAAGTCATTCATTCAAAATATATTTATTTTTTGTACTGGATAAGACTCTACCCTCCTTTCTAAGATGCTGTGTTTCCAGATTATCCTGTATACAGTATTGCATCTTTTTGGAACACTGGTAGCAGTCACTTAATGATAGTCAGGGTACAGAGTATTTACAACACTTAGTACATTAAACATCACCAAGCCACAGCCACCAGAAGCCCGTTGATATGAGGCAAAACTGGGGCCCATATGTTCCTGGCTTTTTATAGATGCCTTAGGTATGAGACAATCTAGCAATATCTCATCTTAGGTCTTCCCCAACATCCAATTTCTGTGACAGTCTGCTACAGTGATTGGATTCCACAAACCATGTAGTAGAGCTGGGAACATCATCTATAACCTGTAAATCAAGGTCAGCAACTACCCAGCAATACACCGCAATCTCCTCCCCGGCGCTGTGATCGCTCTGGGATTGAATCACAGAAACTGCATGCCTTAACTGACACCTAGAGAGTTTAAATACTGTAACTGCCCCTCACAGCTATCACTCAGCCTTGAAGTCTCACGTGTATTGTATGAGTTCAAAGTAGGGTTAGAATTAGGATTAATATTAGGTTTGGGGTTAGAATTAGGGTTAGGAATGAATGCCAACAGTGATTTATTCAATAAGGCACAGAACCTCAGGACACCAAGTCATGAAGAGGTTAAATGAGGGTCATCACAGATTTCTTACATAGTTATTGTTTTTTACAATAAGATCATAAACAGAGGATGTAGGAGTGAACAAAAATTCCAATATTTAATAAATGCCTATAGTATTAAACTTCTTAACATACAATACAACATATCAAAAGCTATTTATCTGTGATCATTTCATTTTAAGTCATGTTGCAGGCAGGTGCTAAGAACCCAACTCTAAGCAGCTGTAATATGACATAAAGCAGATTAGCTACTTCCACTTACTGGCAACCTTCAACCAAGGTATAAGAACCTATAAATCTTCATATAAATATATATACAGTTTTATTTCCTTATTTTTCCCATTTTTCTCAAATGTACTTTCTATGGTTGAATACCTTTTACATGCACTGTCTCTTGAATTATTCAAATCTGTTACCATATCTAGCATGCTCCGTTATTTCTAAATGCCTAATCTAGAAGTAGGATAGAACGTTCTATTTAATCTGGGTAAGTATGTGACTGACTCCATTTATTTCCATTAGATACAATTTGGACAGAGCCTTTTTGCATACAGTATCAATTACAGCTAGAGAAAATCCAGATTTTATTCACAGCGACATTAATAGAAAAGCAGATCTAAACCTTTTTCTGGAGTAGGATGTCATTTAATGACAGATCAGCTTCCCTGCATTGAGCTTTCTTCTTTGTTAATCTCTCTTCTTCCACAATTGCATCCTGTGAATGACATTAAAGGCAGCAAACATAAAAAGCAAACCGTGATCTTGTCTCTCACACTGTCCCAAATCATAGAGTAAATCCATGGGTGGTGTTCTTATTAAAACTGATCCATGGTTGTACAAAAGATGAGACAACATTTTATACCATTTGTGAACGGTTTGACAATTTACCTAGGGTCAGCCGGGCGCAGGTCACCTCTTTCATTGTTACTGGAAACGCCCTGCAGTGAGCAAACTTGGAGTGCAGGGCTTAGCTCATTGGCTGAGAGTGCAGGGCTTAGCTCATTGGATGAGAGCACTCAGCTGACATTCTCAGCCAATAAATTGGCAGGGTTGCAGGACTTAGCTCAGTGACGCTAAGTTAAGCTCTCTGCAGCCACCAGGGGTGTACATACAAACAGCCTTAATTATTTAACCTATTTGACAACCGGAGTAAGCATGTTGATGCTGGACATTATGTGTGTCCAATGCTTTTTCTAAGAAAAATGTGACTGTATTGATGACTACACAGAGTAGAAGAACTGGGCTGCAGTGAAGAGTCTCCCTTGGCACTGCAATAAAGGTAAATTTAATATTGTACTCCCCCCCCCCTTTTCAAGGAGAGTGGGGCTGAGTATTCTAAACAACAAATGAACACATCTAATAAAAAAATAAAAAATAATAAAAAAAAAAGAGAGAGAGAGAGAAAATATTTGAGTGTAACGGATCACCTGGCACCCCGACTGAGTACCTCTGTTGAAGGATGCTCCTAGCGCTTCCTGAGGACTCCAAGCACTGCAGCAGACACCATAACCACCGTAGACTACTCCAGAGAGCAAGGCAGGAACAAGCTCTTACAAGAGCTTAGTAGTGATATAGCAATGGAGTATGACAAGCATAGCAATCCCTTGTAGCAGATTCCCCCAATAAGAGACGGCACTCCAAATTGAGGGTGAAATAGAACTGAAACTTTTAATCCAACACTCTGCTTTTATGCCCATTTTACAAACATAGTACCGCCCACAGGGTTTTGCAGAACAACCAATCAATACGTACAATACACACAGACACTCCCACACAAAATCCTCCCCTCTGCCTGTGATACAATTACCTTACACAATGGGTTAATATAATTATCACAGGCAGGAAAATACACAGTTTTACACAATATTCATAACTTTAAAAGTATGCATCACATTCACATAAAATTTACATTTTCAGAATCAGCATACTCCAAATACCAACGTCAAAACTTCATACAAATTGGTCCAGTGGGTCAAATGTTAGATCGACGTCCTTTGTGACCAAATGAAGCATGGCTTTTCTGCAAAAAAACGGGTCCACCGAGTCTTCTATCCTGGAGATAATTGGGAAGTAATCCAATTATCTCCAAGGACAGAGGCAAAACTCCATTGAACACATGGTAGCAAAAGACAATAAAAAACATAAAAATATATAACTGTGCAGCTATTGCATTAAACAGGTACATTCATTCCCCAGATAGCTTAGATCTCAGTGCACATTATTACTGAATGGCGCTCAGATCACATACATACAGTTCAATTGCCATGGAGCCAAAGTCTTTCACATAGTCTCTCGTTATACGAATGGGCTCCATGGCATAGCTATCTGGGGTATCACTGTTCAAATAGGGAAAGTACCGAATGATCCAGCTTTCGGGTCTTTGCAGGGGAAAATCAAGCATTTCAACATGGGGCCATATTCACAGGGCAGGAGGCTGGCAATCAATCTTCTCCAATGCCCAGTGGCGAGGCTGGTTCCGCCACATTGAGCACATGGAATATCATTGTTTTATAGTTACTGAAGCTGTGTGTAGTAATTGTCATAACTTAGAATATGAATTATGAGATATGTGTATTACCACAAAATGCACTTACTCTGCGAAGCTTGGCCGCTGATTCTTCCAGAAGGACTTGTTCTGTAGCAAGGTCTTCAATGGCTCTCCTGTACTGTGCTTGGTCAGGTGAATCCTGAGGCAAAAATAGAAGGTGCAGTCAAAAATACAGAGATTATATATTTAAAGCTACAAAACATTTTTTTTTTAATTACGAGTTATCAATAGTTGGTTGTAAAAGGATCAAATTGTAGAAGTAACCAATATAGTATCTTCACCAATGTCAAGCATCTGATCACAAGTTGGCTGAATAGAAGTTTCAAGTTAGGCCAACCACCTGCCACACACCATGTAGTTAACCAATCAACAGTAAGTGGTAGGAGCTTCCTATGTACAACCTAGTCATTGTATATTTAAAGCATAAAATAATTAACAAATTGTTACAATAACATATAGAACTGTTTCTATTTTTTTAATCAATAGAATAATGCATTCTAATGTGTATAAAATAACTGAAAATGAATCTGGATATTTTGGGTACCCTTAATATTTGTAGGGAGAATTTTCATTCTGAGAACTATTCATACGTCCAGCTGAAAGTGGGTGGATTACACTTAACAGTATTTTTATTATCACTTGAGAATTACGTGGCTTTAATAACACATTGCTTGTAAAGGGATACTCTAATCCTTTTTTGAAGATTATTTTATTGAATTTATAATGCCCTCATAGAGAAGCATTTGATTGGATCGATCTCCAGGCACAGAGTCCTGAGCCGAGAAGAAGAGGCGAGAAGAGGGAGTGTGGGGTGGACTTTCAAAAGAGTAGAAGTTTATTACGTCTGTCACCGGTGTGCAGTGTGTGCTGACGACAGACATAATAGTTGCACAGAATTAACACTAAGCAGCCCAAAACAGAGATCCAGACATGTCACATGTTCTGGAGGTGCAAATATCCCCCAGCACAAAAGTGAAGATATCCCCTCGTGTGCAGCGTTTCAAGGAGAAATACTGCACATACAGACTGCTTACTACATGACCACTTCTAAAAGCAAAATAGGACATGGAGGTTGGAGGAAAAAGAACATTTAAGGGGCAGAGCTTAGAAGCCAGAAGAAGCACAAGCTCCCACGTTTGGAGTCTAAAATCGGGGTGCCTTACTGGTCAATCCACACATACGGACTGCTGTTCCCACAGCAAAAAAACAGGAGGGTAAGCTACACCAGATGGTACCTTTCTTGAGGGTCCATGACGCAGGATTGCTCCGCTTGAGGCTTGCGTCCTACATGCGGCTGAGCCACGGGGAAGCGGCCGATCCCCGGGCACATAAGCTGAAGCTGAGACCCATACAATTCATTCCCCCTCACCTCCTTGGACCGGCAGGGGATATTTCAATCGAACGCCACGGCACACAACTACTAGACGGAGCCGGGGCCTAGCTGCCCCTAACAAAATGGTAATGGCGCCCTAGCCTAAATATAACGCAAACGAGCAGTATGCAATGGTCCTTGACTCTGTAGAGCACCTCATGCAGCAGATTGACAGGCACTTCCAGCGATTTTGGGAAGCTCTGATGTATTGCCGCACAATCAAACCGTTAAAACTACGGGTGGAAGACCGGAAAGGCGAGAGCCGGAAGGCGCGGGAGACCCCCTCAGGCCAAGCTGTATCACAAAAGCCCATGTCTCCTACTACTGGCATACCTGGGCGAGGGCCACTTTGGGCGCGACCCTAAGACATCGCCCACACAGGCGGAGGGCCTGCCGTTGCACCCAGCGGCTGACCACCTGGACCCCCCGCCACTCCCGAAGGGAGAGGGATCCGGCCCCTCGAGAACACCGGGTCCGTGGATTCAAGATGTTGGCCTTTTTACCGGCTTGGGGCTGGAGAATGGACTTGCCTTGCTCCCACCCGCCAACTCTGATCTCAGCCCAGCTCCATGCGACACCGACAGCGAGTAGAGGAACGCCGCACTAATAACCTGCAACTGGGCAATACCCAAGGGACTTGCTCATACCTGCAGAGCAAAGCCCAACCAGGGGATCGGGTGAAAACATCATGCAGTGGTCACTCTACCCCCCAGATGATGAACACCAGACACCTCAGCAGATGACCCAAAAACAACACACCCGCAAGATGTTTAGTAATAATCTGGACAGTACAGTACATGCATACTATGCCGTACCCTTATGGTCCTTCTTTTTACTTTTCCAATAAGACCATGACCTGCTATGTTAGCTACAAGTCCTCATCAGACTAGATTTAGTTGTGCAGTGCACTGTTACAATATCATGGCCCAGTGGATAATCTTTTCTATCTATTGTTTTATCATTTGCACTTATTTTGTTTATTATGTGATATGTATCTTAATATAGGCAAGTTCTCCCAACAGGTATTAGACAGCTTCTGTAATGTTTGGGGCAAACCACTAATTAACCTGCCTAAGCCTGTGCCTAGACGCAACTATTTTGCCTGCTCGAATTGTAGATATATATACGAAGCGCAGCTACGCAACACACCTATCACGCAAAGTAATTACGGTTTTAGCCCTAACGAGACAGATGTGACAAACTAGTCTAACGTTCTACTTCCTGACATGAGCCGGATGTTTATCTTGTTTATCCTATATTATAAAGTTTGCGCAATTAACTCACATATATCTAAAAGATGTGCCTGTATAACAAATGCTCCTACTGTTACCTATGAAAATGAGCTCAAGGACTCCCGTTGGGGCACCACGAGCCTGTATGTTACACCTAGCATGCACAAAAAATATATATAAAAAAATAAATAAAAAAATAAATAAAAAAAGAACATTTCATACAATGACATCCAGTGGCTGTTGTATATATTTTTTTGGTTTCTCATAATGTTGGAATTTGGTTTTACCTGAAAATCACTTGAAATTGCCCTAGTAATGGATTCTTGTGCCTTGTTTGGGCTTGAAGTCCATTGCTTGGTGCTGCCACTTCTCCATTGTGTGCTAGCGATTTCAAATTCCTCCTCATCGTCGTCGTCCTTAGACATTTTACTGGAGGCTGTATATCTATATGATAAAATATTGCACATGTGACCGGTGATCAGAACAGTAAACTTGTTTTTTGGTTATGTTTTTGCACTTCAGTGCACCTCTCATTTAAAAATCATGTACAGATGATAATATATATTATTTGAACATTTCTAGTCAAATAGCTAGTGAATATATAAATATTTTATATCCACAGTGCGTACCCACACAAATTTGTATTTTGCTAATTCTGTTTTTTTTAAAATGTATTGGTCAATTAATATTTTACAGGCACTGAGCATCTGTGCAAGCAGTAGATCTAATTCTGAACAAATTTCATGGTGCATAAATATTTGTTTGTTTGCTTTTCCATGACTGCAAGCATAGAGAAAGAGTACACATCAAACCTGGAGCAGTGAAGACAAGACACGAAAGTAGTGATAAAAAAAAGCTATTTCGTTTCGGCTTACAAACAAGCCTTTTTCAAATCTTACATACAAACATAGTGAAACATTGAAGGGACACTAAGATCACCAATACACTGTTTATGCTTTTGGCCACCGTAATATGCTGTACTTTTTGCAAATGTTTTTAATTTTTGCAAAATGCAGCTTTGTGCACTAAAAGCGTGTCCCTTTTTAGAACTCTCTCCGGTTCTAGTATACTCTCTTTATTAGTCCCATACAAGCACAGCTCAACAACAGACAGCATTGGGCACTGAACTGAGCTGCAGGGAGACTAGCTGCCAACAAAAGAGGAGGACACAAAGTCAAATACATAAATATCACTATGTTTGTCTCCTCTGCAGCATCCCTGTACAATTTACTATTTACTATACATGTGCAGGGACGAATTTCATAATTCCTGTGACTCTGTACTCACTTGTACTATAGTTACAGGTATGATGCGGACCAGTCATAGGTGGCTTTGCCTTTATACGCCTGCTCCTCTGTTTCATTACAGCCTTTTCATGGATTCCCATGTGTTATCCAAGAGCGCGTCTTTATTGTTTGATTATTGACATTTTAAACAGGCTTGCTCTCTTTTTCCTTGATGTCTGTAATCCTTGACCATTTACTTGTTTATTGTTTTTGTGTTACACCTGATCACTGACCTCTGCTTGTTTCTGGTTATGCTTTGCCTATAGCAAGCCATTGCTATTCTTTTCACCGTGTTAAGTCTCTAAGAACTGGTACTAAGTTCTATCCTAAGATTCTGTTTCTGGCTAACCTAAGTTTGTGTGTTAAGCCACTGTTAGTCATAACAAAATGTATTTAATTTTTTTTACAATGTTTGTTAGTAAGACTTAATAAAGGCTCATTTGAGAGCCAAAATGTTGCTGATTTGATAATAAATAGCCTTTTTAATACTACCCAGTGCCTGTGTATTTGATTTTTCAAGATTTGACTTCGAGTTCTCATCCAGTACCTTACACGCTCATTATGATTCCAATGCAACCTTCTTGTGCTGTGTCCAGAGTCTGCGTGACCTAATAAAATGAAATGTAATTTAAATCTGTTTTAGAAGTGTTTGATATCTAACAGCCAATGAGATTTACAAAATTACATTACATTACATTTGATTCCATGCACACCCAATTATTTCAGAATACATCACTGACTACAGTTTCTTTTAAAAAGTTAGCTCTAGAGTATGTTTTTGTGGCCCATCGTCCTGCCTTATCTGAACTTTGCAGCAACTTATAATGTAGCAGGTAGGCTACTAAAGACTTTAACATCAAGATCACAATCTGATGCCCTTATCTAGACCTGGCAGTTTCTCTTAAAATATAGGATACCAATGAATTTATTGGCAAGTCCATGGGGGCATGTCTGAGCAGCTGAGACAGTTAACAATTCTAATAAAGGCACACATGTCCAAATTCAATATTTGGCCACATTATAAAATCTTGGAAGCCAATCTAATCTCACCTTTCTTGATACCTCGGGCTTTGCGAATATGATCCCACACTCTCTCTGTGGTCACAGAGTCCAAATCACTGTCAACAGTCACTGTGTCAAAGCTCTTCAAGGGTATGCCTTTAGTAAAATAACATCCATATAAAGCTCAGAAAAATTATACTGAATTTATCATAAGCCAACATTGCACGTCACTTTAGAACTTCTTATACATACGGTCAATGTCGGGAGATGTTTATTGATACTGACTGACAAAACAAGCATTCTTACCTCTGTTACACAAGAAAAAGTTATCTACACTACCATATTAGTGCAAACTGACATATCATTCATGTATAATATTGTGCACGTTAGCTGGAGAGAGGGTGTATGTTTATAGAATAACTTCAATTCTATTCAAAACTTTCAAGTGCTGGAGAGTTACATTTGACCAAATTTACTAATATATATAACTAGATTGTTAAAAGACATGTCCCTCAACTAGACCACTGATAAAAACGAATTGGACATGATTTCTGCTGCTTCCCTGCTGACTGCCGTACTATCTATCACTATGTAATTACCTTACATGCTTGCAAAGAGATATATATTCTATATCTAATGAAGTCTGTGAATTATTACTCATTCTCATGAAAAGAGAAGAAAAAGCTAAAAAAGAAGCAGGGTGTGAGTGTCTTGAGTTTGGTTGTGTTACGAACTATGATGGAGGACAAAAGCCTGACATCTATACTGAAGGTAGAGCTGCCATCCCATTGATTGTAAGCTCATGTGAGAATGGACTTCTTCACCTGTTTTCTCTGTTAATATTCTGTATGTCAATTACTTGTTGTCAGATATCGCCATCCTATAATTGCTGCAGAAAATCTTGGCGCTATATAAATGCCAATAATAATAGTCATTTGATTTATGTAAGCCAATAAGAAAATCCATAATGTAGGGCTTTAATGGCGTAAACACAGCTTATAGTGTGTATTCTTTGTAAGATTCATTTCTTACAGAACTGCTGATTTTGCAACTCTAACTGCGCGCATAGTCGTCACCACGTACCTGCAATGTGTTTGTACTGAGTCACTCCAGCTTTTTCTTCCTTTAGAGATGAATCCATTGTCTTCAGATCTTCTGAATGGTCTTTTGATCCTGTAGAAATATAAAAAAACTCTGTTGAAGTCACAAAATCAAATATTGCAAATAAATATAGCCTACCAAAACATGTTCGCCAGGAGTAAATAAACTATAACACAATAACAGAATTATTCAGATGCACGGATGGACGGAAAGTATGGCTTCTGGACTGGTTCTACTTCATGTCACTTCCCACCCCTAGTCCCGTACTAAAGAGAAGAAAAAACATCCACTCATCCAACCAACCACGTCCTTCATGATCAATTTTCAAACTATACTAAAACCATCTCTTTACACAAGCCTTCCTCAACCAACCATGATTCAACTCTCCTACCAGTCCCTCTCAGTTTACCGTATTTAGCCTCATCACCTACTCCTAGGACCTCCACCACCCTGACCTGTACAGGTCCTTCCAGCTGTAATTACATCAGCTCTTCCATATTCCAACATTCTATGTGTCCCTTGTTGACTCTATTATCCTTTGTTTATGCTCACTAATGACTGTATTATGATATAAATCCAGTGTGAATGCACCTGAGCCTAAGGTTTTATGTGTCCCTAGTTGACTGTATTACACTTTATTTTATGAACACTAATGACTATCGTTTATTTATTTACTTATTATTCTAAAATATTTCACCAGGAAGGATAAATTGAGATTTCTCTTATTTTCAAATGCCCTTGGCTATTTCAACCAATCTGAATCCACCGAATTCAAAAGTTTTCTGGTGATTTCAAAAAAAAAAAAAAAAAGCAACAACTCTGTAGTACTATGAATTGAACTAACAAATTAGTTTACTCATTGATTACATCTATCTAGCTATCTACACACCACGGAAGCATCCGTTTCTCTGTGGCTCACGATAGGACACCATAATGCTTTATTGCAGGGTGTCACACTACGGTCTCCTCTTTTCTTTCACTGTAAGAACAACAGCAATATAAACTGTATCACAAATATGTATTTGTTTTTGTGAGGTGTGATAAATAAACTTAAATGTAGAAATTTCCTGCAACTGGCCCATCCATCCCAACTCCCAGTCAATCATTGCCATTAAGTACTTTGTACCTGGCAGGCAGCATAAGCAAACAGAGAACAGGAAAAATTAAACAATGCAATGTCATCTTCATGCAATATATGCCATGGATTTGCCTTGTCTCAACTGGATTATGATGTATTTTGTTTAATCAATAATATAATTTAAAACTAAATTGTGCATTTCATGAAAAATGGTTAAGTAATAGATTATTTCAATGTTTTATTCAATGGTGCAAATTTCAATGAAGTGATAGTTCTCCTTTAAGATTAAGTTTAGTTAAGATTATTATAATGCAAAAATTATCAATGTATTCTTTATGAAACCCTAACCACAACCTTGGCGAGAGACTCATACAGCCTCCCTACATATTCTTTCTTTTTAGTTTCCCTCGTTCACAGTGTGTTTTATTAATACATTTATATCGCCTAATCTCTTAATTGTCCACAGCCTACAGAAAACTACTGTGTGTGATTAAAGTTGATTAACAAAGCAGGATATAAGAACTTCTAAAGTGAATACACTGAACTGTAAAAATCAAATGTTTCTAATGGAGCTGTAGCCAATGTACGTGTGGCTAAGGCTGCATAAACAAAGTGATTTAAATTCTAAATGGCAGAGAATTGAGTTGTGAGACTGCATGGGCATGATCTATACACAAAAACTGCTTCATTAAGCTAAATTTGTTTAGGTGCTTAGAGTGACTCTTTAACATGGCATCATAGGCAAAAAAATGCATGTAACAATCTCATACAGTACTACACATTATCCTGCTAAAATCTCCCATAATACCTCCATCTTGTCCATCATTCAAGAAAAAGTAGCAAGACACCTAGCAGGCAACTTACAACTATAAGACTGCCATAAGCACAGAGAAAACATTTTCTCATCATAATAAATGAGGACATATATGAGCAATAGCAATGATATCAGCTTTCATTCACTATCACCGGTGTTGTCATTCATTCTTTTAACAAGGTACAACACTCATTACCTCTACTGTGCATGCAATCACTTTTCAAATATCCTACAGACTTCCAGCTTGCTACACAGGAGTGCACAAGGCATCGTACACATGTACATACTCAATAAGTCTCCCCCAATAACGCTAAGATAAGACCAGAATCCGCAGAGATTTCTGCATTTCCAATCTTCTTCTACATTTGTCTGGTTTTTAAAAAGCTTTAAATTAAGAGTTTACAGCATCCTTACCAAATACATCACACAGCCTTCAAAAGATACAGCTGAAAAGCCACATTTTGTATATTTACGATATGTTAATTCAACACACAAGATACAATACTTGTTTTGTTTGACGACTTACTTAAACCAAACGTGTAGCTTGTTTCCAGAGATGATTGAGTGTGAGGTGGAAAGCTCTCTCCTTTTCTTTGCATCCCATCTTTATCACTGCATAATGATTTCAAAGCATTGTTATCCCCATAATGTAACTGAATCTGAGAAGAGGCATCTTGGAAGCTTTTCTCCACATTCTCAGCTGGAGGTTTGGGGCAAACTTTCTGGGTGTCCTTAGACAGATTTATCCAGCTTTCCGCATGGAACCCTATTTCTGCAGTATGAATTGATTTTCTGATTTCCTCTTGGCTTTTTTGATCAGGATAATGACCACTTGTTTTGTAATCAGTTAGCCCTTCAACAACAAAGGATGGAGTGGTTTTATCTAGAAAATGGCTCGGGTCCGTAGAAGAACATACATCTAACTTGTGATCAATTGTTTTGCCTTGCAGTCCTGGATTTACTCTTAGGGAGCTTGTGCTTACATCTTGTAGATCAGGTTTTATTACCAGGGGGATTTTCCTGCTAAAGTCTTCCATAATCGTGGAGGTCAAAGGATATAGAACAGCTTTGTTATCCACCTGGTGGTCTTTTTGGGAACCCATACTTCTTTGCTGGTCTTCTGCACCAGATGAAAAATGACTTCCTACTGAACTTGTTTTTCCAAAACTGCTTAGGCTAGAAGGTGTTAAAATATTAGCTTGGCTAAGTCTTGATATTCTCCCTCCAAGAGATTCAACACTTTCTCGTCTGCTCCTAGTGCTTCCTGAACACTGAACTTCATCATTGATAGAAACAGCAGCTTTCAAATCCCCTTCTAATTCTTCTTTAAACTGCTGCAGTATGTCTTCTCTTCTTGCTGTGTTAAGTGAGAAGTTATCTTCAGGTAGACCTGCATTTTCAAGGTTATTCTCTACAAATTTAGATTTTTCATTGTTGGACTGTGCGCCATTCAGATCATCAACCTCATTGCTATTATTAGACACAATTGGTTCAACCAATCTTTGATTGAACTGGACTACAAAGTCTTCAGTGCACACACTTTCTGCGGAGTTAGAGTCACTGTGGTACTCCTGAAGATCTGTCTGCTCAGAGCCTAAGAGGTGAGTTAGCCTCCATTTGTACTCTTCTTTTTTACACTCTTTCTTTTGTTCATTAAGACCATCAGTAATTTCATTTTTGGGATTCCGAGAATCTATTTCAAGAGTCTGTCCATGAGACTGTTCCGTGTCTGCACAAGAAACGGAAAGGGCATAACATTAAGTTGATGTGCCTATAAATCCTATGTAAATACCTGCTCTATTAAACTCATCTATTTTGTTCCTCATTCAGAAGGAAGTCTTATTATTTAGCTTAATGGTACTTGTTTTATCCCCCTCAGAAGGGTAAAAAGCCGAGTCGGCCTTGATAGTGAACCAACTTACAGCAGAGTTACGGGTCCTTTAGTCCATTGATAGCACATACTAAAGTTTCTCTGAAAAGGCAGTGTTTACATTGAATAGCCTACAAGGACAGGCTATAGACACCAGAACATCTACATAAAGCTGTAGTGGTTATGGTGACTATAGTGCCCCTTTATGAATTGTATTTTTTTCATTGAAAAATAAAGTTTTGTTAATTTAAAAAGAAAATAACCTGGCTCCTAACTTTTTTTAGCTGGCTCCTAGATTCCAAGGAAATTTGTCAAGCCCTGTGCATACATCATACACATATAAACATACACATATATCTCTCAGTGTAATAGAGTTGCTACTAGAGGAGCGTGTCTTACCAGTGACTACATAAGACAATGTGCTAAGGTGGTAGTTATAAAAAGGTTACACGTTGGATATACCCATGCCAAATTTGGAACATCCCTTAATACACTATTACTTTTGGAGTTTGGATTGTTGGAGTAAAAGCTGTTGTAAACTTACCTTATTAGCACTCAAAAAGGCAAATAAAAAAACAACACAGGGAAACCAAAAAGGAAATAACATCTGAATGCATTTGAGACCTTTTGACAACTTTTTTTTCTTTTTGACTCCACCTTTGTTGTTTTCCTTTATGTGCCTTTGTGAGTGCCAGTAAACTTTTTATGGCAAGGTTACAGCAGTGTTTGCGGCTTTTACTCTGTGTGTGGGACTGTTACTCTGTGTGTGCATGGCTTCTCTCAGGGCATCTGGACAGCAAGACCCTTCTATTTCTATATAGTTAGAGATAATTTTTTGCTGTACACTTTTTTTGTCAAGCATACTTTTTCGTTTTGGATACATTGAACCCTTGAAGCTTTGGTCCCAATGCCAGTAATGCTCAGTCCTTTATGCTTTTTGAATATTCTTGCTAATACTTCCAGAATTAGCTACCGTATTTAATTTTGCACTTTTTGACTGGGTGTATGTTGTTTTATATAAGGTTTCATTTTGTTTTCAATTTAAATTAAAGATTGAGCAAAATACATCATAATCCAGTTGAGACAAATCAAAGCCAGGGCAAACACTGCAAGTGAATAAGAAAAACAGAAGCATTGTTTCATTTCTCCTGTTCTCTGACTGACTGTTCTCTATACTGAAAGAACAGCTTACAGCAATTATTGACAGGGAGCTAAGATGGAGACAGGATAAAGAGGTGTGGCTTAATTACATTTAATTTTATTTTTCACACCTCACAGATACATATTTATTAAATATAGGGATAATGAAGCATAATTAAAAAAAAAAAACACTTGATAAGTGCCCCTATAGCTTTTCAGTTTGGCTAAGAATACAACCTTCTGTACAGTTTTACTTGCTACATTTAAATCTAGTTTATTCTTACTTTGCAGCTAAAGAATAGGAGGTAGAAAAAAAAAAAATAGGAGAGGAACAGCGCTACAGTACTGATCACAGGGAAGAATAGGGCCGCACACCTGAGGGGAAGGGTAACCCTCAAACCCTTCAAAGAATGGAGAGAAACAAGATACAACAAATACAGGGTGCGCTAAGTTGGACAATGAGAGATAATAAACAAAAATCAGCAATAATATAAAGAGTCTCCTAAAGTACAGCGAAGACCTGGAGTGTGTATTCTTCAGTCCTTGCTTTGAATGCTCAGTGGTAAATATGAAATACAAAAGCGGAAACAGAGACCAATAGTGCAAAACCGTTTTAGGAAAGCTGGATCACGAACAACATAGAAGTAGAGAAGTGCCAACTCACAATATAAAGAGCTATGCCCAAGCATTTTAGATAGTGATATGATGAGCTTGTAAATCCAGGTATTTATCCAGACCAGTCTGTGCTGCTTGAGAAATCCACACATCGTGAGTGTCAATTATCCATGTCCATATTATATTACCTGCTATCTTACGGAGCACGCTTTTCAGCTACTGCCCACCATGCAGCCAAGGATAACTCCAATAAGGTCAGTTTTAAGTGTAGCTTGCACCAAACATAACACTGACCATTGGTTACATGTAAAGTGTGTATGAGAGAGTGAAATGTCCAATTAGGGAACATATTTCATCTACTTTGATAAGAACACCACGTTGCCAGCGGGTAAACATTTCATATGCAAAAATGTAAAATTCCCTGCATAAAAAGTGACACATTTTCTGTGAGGGAATGTGATAGCCTTAGTGCACTTTGTCACTGTATGATAATGTATCTTCACAAGCAGAACAAGACATTTATAAGGAGTGGAACAGTGATAGGTTCCATGCTGCTCGCTTCGCTTATCATTTGAGTACCACATGTTCTTGCCGTGCCAGTAGTGTGACAGATAGTTCCTTCTTAGCAGTTAAAGTTACCTTAGCAACCTATTTATTCTCAGCAATTTTCACACTCTCAGTAGGCTTGTGAAAGTAAAAATGACCAGTGGTCCCCAACCCTGTCCTCAAGGACCACCAACAGTCCAGGATTTATGTATTTCCCTGTTTTATTCCAATGGAGATACTGACAAAATTGGTGGTCTGGACTATTGGTGGTCCATGAGGACCGGGTCAGGGAACACTGACTTAAACCATATAATTGAGATAGATTGTACTGTAATAGCAGCAATTTTTGGATGAAGTCGAATGACTAAAAAATTAGGTGCAATAATTATGCATTATTTTTCATTGGGGAAAATCTAAAAACAGCTTGCAAAACCTGCAATTCTCTTGTCTGCTGCCTTTGCAGACCCTCCCCTTTTAAACTCGCCCTGACTTTCTGTGACTGTCCAATCACAGAGTTCCCAATGCAGCTCAATTAGTTTTTGTAAGGCAGGTGCTCTGAGCTATTGCCGCCTCTTGAGTTTATCTCCATTGAGCTAACTAAACCAGGAAGTAATATTACCTGCTGTCTGCTTGAAAGCCAATGGGGTGTAACAAGGTTAATTTATAAAAGAGTAAATTTCTATTGAAATCTCCACTTTTTGCAAAATGAAAAATAGAACACACTTTCCACACATAAAGCTTTTCAGCAAGTGCTCTACGTGTGTGGAATGTCCCTTTAATAATATATTCCATATCTCAGTGGAACTTAAATATTCTATCATATGTTCTTTGAAACTTGCTGTTCAATAAGTTACTGTAATTACATGTAGTTTGATATGATTTAACTTTTAAATATTATACTACTCTTACCTCTGGTGTACAATCCGGACTTTGAACCGGGGATAAGACCAGGAAACCTCCGCTGCGTCCTCCCACAAAACATACCCAGACTCCGAGACATGACTGCCAATGGGAAAATCTTGCCATTACGGACGCTCATGGGCACACCCACCCACCCCTTCATGACGACATTTAGATACACCCAAATTAAGAACTACATTACCACCATACAACAACACCCCGACGTATATAGGGACCTTACGCCATTCGAACAGTTGTGCCAGGACCTGGAGCCCATGCCCCATAGCATTTCCTACCTCTAATCTATGCTACAACGACAACAGGAACACCCCCCTTCATGTCCAAATGGGAGACCGCCATAGGGGAAACACTCACCGAGACCCAGTGGCACAAGATCTGCGACCTAGTGCACCTTTGCGCAATCGCTAGCAAAACTCAGGAAACGGCCTACAAGGTCCTCACGCAATGGTACCTGACACCAGAACGCTTACAGAGAATGCACTTAGACATGGACGGCTATTGCTGGAGGTGCAAGAGAGGGGTAGGATCCTTCCTCCACATATGGCGGGAATACCCACTCAAAAAAAAAAAAAATGTTCAAAAAAACATATTCACAAGAGTGAAAACATGCTCAGAATACAAAAATACCATATCAATCAATAAATATATATGACAAAATAAAGAGTGAAACCAGATGCTTTTCGTCATACATTCATATTCATGTGATGATCATTTTTCCAAATGTAGTACAATATATTGTGATTCAACCAAACCATTGATATTTCACCAGTATATTAACAGAAAAAAAATAAATTATATATATACACAAAATTATATATATATATATATCTTGAGGAAGACCCTGTAGGGTCGAAACGTTGATCAGATGATGTAACCTTTGTTTTAATAAATACCAATGGATTAATTGTAAAGTCCTGAGAGTTCTTCTCTTATTCCTTTCTATATACTATATAACGTGGGATTGCACCAAGGCATCAAGATATTCATTGAATTGGAGATAGGGTGATATATATATATATATATACACACACACACACACACACATACACACATACACACATACACACATACACACATACACAAAACATCACCCTAAAATAAGCCCTAGCTTATTTTCAGGGGATTCTCGTAATATAAGCCCTAACCTGAAAATATGCCCTAGTCGCTAGTTCGCTAATCTATGTTCAGGGAAATTTTCAGAGGGATTCCATAAACTAGTAAGCTAATCTATGTTCGGGGAAATTTCCAGAGGGATTCCATACTCTAGTAAACTAATCTATGTTCGGGGAAATTTCCCTGAACATAGATTTGCGGATTCCATGCCTTAGTGAACTGGTCGATGTTCGAGGGAATTCAACCGAATGTAGACCTGCTTTCCAGCACATGGTTGCTACGTTTTTTGTGTTTTTTTCTAAAATAAGCTCCAGTGCATTTTGCAGGGGAAAAATATATATAAGACCTGGTCTTATTTTTGGGGATAGACGGTATATATATATATATAATTTAAATAATTTTCAACGCAAATAAAACGTGAAATGGTAAAATATTTCTAATATAAAGAATGAATAGTTTAAATTTCTCTATTGATAGCTACTTGGCCAGATTTTTTATAAAGTAACAAATGTTATCTCTAGTGTCGTTATCTGATATACTGGGACAGATATTACATACCACTAGATGGCAGTAGTCATAAAGGTAGAAGAAAGGCTATAAAATGGAGAATAGTAATTACTGATCGATGCTCGATTGCATTATATCAGGTCTTTAGATTGTGAGCTCATTGAGGCAGATCCCTCTTCAGCTACTGTTAATATATGTCATACATGTTTTGTTGGAATGAAATGTCTTGTTTCCAACTGTACACTGGGCAGGATATGTTGGTGATACATAAATATATTTAACTGTATTTACTGCTTGATTAGCAATAGTAAGATTATATCGCATGCATAAACCAAGTGGGTCAGTTATACATGTAAATCAACAAATGTGGGTAATATTATTTACTAATGTATTTTAATAAACAGCTACAGTTTCACTAATACTTCAGAAATATATGAAAAGTCTATTGGCCTCTTCTACTGGACTCTAGGGTATTGCACACCCATGATCCTTGATGTTGCAAAGCTACCCATCAATACAAGCCTGCAAAATCACTGAGTAACTAGCATTCAAACCCATAGACTTTATGGGAACCCAGCACCAATTCATTATAATATTCTACAGTATAGCTGTAACGTAATAAAATACATTTTGAGCTGCATGGCCATGTTTAACATGAACGTGATACTTGTTTTGTTAGTAAAATGTTTGAACTAAAGTAATATAATATGTATGTGATGGTAATTAGTTAAAATAAGTAATCTAAAAGAAGTGATTATATTTAAAGGACGTTTAATAATAGGAGGTCGTGATCACAGTCTGTTGAAAAAATACATAGGGATCTTTGATCTTAACGGATTATGGCAAATCAAAAAGCCAATTTGTAGTGTTCCAAAATATTGTTGTTGGTCATAGTAATTGTTTGGACAGTATTCTATTATATTTAACCCCATAAAGCAGGGGCAATTTGTACAATCTCAGTGTGACTATAATTGTACACTTTAGTGTGGTAGTTTGTGTATGTTTGGAATTGTTTTGAATTGCATTTCTGAAATATACTTGCTATAGAAGATCCAGCTGAACTACATCTAGCTATAAGCATCATTTATATGCTCTATGCAGCCAAACCCTTTAAATTACATGTGAAAAGTTGTATTGATTACAATAGGATCTCATAATAGAGAGATTTATTAACTGCTACAGATATTATTGAGTGCAGCATAATTCTATAGCGGTGACATTTTTATTTACAGAACTAGAAGAAAATAATTCAAAATAACAGGATCATCCTGTTTACAGGGGGCTGATTTATTAAAATAAACAGGCCAAAAGGGTTAATTCGAATACTTATATTAAACAGAGACTCACATTTCCTACTAGTCTTTCAATATCTCCCAAGTAAGGCATGAATACTGATGTAACTTATAAAGGAATAGTACTGTCCATTTACAATGCAGGAGAGGTATTTGCAGTATCTGGCAAAACTTTTTAAAGTCATATGAATTATGCTTTAAAACATTTAGATAAGATACTAAATAAGTAAAATAAATATAGTTTACCTGCATTAAACACCTCTGATTTTGAGTTTTCATCTGCATTCTTTTGTGAATTCTTCAATGTTGGCCTTGGCTGAAATAATAGATAATTTCATTTTAAACCAAAAAAGAACAAAGCACAGTGATAAAAATTTTATGTTGTATTCACCAACTACCAAAACAGTTTTTTCTTTTGCTCTCCATTCTTCTGGGGGCAATTACATCCAGGGACGTTTCTTCCGCAAGGCAAACAAGGCATCTGATTTGGGCAGCACTTTGCAGGGGGCGGCAAAAAAAGCCGCCCCCAAACGCCCAGGCAGGTCCCTTGTTTGCCTCGTGTCCTGGAGGACTCAAGAACTCGCCGGCTGGCCACATTTAAGTCCCCCAGAGGCAGGCGGCGGGCAGCGAGGGAGCATGCTCACCTGAGCTCTTCCTGCTCAGCTCCCTCCCACGCCACTTAATTAAGCTGGGAGCCGGAATATGACGTCACTCTGGCTCCCGGCATCACTAAGCGGTGCGCGAGGGAGCTGAGCAGGAAAATCAGAGCTCCCTTGCCACCTACTCTGCCTGTCCGCCCCCTGCCTGCCGGACCAGCTTCCCCACTGTACCGCAAGTAAGTAATCCACTCCAGCTCTCCCAGGGTGGATTTAAAATAAAATTACAAAAATAATAATTAGTGAGTGTTGGTGGAAATGTGTGTGTGTCTGTGAATGAATGTGTGCTAAGTGAATGTGTGCATGTGTGTGTCTGTAAGTGTGTGTGTCGAAGTGAATGTGTGTATGTCTGTAAGTGTGTGTATCAATGTGAATGTGTGTATGTCGGTCAGTGAGTGCGTGCATCTGTGAGTGCGTGCATCTGTCAGTGCGTATGTCTGTTAGTGAGTGTGAGTTTGTCAGATCAGTGAGTGTGTGTGTATATCATTGTTTGTCAGTGTATATGAGAGTGTGTGTCTGTCAATGAGTGTATGCGTCTGTCAGTGAGTGAGCGTCTGTCAGTGAGTGAGCGTCTGTAAATCAAAGTGTGGCTTTGACAGGAAGTGGTGGAAAAAATTTAAATTGGGGGTCGAACCGTCCTGCCTAGGGCAGCACAAATCCTAAATACACCACTGATTACATCCCTACAAAGCACTAAATACTTGTCCTGGTTTCTGTGGTTTAGCATCTTCTGAAAGACTTGATAATAACCTTTGAAAGCTGCAGTGATTTGTGTGCATACAGCATGATCATAAGCAGGGTAAAAATTAGCACTGCATATTTACAATTTTTTTTTTTGCAACAGATGTTGAAGAAGCTGTGTGTATTGTGTGTGCCAGCATGTTTTGCAGTTACGTATCCAAGTAGGTACCCACATGTAAGCTGCAATTTTCAATGTACTTCACTACAAGAAATAGCAGAAAAGACACCAGACAATTCTTGCCTTTGTAAACTTAGATTTATTTAAATACTTTTCAGATAAAACATAAACTGCTGTAATGAACCTTGAGCCTGGTATGGTACCATCTTTAAACTAATGCAAAGTTGCTTTTAATTATCTGTAAATCGTCTCTGAGTTTTATTTTAAAGAAGAAATAATGTTTTCAATGTGTTTAGAAGCTTTTCATTTTAATTAAACATATTAAACAATATTTCAATGCCCTAGTACAAGCATATATACATATAACATTTTTTCGTGTGAATTATTATTGTTTATAAAGCGCCAACAAATTCCGCAGCGCTGTACAACGGGTGGACAAACAGACATGTATTTGTAAGCAGACGACTTGGACATGAAATCTCATGTTGTCTCTATTTAAGCAGAGGTCGATTTTTTTCACCAGTGCTACTGATGTTTGTATCTTGGGATCATCCTACCTATTCTGACTATAGTGTTACTGAACATTTATTCTAACCTCAGTGAATTTTGACAGTGTAGAATATTTATTTCAGGAGATCTACAACACCAACATTCAATGCACTTGCTCCATAGCCCTTTACAAACTTTAAAGACTATGAAAAAAAATCTTTAGAACTTATGGTACAAAAGTGAAAGTTTTGGATTTGTGAAAACGTTGCATTATTATCTGCCCTTTTAAACCGTAAATTAAAATATGCATGTAAGAGAGTGCGGCATAATATTATTATTCAATTCAGTACTGTTTAGACTACTGAAATATACTTACTATGGTAGTTCCAGCTAACTATATATATATATATATATATATATATATATATATACATACATATATACACACACACACACACACACACACACACACATACATATACATACACACACACACACACACATATATACATATATATATATATACACATACACACACACATCTATAATATATATATATATATATATATATATATATATATATATATATATATATATATATATATAAGCAGCATTTATATGCTGTAGACAATAATTGTTTCCTCTGAATAATCCCTACGCAGCCAAACCCTTTAAATTACATATGAAAAGTTGTATTGATTAAAATGGGATCTCATAATAGAGAGATTTATTAAGTGATACAGACATGATTGAATTCAGCATAATTCTATGGGGGTGACATTTTTATTTACAGAACTAGATGAGAATGATTCAAAATAACAGGATCATCCTGTATACAGGGGGCTGATTTATTGGACTAAACAGGCCAAAAGGGTTAATTTCAATACCAATATTAAACAGAGACTAGTCTTCCAATAGCTCCCTATTAAGACATGAATACTGATGCGACTTATAAAGGAATAGGTAGCTGCGTGGGCTGTAATATTTTTATAGGAGTGACTTTCCTCTTTAAGTACAGATGATTTTGCATATGAATAAATGCTTACATAAATGGAACAGGACATGTATGCCATTGTGTCTTTCATATTTAGGAATCATTTATGATAACTACACAATTCAGATTTTTAGAATGTTGTTATGAAATCTCTACCTGCAGCTGGTCTAACTGTTCATCAATGGCATCCAGGAGGTAATCACAGTGGTCCCTGTGTCTCTCTTCTGACCTCTGGGAGGACAAGAGCTGCATCTGTAGGCCTGATGTACAATGAAACACAATACATAAGAATTAAATTATTAATAAAGGTTAAGGCTTACTACTGTCAGTAGTTTTAAATTCATAATTATAATCCATAGTTCCATAAATCAACATGCTTTATCACAGATTATACTGCAAATGTTATATGCATCTTAAATATTCAAGGGTTTAGGTACAGGTCAAATGTATAGGTGTAACCCAAGAGTACTAAATAATCAATCTCTAATAAAATATAACACTTGGTTGGGGGTGATGTAATAGACTTATTTAAAATATCCTTGAAGTAAAAAGCACGAAGTCCTTACCTATCCCAGTGTCCTCTTCTGCAGAAACCTCAAACTCAGTATCCGTGCCTAACTCTGCAGCAGCCATCTTCTTTTAAAAGGCCTAAAAAAATAAGATTTTATTAAGTATAAGTCATCAGATAACTTCTTTGAACCGCTCATGCCCACAACCAAACAAAATTATTTCATTCACACTTTTATAGAAAATGACAGTTCAATTTGAGAGCACTAATTAGTTTCCCATCAAAGAGTTGAAGTTCCTGAGCCAATTAATCTTCTTTTGTATTATTTGGCAAGTTGCGGATAATTAACAAGCCGGATATTATTTGCTATACTGCATTTATGCAACATCTGAGCCAGGCAAAGATACTGCAGCTGTCCAAACTCTGAGCTGGAAAAGGTCCACAGCATCCAAAGGTCTACATTCTGACATTTTATACCTTCTGGGCAGTCAAGAGACACTGGCTCTTCTATGAGATGAGATGAAAGTTCCAAAATACATTTAACAATTACTTAATGCATCAGTAAGAGAAGCGTCTAATTACAAAACAATAATTGATCATTATACAGAGCGTTGAAAATCTAGAAGCCATGACGTGGTGAGAAAATTGCAATGTGACACTAAACATCATATGTTTACTATTTTATTATATGTTTTACTTTTTCTTAATTGTGAAACTCAGAACATTCACCACCAGTAACCTAAAGAGTTGCTTGTGTCAATAAAACACACAAAAACATTTTAAGACCCAGCTGTGCTTAACAACAAGGAAGGTAATATTTCACACAACATAAACAGCAGGTCCCCAGGCGTAATGGTACTGTGAACGCTCAGTGATAATGGCCATTGTTAAATTGATAACAAGGATAGTATGGATGGCTGGCACGCCATCAGCAATCCATCCCTATGTTCTACTAAATCAGAGACCTTTCTGGTTCAGAAGAGGTACAAGAAAGCATAAATAACTGCATATATTGAATTAATG